GGCGGCGGTTTCGCCCGTAGCCCTAGTCAAAGCAGCACCCTCGATTGCGCTTCTCCTCCGACGACGCGTTCGCCGGCGACGGCTGGGATTGTTCCGCCGCAGCTCGAGCTCAGCCTCGGCGGCGGAGCGTGCTACCAGATCCCTATTGCACGTCCAGTCTACTATTTCGATCTTATGGGACTCGGAAACGGAGGTAGAGCTCAGCTTCCGGTGACGTCGACGTTTAAGTCGTCGGTCGTGCATGTAGGGACGAAGACGGTTTGTGGGGCCCAGAGCGACTCTGATTCATCTTCGGTCGTTGATTTTGAAGGTGGAATGGAGAAGAGATCTCAGCCGTTAGATCTAGATCTAAACTTGCCTCCTCCATCGGAACAAGCCTGAGCTTTTGGGTTGTGTCGTTTCATTTCCGACGCGCATGCGTTTTTTTTTCGTTTTGGAGCTGAGAGAATCCGTTTTCTCGTAGTTTTTTTTTCTCTCTCTCTCTCACTCTAAAATTATTATTATCAGTTTTTAGAAGAAAAAAATTAAATCGAGAGAGAAAAATATAATTTTAGCTGACATGGATCGTTATGTACATATTATTACATAACCGGGAGATCTGAACTTTTGTTGTGTGCTATTTTTTGCGACTTGGTTTCACCATGTTGTTCCTCTATTTCAAGTTTTCTTTTCTTTTTTTTGTTGTTCTTCCAAATTTTCAAATAATAATTTGGTAATCTTTCATAATCATGTGGTTTATCTAATTTTCAAATCTTTATTATTACTTGTACCTGTATACTAATCCGGCGGCATCTTTAATTGGCCTCCCATTTCTGTCGTTAACAAAATAGTATAAATAAGTTCATAAAAAAACATATATAAAAAAGCTGAAGTCCTAAAATGACTTGTTTTTTTCTTTTTCTTTTTGGCAGTGGTTTAATAAAAAAAACCGCAAACAATAATCGTAGTTGTAACAAAAAATAAATTAAAAGGGAGATTATTATAATTAAAAGATAGTTGAGGAGTATCGTCGGCTTTTAACAATGGTCCAAGTTTCCAGCAGACACGCAGCCGGCGTGTGTGGGCCCCCCGTTTTCTCTGCGGCGTATGTTAGAAAATTCTTCGCGCTTACGTCACCCCCAAGTAGGGTCCACATACAGAGTACGGACATGCTCCTTTTCTTCTTCTCCTTCTCTGGTGAGCTTCGAAATTTGAAGGATTAATCACTCTCTTGGACTCTCTGACAGAGAGAACCTAGCTTTTTAGTTTTTGATAGATTCTCCCTTCTAAAAGAAAAAAATACTAATGCAAGAAAGAAGAAAAAATGAGACAGGTTGAATTGTAATTTTCACAATTAAAAACGAGATCTCTTGTTGAATAAACATATTCTGTTTAAGAAACATCTAGTCTAGGTCTGTTTTTTCTTTTTTAATCTGAGATCTTCGCTTATAATAATATCCTATCAAAAATACAAAATAACATAAAATAGTGAGTCCTTTATATAATACCTCAGTATTTTATAATCACAAAATTACTTGATTCCGAGTTTATTATCATCCTACCTGATGAACTAATAATAATAATGACTAATCAGTTTTGATATTTGACTGTTACATTTGTAAAGATGGGGGGGGTTGAAAGTAATTTGTGAAAATAGATGCAATAATGATCTCCGTGAAAAGAGTAATGAATCGTGTGGGTTTGAAACAAAACGGCGACGTATAAGAGTGGTGTGAGAGAAAGCGGCTTCATAATGAGAGGCAGAGGTTTGATTGGATTCTTGTCTCCAACTCCGCAATCAAAAAGGTTAAGAACTATCCCTTCGTGATTCGCGTGTAGATCCAACGGTTAGATTCTATTTCTTCTCCACGTGGATGGATCTCAATATTTCGTATTATTTAATTACAAAAAAATAATGAGCGAGGCGGCACCGACGGCCAAGCCGCGCGAGTCATCCTTTTCACAAGAGACCGAATCAGAGACGGTGGCGCCCACATTTCTCCCACCATCACAATATAAATTTTTAAGAAAATAATTATACTCCCTTTGTATCATTTCAAAGTCTTTGTGTTCTCGTTAAATTATTCCAAAGTCTTTCTTCTCGAAGTATTAACATCGAGCCAAAAAAAAAAACATTTAAAACTTATTTCCAGTACTACTACTAATATGTTCAACTACTAATATGGTATATTTGGACAAACTATTTCATGCAAACTATTGTTCAGCTATTTTACAAATTTCCTAAAAAACTATTGTTCAGCTTCTTTGACGAACGTAGAATTGAATTTGTTTCCTTCAGAAAAAAAAAAAAAAACAAAACAAAATTCGTGTGCATAAGTTTTGCATTCCGTTAATAGCGAAGTATTAAGAGTTTGCTAAATCAAAATCTGGTTCGATGTGTTGAGATGTATTAAGCGAAAATGAGAAAGGGTTATGGGAGAGAGTAGATGATAAATGCGTGTGGTAAAGCATCTGGCGCGTGTGAAAGGGAGCGTGGGATGTAAATTCCGTGTTGACGAGGTTCATGTCGGGATTCTGGGTTGTCTTCACGTGCATCTCCACCGTCCGATAAAGTTTGATGCTCACTGTCTTTTTTTTTTTCTTCATATTATTTGTTTACGTGAAAGACTCCGTAAATTGAGGTATTTCCATTTCGGCCCCTCATCTCATCATCTTGTTTCCCCTCACAACCCCACTTCCTCGATTTTCCATTTATCATAAACTACATAATAAAATGTTATTTTCAGATTTTTTTACAAGACCGTATTTGATTAAAAAGAAATAAAAAAATGCCGAGAAAAATGTACACCAGGATCACATGGATGTTATCATGTACGTATTGAGCGATAGTATTATAACATAATTTATATAGAATTAATAAGATACTGGTTAGTTGCAGATTCGGCTATCAGGATCATATAATAATTAAAAAGAAAAATCAATCCCCTGATATATAAATATGCATTACTATTAAAATATTAGAGTGGGAATAATTCATTTAACAGTGAGAGACACGTGTGAAACAAGATTAGCTGCGGCGGCCGCTTTTCCTCAGGTAGGACCCACACGCTTCATATTAAGGTCATCCAGAATCTCAATCTCAACCAACCAGATTTTTTTCCTTCCCTTTTCTTCTCACCCGATGCGAAGTCGGCCATTTACACCACACACATTATCGCTATATTGCTTTTTCGCCCCTTCTCTTTTAAGCTTTTACGACACGACCCCATCATTTATTAATCTTCCGAAACTAACCTAACCACTTATGGAAACGCTGCATTTAATTAAACCTCCCAGCATATTAAATACAGATCCAAAAATGTACAGTTTCGAAACTAGTTTCCAAGTGTAACATCAATCACCGGGATTTCATTAACTGGAGAAGATACTTTTTTCTTGGCTAGTTTTATTCATTTATTTTCCTAATTATGCGTTTAATAAAATTAATAGTTTTACAACACATAGACAAATGCAAGTAGTTGATGTTTTTATTAGATCAAGTTTGAATCGAATTTCCCGTAATTATAAATAATCAGTAACATTTGTCAATCCTACCATTCGAGAATCGAGAGCTTCATAGATTTTCAAAAATCACTCCTATAAAAAGATAGGGGTTCGCATGAAAAAGAATGAGAAAATACGGGAGGGTAAATTTTATTGAAAAAGGTAAACCAATGCGAAACTGCCACGACAGTAGCTTCACCTGGACACATGTTACCGATTATGGGGACAGGTGGCGCTGTGAAATGTCGTAACGTGACAGACAGTCACTATAGAAAATGGTTGCGTCGGCTAAGTGACGCTGATATCAGTCCCACGTGTGGGAGCGCGTGAAGTGAGACCCACTGGGTCCAAGTGCTATGTTAGCGCGGCGCGTGAGCCACGTGGTGGAGTTCTGCTTAGTACAAAACAGCTTATTGGAACTCTGCAACCAAACGAGGACCACCTATTCCATTTACGTATTTATTTATACACACATTCGTGTCTCTTATTACTAGTATTTTGATTTCGTTTAGAATAAAAGGACAAAAACACAACTCATAATCATCGTCTGAATAATTTCCAAAGTCACTGTCTATTATTATTATTATGAAATAGTATTTTTTTAGAAACGCAATTTTCACCCTTATTTGTGTAATTCACGCATTCAACGGGGCACACACAGTTATTAATCTATTTGTAGTAGTATTATTTTATGGAAATGGGACATTTTGGGCGGTTTCCGTTACCGTCAAAGCGCCGTTAGCCGCGGGATATGAGTGTTGGGTGATGTGTCAGGTCAGCTGAACTGTCGTCTTTTCCATGAAACTTTAGAGGAGACGTTATTGGGTTTCACATGTCCGTTTTGACATTTACAATGGCGCCGTCAACTCCTTTTTGAAATATATAAAAAAAAAAATACAATTATGAAATTTTGATTTGTGAAAATGTTATGGCCGCCCCTTCACACTGCTCAGTGCTTACATTTCACACGGGTGCTATATATAATACAGTACGAAAAAAAGTGACAGCCGAAAAAAAACTGATCGAGTAAAATTCCTGGAATTATTTTATTTCATATGGAGAGATTCAGGTCTTGATTCACAATGGGCTCAAATAACACCAGACAAAATAAATTGAAAGAGACCCACTGTATAAAATGGGGCAGACTGTAAATACATAAACTTTGAAATTAGCAATTTGTTAGCCTAGTAAGATTCTCTTTCAATTTTTCTCTTACTGATTTTGTTAAGAAGGATAACTTCACAACTTTAACAAGAAAGGTATTTATAAAAGTAAATAATAAAATGAAATTGTTTAGGAGGTATTACTACAATTTTGTAACAATTACAAACCCCAAACCCTTGATTTAACTATGAATAATTGCGAGAATATAAATATAAGATAAAACGAATTTATAAATACATTAAAAAAACAGATTATACACAGGAATACCAAAAATAAATGCACCAATGAAATAAATTAAAAAAGCACAAACCAATGATTCTATCTCTGTAGTAGTTGGTGGTGGTGGGAGATTAAAGATCACGCGATGATTGGCTTAGCCATCTGCAGAGACAGGTGGGCACACAAAGAAACTCATTTAAACACTTAAATAAAACCTATCAGGCTATACTTTTAAGTTTTCAAGAAATTTTCTTCACGTATCATCATTATTGTCAAATCGAACAAACCTTGAGAGTAAGAATCTGCCGAGTGGGCTAACATTTGTGTTGGAACTAAACTCCTTGTTAACTGGTTTTCTTTTGTTCTCCGCATCGGCGGGTGCGGTCTTGGAGAAAACGCGGACCGCCATGTCCTGCACTTCCTTCACCGAAGCTTCTTTTGAACTGTTTTGGATTCAGGATTCAATCAGATCAAGTAATATTCCACAATCAGATGACCAAACTTGTGTTTGTGTGCGTTCTCTGTCAAAAATTCATGTACCTTCCCAAAAGTTCAATCAGCTTGGCAACAAAAGCTTCACAAGAACCAGGACTTTCACGTTCCATCGCCACGAGGGATCTCGACACTGTATGTCCTATAGACGCTTTTGAATCGCCACCAAGAGCCTACACCACAAACCAGATTACATACATGATCTTCATGGTATTCGTTTTATTAAAACATATAACTCTTTTCGTTTGTTTGTTATATCCAAGTAAAATCGATGCATACCTCTTTTAGGGACGGTATGAGCAATACTGACAACGATGCAGGTAATGAATCCCATATGGAGTCATCTTCGTCATCACTCACTTGTTGTGATCTTGGAAGCGCTTTTTCTTTACCGCTAGAATTTCTGCATAGGTTATGTAGCTTCATGTTAGGACTAACCACGCGAAATGCTGTGACCAGCATAAGTTATGATCTAGATGTACCTTGAATGGTCAGAATCTTCTGGCATATGTTCCCTTCTTCGGCTAACCCTCCCATCATTATTGTTCTTCCCCATTCCAAGTCTTTCTCGAGCATTTCCCCTTCTAAAACCTGCGTCAAGTGCTGCCTTTGCCTGAAAGAAGAATTGAAGTTAACTATAAGAATCCGATTATAAATCAAGAGGACCAGAAAATTTCTACAGCAACGTGAAATAAAGATAATAAGATTTGAGGAGTTCAACAACCTCGGCGAGATTTGCGATGCTATCTTCTGATGCACTCGAAGTTCTTTCTTGAATCCCTAGTCTAGATTTTGGAGTTCGAGGTGATCCAGAGTCATCATGCCCACGGACAACAACAGTTCCACTTGTTGAAGCATCATCAAAAGATGCATACCTGCCGCTAGACTGCAAAGCAGAACTGTTATCATTAACACGATTTGTTGGAAAAAACAGAGCTTCTAAAGAAGATGTAGCAAACGCTGCCAGTGATTCTATACCGCAGAGATTTGTTCACGGAATATTGACGATGATTGAGAACTCCTTGGGGTTCTTATGACAACAGTTCCTGATCCACTACGCGATGATTCCTCCTGAATTTAGAATGACAAAGAAGAAATATATTTTACCTTGTTGTCATTCTACCAATAAGTATACATCAATATGTTAGGGTTCAACAGATCTGAAGGGTTAAGTTATCGTAATCCTCAACGTGAAACTTAACTAAGTTCACCATGCTTAGAAGTTTAGAAGTTTTTTTTTTAGATGCAAATGCTTACAACAAAGAAATGGGGTGAAAGGAGACGCACTGCATCGGGAACACAAGAGACAAAGGATCAAACCTTAACCTCTTCGTGGAAGCCATCTTCTTGGTCATTCTGATAAGAATGTCTTTTAACAAAACCTCCTTCAGAGGCTTCGGGAACTGTACTACCAGAAGTGGGTGACAAATGACTACTACTAGCTCTTGGTGTTCTTTGAGAACTCTGATTAGAAGAAACTTCTTGGCGTCTCTCCCTCGCTTGAGGAGGTTTCAAAGCACGAACTGTTCCGATACTCTGAGATCCCCCAATGCTAAAGTCCCACCCAGCATTTTTGACAGTTTTCCCCTGAAAACTGTAGCTACAAGTTAATAGAGAATTCATTAAACAAGAAACAGAAGAAACCCCAAGCGGAGAACATTCATCCAACCTGGATCCAGGAGTTCCTTGGCTTCTCTCATCTCTAGCCACCCTAACTGTACCAGATGATTCAACCGGAGCTTTGGGACTATTTCTAGGAGCCTCTTCATCCTCTCTTACTTTGTACTTTGGCCGCTCTCTTTAAAGAGGAAAAAACGACAGAATAACAATCGTGCTTATTCTGGATTTTCTTTTGGCATATAAAAGATCAAAAACAAACATACGGGAAAACCATCTAAACGTTACTTTTGACATACAATCAAACAAGGAAAGTCACAGAATTGGACCACAAGTCAGCGATGTTGAAGAGAAAAAGCATCAAACCTTATCCTCTCAAGAAGTTTCGGACTTTTCCTTGCATTCTTAATAAATCTGTGTTTAATAAGTTCTTTGGCACTCGGTCTCTGCGAGTATAAGACTTATATAAGAGATCTTGAAAATGTCACTGCTGCCAATAAAAAAACAAAGAATACAAGGATTGCATTGCAAATACCTCAGCAGGAGCCTTTTTCAAACATAATGAAACAAACTCCTTCACCGGACGGGAAAAATGCTCATCTAACTGCATAGAAAAGAAAGACACAATCAAGAAATTTCAGTGATAGGTTCCTTCTGAGGCAAAGCACTCCGACCATGCTGATTAACTAAATCATATTTAAAATGAACATGTAAAACCTGAGGAGGATTTTCCCGAGGAATGATAAAAAGCACTCTCATAGGATGAAGGTCAGCTAGGGGAGGTTCTCCTTTTGCCATCTCGATAACTGTTATTCCGAGAGACCAAATATCTGCCTAAAAGTGACAACAATCACAGCAACAGAATAAGAATGCAACAAAATACTAGATGTGCTAGAAAACAAGTACAGCATCTATACGACATGCCAAGCTATGAGAAGTGAAGGTCGGCATATAGGCGAGATACCTTCTCATTATATCCTTCTGAGTTCTGAATCACTTCTGGTGCCATCCAAAATGGTGTTCCTACAAAAGTCTGTCATTCTTTAACATATCAGCGCATGCAAACAGATGATAGAGCGAAAATTCTAGATCATCACCGAGAGTTAAAGATAAGATGTTGTCCAAATTGATCAGAGAAGCATTTGCTCGTTATCCATTTTTCAGATCATTGTTTCTAAGATTATAATTTTGCCCACAATTGAAACGTGACCAGGATTCTACTATATATAAGGCTGTACATAAGAAATTAAAACTGAAGTTGCAGATAAACTGAATGAATAATTCAAGAGAATTCTAGTCACTGGAAAAGTTGACTCGGTAAAAATTAATAAGACCGCACAATGCAAGCAGCAAAATAAACAAGGAGCCCATTAATAATATATATATATATATATATATACAACAGAAGAGGAGCAAGCAAATAACAAGAAACAGAATAAACAGTGATCATTGGTATAATAGAGTAAGCACCTTCCTTCTTGATATTGTCCGTGTTAGTTGTGCAGACACACCGAAGTCTGCCACCTGATACAGAGTGAATAACAAGTTGACGACCGAGCTCGTGCATCTAATTCTCGATATAGAAGCTACTGAAGATTTTTTACTATCATAGTTTTTTTTATTAAAAAAAACCCACCTTAACATCGCCATTCTCGGTCAATAATATATTGGCAGCTGCAAAAATAGGAACAACGCGATATTTATGTACCGAGCAGTTAAAAAACACATTTGATCACAGAAAACCCATAAAGACAATAATAATATCAACGAAGACAAAACCTTTGATGTCTCTGTGGATCTTTCCCTCATTATGCAGATATTCAACAGCATGAAGCAGATCCCGTGTGATACAAGCGATTGATGTTTCATCCAACGGATGACCAGACTGAAGCTGCACAAGATATATTTCTTTTGAAGATTATAAGTTGCACCGAGAGAATATAAGTACAGGCAAAGACCTCCACACAGTGCGTGCATCACCACACACAACTATAGTTCTGACTATAATTTGCAAAGAAGTGAGTTGACATACAAGATCAGCAACAGAACCACCGGCCATATATTCCATGATGATCCACAGCTTGGTCTGATGAAGGTAAGAACCATAGTATTCGGTAATATATGGGCAACGACATTGTGACAACACTGAAATTTCCTGAAATCAACAACAGAAAATGAACACGGCGATCTTTAAACACAATTTGTCAACCACAGAAACTGCAAAAATCAAGAGATACCTTCTGGATATCTTCGATCTCATCTTCTCTGCCAAATATATCAAGTAAATATATAATTACTCAACTTATTAGACAGGAAACAACAGTATATTACCCAAACTGCATAGATAAATCGAAAAGAAATAACTAAAAAAATGGAAAATGAACTCACGATTCTTCCAAGTCGATAACTTTAATGGCAACTTCTCTATTAAGGTCCTTATCAAACCTGATAAGCAGCAGCATAGAAATAAGATAGCCTCAAATAGTACTTAAGACAGTCCTTATTGCATAAACTAATAGATAAAAAGAAAATCAGTTACTTACGCTTTGTAGACATCACCAAAAGATCCTCTACCGATTAACTCAATCTGGCTAAATCTGGCTCCAGCTGCCTCTTGTAAACCCGCAACATCGTCCATCTCCACATACAAGGGAAACACTTTTTTTGAGAAAAATCAATGATAAGAATCAGAACGGACTATAACGCCTTTTTCACCAGGCCCACTCCTTCTCCCCACTGAAACTAATTTTCACTGCTCAGTAACACGAACTACTCGAATGTACACGAAGAAACCAAGACGCAAACTAAGAACTGGTAAACGATAAACCCGAATTAATATAATTGCAATGCGGAAATGCCTTTTACTCAAAGCAAACAGATAGAGAAGAGAAAACCGCAAAAAAACAGGCCGTTAGGTGGATTCGAAGAAGTGACAGCTGACCAAGAAAAAAATTTGCAACTAAGTCAAAAATATTCGTCACTCTAAGATAGTTGCAAATTGGGACATCGTCACTGAACTTTCTCTTGTACGATCAATCAGGGCAACGGGAAATTTTCCTCGATTACAGTATCAAATTCTCTAAAGTTCAGGATCGATCCAAAATTACCTGATAATATCGACTAAGACAGCGGACGAATACAGCAGATCTCTTCGTTGTTCGTCTTCCCTTTCGTTTTCAATAGCATTTTCCGAGGAAACGCTTTCTCGAGCACCAAGAGATCGAGAGAAACTGTTGGCAGATTAAGTTTCCTCGATTTGATTTTTTTTCAATAATTTCTCTCGTTTTTAATTTTCCTTCCAATTTTTTTTTTTAAAAAAATCATCGAAACTTTTCACATAGAACTGACCCAGCTCATGATCCATCCAGTCAAAGAATAACATTCCGGCCTAAGTCCAAAGCATATAAAAGTCCAATAACTAATCAAGCCCATATAACGGCCCATGTAAATGAGAACTCAAATTTATCGGAAGAAGTAAGATAAGAAGTAGAAGAAACCAACCATATTGTCTTTGGCCTAACATATTCCTGTGCATCTGTTACTTACATTATATATACCGTGTAACATATAATTTTGGTGTTTTAAAATGCTTAGCATTTGCATTTTACTTACAAGACAAATACGAAAATGTTTTCTCGTATAATCTCACCGCTTATTTAAAAAAGTCTTAAATTATTAAAACCACCGCTCCTAATAATTTCATCGCACCATCATTTGACAATCAGTAAGTTTAATTTAGTAGTACTTGTAAACTTTATAAAAAATTATGAAAACGATGGGTCCCACAAAAATAAAATTTGTGAGTAAAGAGCAGAGCCGGTCAATGCGGGAGCAAAGACCCGTCAGAAGTTTCAGACTGATGCAACCAGACCAACTCTCAGTTACTACGAGTTTCCTATTTTTATTTTGGTTCAATCACTCACACATTTCTCACGCGCCATCATAAGTTGTATTCTTCACGTGGTTCGGTTTCTTCTACCGCTCTTGTCTTTTGGTGTGTATGCACGCGCTTGATGTCAAAACGAGATGCTGTGTCATTGTTGTTGATGACAAAGCCAGTCGAGTCTTACACACGGGCACGTGCGCACGTGACTCCTAAATCTCTTCTTCCTATATATTCTCTTTGTCGTGCCCCCTTAATCTGCGTGCGTGTCACACAGAAGTAAGATGAATCTTGGTCCAAAACCAAATCCCAAGTTTGTTTGACGAGGGTGACGAATGACAAATTAAAAGGCTTTCTCTTCAATTTTTGAAGAAAAAATATTACTACGTTTTATATACTATATAGTTCAGTTTTGTAGCACTATACTTATTTACATACAAAAATATAAAGTATATAATTTGTTAGTGGGGGTAATTAATTATAGTCTGATTGCAACTTTAATCATAACAACAACAGTTTATCCACTCCAAACTATATGATTATTTCTCTTTCAGAAAAGCAATACTATTAATTATAGTATTAATCAGCGGTTGATAATTGGATTCCATTAAAAGAAATATAAAGCTCAGCGGTTGATAATTGGATTCCATTAAAAGAAATATAAAGCGAGTTAAATGATTTTATCACGAAGATTTTTCACGTATCTTTGACTTTCTTGGCCTAAGAGTAAATCCTTTATCATGCAAAAACTTTTAACCTTGCGTTCAATTGGTTATCAATAATTAAATAAATATTATTCATTGTTAACAATACCAAACTCCAAGAAATTCGTATCCTGTTGCCACAAGATTTGTGAGATTTTTACCAACAAAGTAATCAGAACTAAAATAACACATTATTATGTCGACAAACAGTAAATGTTGGTTTGGCAGTCAGATAATTGGCCTAATAAAAAATATCTTTTAGATAAATTAAGATTAGACCATAAAGAGTCTATAATAGCCTGAAGCTTGAGCAAAACAGGAAAGAAGAACAAAAAGGCCAAAGCGAGAGGAGAAATTAATATAACACATACCTAGATATTGTACACATCGACATACTTATATACAGATGGTGGGCTCGGAACATCATCATCATCACCATCATCATCAACAACAACATCATCAAAACCAGCAGCAGCAGCAACAAAGGAGCAAAGAAGCTTTGGGGATGGTGGCTCTACACGAGGCCCTAAGAACCGTTTGTCTCAACACCGAATGGACTTACTCAGTCTTCTGGTCCATCCGTCCCCGTCCGTACGTATCTCTCTCTCTCTTTCTTTTTCTCTCGCTCTCTTTCCCTCACTCAAAGCGATGTCGTTTTTGTTCTTCAGGAGAGTTCGAGGCGGTGGCAACGGCTGCAAGGTCGGTGACGACAATGGAAGCTTGTAAGTTACAGCTTTAACAAATTTATTTACATTAGTCAATGGTCAAGACTTTGCTTACTTTGCTTACCATAGTTTAGTCTTTTTGAACCATATGATTAAATAAAGTCAACATTTTCCCACTTGTGGTTTATCGTATTTAGTCGCCGGGAACTCTACCCGGAAAGCTTTTTGCCCGACAAGAAGCTAGACAGACTATATTACTATTACTATTACTCTAGGCTTGAGTAAGATATATCCAAAATAATTACAAAAGAGCTGCATGAAGTCATGAAGATTTCACTTAGACATAGTTAGATTATACCCAAAAAAACTACGATTGTATTTACCTTTCTTTCTTATATATATGGAGTTATATAGACAAAATGATTACAAAGATATGCGATTATATCTACCTTTCTTTTATGTTTTACTCTTATTAGTTATGATCAGTTTGATTCTTTTTAAAAAGAGTAATGATCTGCTGAAAGAGTCATCAACTGTAGGCTATATATAACAAGGACGATCTTGTCTAATAACCATAGTGTTTTTTTTTTTTGCTAATGAAATACGAAATTTTATATACACATATATATATATATATGTATTGACAAATTGATATGTGGGGCTGCAGAATGTTGATGTGGGAAGATGGATACTGCAGAGGAAGAGGAGGATCAGGAGATTGCTATGGAGACATGGAAGGAGAAGACCCTGTTCGTAAATCTTTCAGCAAAATGTCAATTCAGTTATATAATTATGGCGAAGGGTGGGTACTTGGTAGGTCCTTAATTACTTTATATATATATATATATATATATATAACATCATGTTTGGCTGTATGAGAATATACATAACCCTTGACCTCATCAATGCAAATTTACCCAAAAATATAGAAACTATGTATCTTCCCTTTTATTCTGGGTTTTGGATCATATTTTTGGCTAACAGGTTAATGGGGAAGGTTGCTTCTGATAAATGCCATAAATGGGTTTTCAAGGAACAAACTGAATCTGAATCTAACGCCTCAAGTTACTGGCAAAGCTCCTTCGATGCTGTAAGTGTTTTTTTTTATATAAAATAACTGAAACATTTCTATATTATTAAGACTAAAATCTGCAAATTTGTAACCCGACCGAGATCAATCTATCTCTTAAAAAAATGCAGATTCCTTCAGAGTGGAACGATCAGTTCGAATCAGGAATTCAGGTAAGATTAAGAGCAGTAACTCATATAGAAATGTTCTTGAGTTTATTGGTTTCTTGTTTCTCAAGTCACGTTTTTTTATGTTTCTGGTTGCACATATAGACCATAGCTGTTATTCAAGCTGGACATGGCCTTTTACAACTCGGCTCTTGCAAGATTGTAAGTATTTCACAGTAAACTAATCTCTTCCATCGGTTACATGTTCTCTAAACCGACCGGTTTTACTCAGATACCGGAAGATTTGCACTTTGTACTTCGGATGAGGCACACGTTTGAATCACTCGGCTACCAATCCGGCTTTTATCTCTCGCAGCTATTTTCCTCAAACCGAACCACTTCGTCTTCAAACACATCGATCATGGGCTCGAACCACCCTATACTTCCTCCACAGACTCAGCCATTGCAACCATCTCTTCCTCACTACAACTGGAGTGGTACGAGCCAACGACCGATGATGGCTCAATCCTCTTTGCCTAACTACCAGCCTCACATGCCTTTCCCGGTAATGCCACATTCAAACAAAGAACCAGACGCCGACGTGAAATGGCCCACCGGGCTATCTTTCTTCAATGCGTTGACTAACAATGTCAACGCTAAGCTTCTGTTTGATTCAGATGGATTAGGCGACAAACCAGAGCATCAGAGCCACCAGAACCAGAGCCAGGAGCAGAGCAACTCTGAGAGTCAAGCGAACCCGAGTGAGTTCTTGAGCCTTGATAGTCACCACCGAAACATGAGTTTCTTGGAGTGATGATATTCGTGTGTGACTCTCATAAGAACTTAGTTTGTTTCTTTTATATGTGTTTTGCTTGTTGTTTCGATCGTTTTATCATCACTTGTGTTGAACATAGTTAATCCTCTTTTATTTTCAATTAGTCTACTCTATTAAATCTTCTTCTTTTTTTTTGGTCAACAGTTTACTTTTTTTTCTTCCTTGAAAGCTTTTCTAGACCGTTTTAATTCCTATTTAGTTTGTTGAAAACACTGTTTGTTTTGGAAATTACATAACAGTTCCATTATTTAAAATAATATATGATTTTGAATCACCAAAATATTGTTTTGTTGTTGAAAAATATCTTAAAACTACTACTTTTTCCCTGAGCAACGATCACAAGTGTAATTTACAATTTGCACACGAATTCATATACAAATATGTTACTATAAACATAAATTGGTTTCGTAATTTAAAAGATTGTTTAGATGGTCACGGATGTCAAAGTTATACAAAGAACTACAAAATAGTTATAGTTTTGTTGATAAGTGTTGCCTTTCGTCAAACCAAAATATTTAGATACACAATATTCGTCAAAACCAACAAGCCCAATAATTCTGAACAACCAATATACTTTTTTTTATTTTCTCACAACCACGCCATAATTTTCACAAGTCGTTCCTCAGGCTCCCTCCAATGCATGACACTCTCTACAAGCAAAAAACGCCGCCATTACAATTCTTCTCCACCACTTCATCACGCTACTCCTTCTTCTCCCATCATCCTTCTTACTCATCGTCGTCGTTTTCTTTTTCCGGCCACCGACCCTTATCCCTCGGTTCCTTTTCACCGGCACCGGAGTTATATACTGCCACCGCTGTGATGAATACGACCTGTATAGAGATGCTGTCACCATCTCCGTCGCTTTCCTCGTCTTCGTGTTTGCGGTCTCGCCACATCTGCTAGTCGGAGGTTTCAAATCCAACGGCTTGTGATAAATGGGACTGTTGTTATTGTTGAAACTGCTCGTTCTCGGAGAGTAAGAAGTTGAGCTGCTATTACTACTGCCAAAACTACTCCGGCTGTTCGTGCTATTGCTTCGGGAGGTGTACTCGCTGGTCGTACGTGAGATTGACCACTTAGTATTATTGCTCGGTGCCGGGAAAACGTGTGGCAAGAGACGACCGTTGAAGAAGAGGTGATCGGCAGGAGAATTTTCCGTGAACGAGTCTTGTGACGGAGAAGATGGCGTCAACGATCCGAACTCGAACTCCGGCGGCAGGTCGTCGGAGTTTATGGTTTTCCCGTGATTCTCCATTTTGCTTATGGATTCTGTATTTGATTTATGTGGTCGTATATACAATAGTTGTTTAAATAGAGAGAAGACACGTGGCGAAACTGGTACGGAAAGAGTGAGAATCACATGAGGGAGCCAATCAGCCAAAGGAAAATTGCCAGCTCAGCGTTTGAATACAAGTGGCAAAGTCAAGGGATGGTGTTTGTAATGATCTTGTCCAAGTCTGTCGACCGGATCACGGATAAATTAAATCCTGATGCTATATTTAGTATGGTTATATTAATCACGATGATTACCGACAAAAACAAGAACAAAACGATAAATTATTTTATGTTGTATAATTATTTTTAATTGAGAAATTTATCCGCTATATGCATTATGTAGCTCACATGCTTTATGCAGGGGACACAAGTCTCCTAAAGATACGCTTTGGTTTAAAGCAAAAGCAACAATGGCATAGATTAACAATATCGTACAGGGATATTAAGACGACATAAATATATAAAACACATATCCACAAAATTAAAAAGACAAAGAGCTCGCTCTATGGCTTTTGTCTGCCATCGGCCAATTTTCAAGTGTCTCTTTACTCTTTGACACACACCATGGGATTAGGACCCATGCCCTAAGGAACACCTATCATCATCATTAATCTCAGTGCTAATCATATTATATCGCTTCTTTATGTACTAGTGTAGTTAGTTTATTTCAATTGAATTTTGAAAGTAAGTAAAGCGCATCATAGTTCCGGGCTTTGTCGGGCCATTAGAAATATGTTGGGCCGTTTGTTAAACTCACAGATTAAAATAAGGGCGGAAAAGTCATAGGTGGCGGGAAGACGTCAGCCATTTGCGGCGGTGGAAGCTGACATGCAACAGTAGCGTTCGTGTCATCTTCCTCGCCATTCTCACTCCTTCTCTCCTTCCCTCTCTCTCTCTTACGCTCGCGAAACGAGATAATTTCGTATGCGTTTTCGTCTGGTCGTTGTTATATTTCATACACACATATATATATAATCGTGTTTTCATCTTCGAGCCATGACCGGAAAAGAAATTCTGCACAAGATGAAGGAATCCGTCAAGGTATATCCCTTTGTTCTTTCCCATGTTACTTGAACATTCGAGATTTCGATATTGTAGCCACTAAATTTGAGTAGTTTGTTTTTAACGGATCGGGTCGAAACTTGATTTGGTAGAACGTAGTGAGAGAATCAATGTGAGGCTTTCATTTAGATCCAGATATGCTTTTTGGAATTTTGGGGGATTGTGGCAATTTGAAGAATATATATACGTTTTGATCAACACTCTCAGTGATTGATTCTAGTGATTAATAACAGAAGAAAACAAATCTGTCTTCTCATAAGAAACTTCGTCTATGTCGTTCATGTTTTTGGTATAGGAGAAAGTTGGGCTTGGTGCGTCGTCTGCTTCTGCAGATTCAGGGAAAGGGAAGAGCAAGATGTCGAAGCAGATCACACATGGTTTTCACTTGGTGAAAGGGAAAGCCTTCCACGAGATGGAGGATTATGTGGTTGCCAAATTCAAGGAAGTTGATGACAACGAGCTTGGCCTGTTCGCTATCTTCGATGGCCATCTTAGCCACGAGATCCCCGACTACTTGTGCTCCCATCTCTTTGAGAACATCTTGAAAGAGGTAATGGAGTTTCCTCTAAACTACCTGGAACTCGTTTTTCTTCTTCTTCTTCTTAACCTTGAAGAATATGAGAACTTATACTCTTCTTGTTTTCAATGAGGTAAGCCGAATTTCTGGCAAGAACCGGAGACAGCGATAAAGAAAGCTTACTATATAACCGATACGACGATTCTTGACAAGGCCTCTGATTTGGGGAAAGGCGGCTCCACTGCTGTGACTGCGATACTAATCAACTGCCAGAAGTTGGTGGTTGCTAATGTTGGAGACTCGAGAGCTGTTATTTGCAAAGGTGGCGTTGCGAAGCAGCTCTCGATTGATCATGAACCAAACATGGAGAAGGATGAAATCGAGAACAGAGGCGGATTCGTCTCAAACTTTCCTGGTATCTAAACTCGATTTTACAATTGTTAGGCCAATATGTTCTGGTTCTTGCTGTTGCATGTGGTTTTAATTTGGTTTTGTATTGAATGGGGTTTCAGGGGACGTTCCTCGAGTTGATGGTCAACTGGCTGTGGCGAGGGCGTTTGGTGATAAGAGTATAAAGATGCATTTGAGTTCGGAACCATATGTTACGGTGGAGATAATTGACGATGATGCAGACTTTCTTATCCTAGCTAGTGATGGGCTTTGGAAGGTTTAGTTCTTATCATAATCTACTCTCAACAACTCAATCGTATCGTTCGCTGATTATTCAAGGTCTTATATAGGTGATGTCGAACCAAGAGGCCGTTGACTCTATTAAGGGAATCAAAGATTCAAAGTCTGCAGCAAAGCACCTCTCAGAGGAGGCTGTTGCAAGAAAAAGCTCAGATGATATCTCAGTGGTTGTCGTGAAATTTCAGTGATCTTGGTTTAAGGGTTAGTCTTCTGCTCCTTTTGGCTGACTCGCAACCCTTGAATTATAAGCCTTTTCGATTAGCATTACACATAACAAGATCAAGTGGGGACTCAATAGTAAAAAAAGAACACATCTTAATAATATCTTCAAACATACAAAATCACTAAACATGACTAGACGCAAAAGTATGCAAAGTTCTTATACATTTTCGGATGGGCATCCTTTACACAACAAATAGAGGGTACCAGAGATTTGTACTTTGTAGTTATATATCGGTGCTTATAGGATTCAATAGCACAACTCACTTTTCTTGACATGCTTAGATGCCATTATTTTGATAACTAAGAGAATGTAGATAGCACATATGTAGATGACAGAAGAGAGGGAGCGGTCGTCTTTGTTATTTTTATCTGATCTGTGGTCGCTTGAATGATGAGTTGGTCATAGGAAGTTTCATGTCGACCCTGATTCTTTCTTGAGCCTGGATCAGTTGACCGCTAAACCCTCTCCGACCTGACCCTTCTCCGAAACCGTCTCCAGAACTCTTCCTCCTCCTCTCATTGTGTCCAGCTAAGCGCCTCCGGCAACTTCTTTTAGCTTCATCAAACTCTGGTAGCTCATGAAACCTGCACAATCCCCCAAAATCTCTCGAATTTTAAAACAAACCTCTTCTTGATAAACCGGAAGAAGCAATATTGAAGGGAAGGATGGTACCTGCTGCATTGTTGACAAAAACGTTGCTTGACGCCTACAACAGTTGTAGCAGTTGCCTTTGCATGAACTTCACAGACTTTGTGTCTGCGGTAATACTGCTTGGCCTCGGTCAAATTAGCAGTGCACCTATCCACCTGGCACAGTCGCGATGGAACACGGTCTGTGCTAGGTACTCTAATTTTCTCCATGGTTCTCTTCCTTTTGTCTTCATCTCCCGCTTCTTCCTCATCTCCATCCATGCCATTCTCCACTTCTTCGTCATCAAGGTTGGAGACTGGAACCTTGTCTTTCAAGTAACCCCACCGTTGTTTTCTCTGACCCTCCATTTCTGGTAAAGCTTTCAAGTTGTAGTCTTGAGAAGATAGATGGTGGTGGAACTCTGGTTAAGACTAAGCAATTGTTGAGGGATGGGTTTGGGGTTTGGAATGAAATGTTTTTTGCAGTGTTTAAAAAGGGGAAGAAAAGTCGGGAGATGGACCACTGTGTCCTTGTATGCTTCTCTGGTGGAATAAGTACTTGATTACGTGATGTGCTTACTCCCCTCCAGAAAAGGGAATAGAGAGTTAAGGACTTTTGATTAGAATTAGAAAGTGAAAAGTTTGTTATTACTATTGCATAGTCCTTCTGTGGGTTTTTTGGCTTGTTCTGATTCAATGAATACTACTAGTTGGTACAAGCTATATATTGTACTTCCGCTTTTATTATTTGACTTTTAATTCCAAAACGTTATTCAAATTGGGGACCCTTTTGTTTTCGAGATAACATTGATGTCCTTCTATGCAATTAGGGAGGATCCTTATTGACCACTGCAACTGTATATAGTACATAGATGAAGAGCTGGGAACCATAATTTACACATGGTCTTCTCATCTAACTTTTTACTTATTCCAGAAACAGACAAAGTTGTTAATAAATGGTGACATCCTTTGTCGATTTAGACTATTGGATTCCTCTGCTTGCAACCCTAGTGGTCATCTATTATTGGACCCATCTAGACAGTGCATTTAAGGTTAGCTTAGGATTGTAGGGGAAAATGGTTAAGTTCAGTTAAAACATATATCTGTCTTCCCTTTTTATTATTACAAGCTGGTTTGGTTTGTATCTCGTTTTAACCTGCCTTGTCTGTGGTATTTGATGTTTTGGCAGCATGAATATTGTCTGTTCTGGACCATGGCATTAGTTGATGCTTGTGCACTTTTTTTTTTTTTTTTTGCTTTCTTCGTTCGGGTGTTAGGCATTTATCATTTTTACCAATAAAGATTCCATACTGTGGGAGTGGCAAAATCACAGATTAAAAGATGGGAAATAAATAATGAGGTCACTTTAGCTAAGGGGTCAATGCAAACGACACTTGGAACTATTCTTGATAGAGAGAACTGTGATGTTTAAGGTTTACAGTTTAGCTGCTGAAAAGAGATTTTCTTCACATAGTAATAACCATAAAATGACAAAATCCCTCGCTTTTAACCTTTTGTTTTGTTTTTGGCTTTGATAGGAGAAGAAGAGACCTCTGCAGATTCCATTGATCAAAAGTCTTACTGGTCACTGAAACAAGTAAAGAGTCTTTGAGTTTGGACCAGCTTAAAAGAATCAGAACAGAAAACAAGTATGGGCGTTTCCTCTGTAAGATGCAATCATCACCACTTCTATTAACTCTTTTATTTTTTTCTTTTCAACTGTGTGATTTCCTCTTTGTCTGTTTCTTTCTGGGAATAAAAAAATTGACAGTGAAGCTTTCTTGGCTTCTCTTTTTAATGTAACTTGTTTTAATAATTATTATACATTACAGCAGTGTAAGAAAGAGAAATATAGTGGGTAGTGAAAGAGACAGGACATAAAAGGTTTCACATGCCAAACTGTACTCATGTCTTGAATCTATCATCTATGACTTGAGGCTTTTGGATTTTGCAAAGCTGCACTTGTTTTTGGATTGCAAAGTAAATGTTGTTACCTTTTTTTTCTTTCTCTCATCTCCCTTTGGTTCTCCCTCATCTTCATTTAAATTTGTTTTTAGGACCCTAAAAGAATATGCTTAGAGGTAAAGGACATGATTTTGCTTTCGTTTTGTAAGCAATTGTGTAACCGAGAAGTGATTCTTTTAAATATTTTGTGAAGAATCAAAGTGAAAAAAAGGTAAAGAATATGATAAGTTAATGCTCGTCTCTGTCTGCACGGTGCTGATTTCAAGTTTTGGCCCCTAGAAAAAGAAAGGAGATGCTATTATACTAATCCAGGAAGTGGAGAATATTATAGATAGGCAAAGTCATACTTCCTTCTCAGTCATGGCGAATTTCTCTGGTTTCGCATTTGTCACTTTTAACGTTAGGAAACAAAACGCACGTAGTTATCTCTTAAGCCACTACTAAAAACACTTAGAGATCAGAGATGCCTCCTTTCGTTTTCGGTTCCACTTGTCTCCTACATAGCAAAAAGAATTAGTTCTGTTTATTTGTCATAGATGCAAACAACTAGATATAATAGTATCATGGGTTTAAAACTAGATTTTTTTAAAAAATAAAACAATTTGCCATTCGTTTTTTTTTTTTTTAAGTAAGAGGCAAGTGGAATGATGATATATTTCATATCGTGTATGATTCACACAAATAGTCATGATTTTTTTTTGGCGAAGGACACAATAGTCATGATCAACTAGTTTTTTTCCGTTCGGATAACTGGTTAGAGCGATTTTAGATAGAGAATTTGTCTCTCCATTTACAGGAATTTTTCAGTGAGATCATGTGTAAAAATTAGTGGCTGTGTCAACGTGACATTCCCCCCTACGGACTATGCGATTGCGATCCAGCTGTATTCAAACCCAAACCGCACTATCAAACACGAGACAATTGTCAATTTTGTAGTTACACACTTAATTATCGTACCATTCCTTGCATACATTCACAATATCTTTCTTTTATCATCTTTTCAAGAGTAATAATGTAATATAGAGGAGATTATGTTTGTATTACTGTATCTATACACCCATTTTTAAAAGATGTATACAAAAAGATGTGTTCAAACTTTTTATGAGGGTGTTATTTTTCGTAGTTTAATTAACTCACTGTTCTGTTTTTCATTTTTAACTACGAAAAACAAAAATGTGATCAAATCTAGCAACGGTTCATTCATAAACCTTCAAAGCAACAACCCTCTCATTGAAACAAAGAACATTGAAAAAGACAAAAAAAAGCACCCTGCTGCTAACACACGAGCTCACGGCGACTTATTTTCTCCGCCGGTTTGTTGTTGTAGCTCCTCCACACCTCTATACTCCGTCGTGTCGACAGGCTGACCCACATCCTTCAGCTCCACCGCGACCTTGTCCTCTTGAATCCTATCGCTGTCATCATCTCCCGCAACCGCTTCACTGATGTTCTGACCCGTTTCCTTCGCCGCTTTCCAGGCGCCGTCCATTGCGTCCTTCATGTTATCTCCGGCGTTCACGGCTGCATCCGTCGCTTTCTTCACCCCTTCCTTTGCCTTCTCCGACACGTAACTCGCTGTGGACCTATCGTCGTTTGAACCTTGCTCGTTGTAACGGTCTCTCATGCTCTATAAATAATTAATCTCTAATTGATTAGCACAATAATACCAGTTAATTATATATAACGAGAAAGAAAAATGATACATTTCTTAATACGTAGATAACAATATGTTTTGGAAGAAATATAATCAACTACTAATCTAAATGTCACCTCAAAATGATATTAACCACGGACATACCTCCGTTTGCCTAAATGCGGTGAAGAAGCGGTCGAGTCGAGTGGTACCTTGTCGGAGGACATAACCGGGGGCATGATCTCCGCCAGGAGTTTTTGAAACGGTCACCGTCGCGAGTCTCTTCACCAAAAGCCTAATAGTCATAGTTAATTTTCTCTTCTTAATTTTTGTTTACTTTGATTTTTGTCTTTAAACTGTTGCTTTCCCACATTATCTCAACTGCTTGTGAAGTACTTAGCGAAGATCCAAAGCTTGCGGAAGTCAGTGGATTGGTGGAGGACTGGGCCAACGACACGTGAACATGTACGACACGTTTCCTAGTTGATGTGTCGTGTCTCGACACGTGCTCATAACGGCACTCGCTAAAAACTAATAGACTAAAGACCAAGCCTGTCCATGTTATTGGGCCGTTCTAATTTCGGCCCATTTAAACTAGTCGGGCTCAGCATATGAAGCAAAAGCTGGCAAAATTATCTCTTCCATTTGGAATTGCAGAGAGAGCGAGAGACTTCGATCGCCGGCGAGAAGAAAATGGCGGAGATCAAGTGTGTCGGAGTAGTGGGTGCTGGTCAGATGGGCTCAGGAATCGCGCAACTTGCCGCCATGAACGGCCTCGACGTCTGGCTCATGGACGCTGATCGTGATGCGCTCTCTCGAGCCACCGCAGCTATCTCCTCCTCCGTAAAACGTTTCGTCTCCAAACGTCTAATATCCAAGGCAAGATTTGATCAATTTCTTTAAACCATATGCTTTATCCTCTTAGGAATCTAGATTTTCTATTTACAGGGTGCTTTGTTCTGTATTGAATTATCTACTCGAGATCATTGTTCAAGCAAATTTCACCTGAGCCAAAGATAAATCGAAATACAGAGTGTTCTCTAGATTTTCGTTTGGTTTTTTTTAGTGGAAAATCTTTGTCAGTTTCTCTAAAAAACCAAAAAGCTCGTTCTTATGATAGGTGTTCAGGCTTGAGAGTGTTTCGGGATTAAGGAAAATGTAAAATGGTCGAAATTTGTGGTAATCCATTTATCACCAAGAGTGATATTGTACGTTTCAGGAAGTTGGTGATGATGCTATGCGTCGTTTGCGTTTAACATCCAGTCTTCAAGATCTGCGTTCTGCAGATATCATCGTCGAAGCCATTCTGGAATCAGAAGACATTAAGAAGAAGCTGTTCAATGATTTAGATGGTATAGCCAAGAGTTCTGCTATTTTAGCTTCCAACACAAGCTCCATCTCCATCACTCGTCTTGCATCCGCGACACAAAGACCCAGCCAGGTTCGAGACTCCTTCCTTCATCTGCTCAAATTGATCATTTTATCTGTCCATGAGTTTCAGGTCTAAACATTATTCAAACCCGTCTTCTTCTTCTTCGTCTACAGGTCATTGGAATGCACTTTATGAACCCTCCTCCAATAATGAAACTGGTTGAGATCATTCGCGGCGCAGATACCTCAGAAGAGACGTTTGTTGCCACAAAAGCACTGGCTGAAAGGTTTGATTCTTCCTCGATAAAAAAGTTTACACCTTTCAAGTCCAGAACAAGTTCAGTGAAAATGGGATCTTAGAAGAACTTGCTTGGGTTTGGTTGCTCAGGCTGATACAATTACTCTGAACCCCTGCAGGTTTGGCAAGACAACAGTGTGCTCACAAGACTACTCGGGCTTCATCGTGAACCGGATCCTCATGCCGATGATCAATGAAGCGTTCCACACACTTTACACAGGGGTGGCTACAAAGGAAGACATTGACAGCGGAATGAAGCACGGCACTAACCACCCGATGGGTCCTCTGGAGCTAGCGGACTTGATCGGCCTAGACGTGTGCTTGTCCATCATGAAAGTGCTGCATCAGGGACTTGGGGACTCGAAATACGCACCTTGTCCTCTTCTTGTTCAATACGTTGATGCTGGAAGATTAGGAAGAAAACGAGAGATCGGAGTTTATGACTACCGTAAGAAGCCTGTCACTCCATCTCCTCGTCTCTGAGAAAGCAACAACCAAAAGTCAATAAAAGATGAAGATACATTTAGATCTTTAAGACATGATCAACAAAGCCTTGGGTTGTGTCTTGTTTCCTTTGTTTTTTGGGTAGATATGAAGTTATCGGTTAGCATAAGCGAACCGGTGTTGTAACCTTGATCCTTGATATGTACCGTAGTTTAGCTTAAACAAATAAAACAAGGCGTTACCTTGTTGTTTTCAATAAATTACTTGTACAACGAATAGTTTTCTTTATAAATTGGTTACTTCGAATTTAAATTTAATATGTTACTTTTGGTTGATATAGTCGTCTGGTTTGCGTGGATCAATATCAAAATTAAGATGTATTTTCCTTCAAATCTATTCAAAAATAGACAATTTTACCAACAACACGACGACAGAGGATTTCGTCAACTTATCACTGATGACGAAGAAATTTAGAAGATAATGATTAAAATCATCACATGATAAGTTTTAGTATATAAGTTGATGATGCAAAGAATAACTAGTCAAGTAACAAAAGACAAATCTCTGTTGACGAAACAAAAAAATAGTAAAAGACAAATCCCTTACACATTATTGCTACAGTATCTTTATCCAAACCTCAACGGTAACTTGCATTGCTCTCAAGTCTTAACGTAATAATACTTTACTTTATCTCTTGAATTGTAGTAGTTCACAAGTAATCTAATTGTAAATCGTGCGTATGTTTATACTTAGTGGCTCGTGAGAGTATCTTATCTTTGACCTCTCAAGTCTCCATTAATTTATTAAAAATATTTAATTAGCAAGATATTAAATCGAAGTGAAAGATAAAAAGATATTAAAGCAGCGCAGAGCAGCGTTAAAACACGAAAATTACAGTCGCAGTAAAATGTATAAACATTCTTCTCTCTTGCCTCTCTCCTCAAGAAGTTTACTTCTCCGGCGATACTCTCGGAGAAGTCACCGGGAACAGAGGAAGAAGTTGCGGCTCCGATTCCCTCGGAGTTGAAATCGGCGATTGGTGCAAGTAATAACCCTTGTCGGCGATCGCTCTCTCTTCCTCCGATAATGGCGACATCCTGTCGAAAGGGTCGCTGTCGTTTCCGTCGCCGGCGTGCTTTAACGGCGTCACGGGGCTGTTAAGTGCGAGCTTCGGGAAATCAAGACAGCTAGGAGACAGAAGCTCCTGATTTCTCGGCGAGAATCTCGGGCTTCCGGCACCGTTTCCGCCGCCGATCATGAGTGTATTAATCATGAGGCTGTTCTTGAGGTTGTTGTTAAACCCACCGTGCGATCTCCTCTCGTAAAGTTTGTTCCCCGAATGTTTCTTCGGCTGAGCGGTTTTGATGGGTGGAATAACGAAATTACCCTTCCCGGAAGGAGTCACCGGAGGACGCGGCGAGTCTGGGGATCTCGGGGAGGAGCTTCCGGTGAGCATCTGGACGACTTGTTTGAAAGAGTTAGTGTCTGCTTGAACGAAAGTCGTCGGGTAATGATCAGATCTGGTTATTATGTGGTGATGTAAAGATCCATTGATAATGGAAGACGAAGCTGATGAAGAAGCAGTCGAAGATGGGTTTCTGGAATCTCCTGGTTTTGTTGCAATCTCCATTGATGTTTCTCCTTTCAGAAGCTTCAGACTTTTAATGGTTTCTCACACAACTCCACTAAAACCTAAAGTTGGAAGTTTTCTGTGTGAGTTTGAGTGAAAGAGAAGAAGAAGAAATTAAATGGAGGTCTCATCTTAAGGTTTTGGGATTATAAAAGAAGTTGGATTGGTTGTTTTTATTTAATCTGGAATCTTTCTTTATGAAAAAAAACTCTTTTAATTTTAAAATTCAGACAAATAAAAGTTGACATGAGGATTTGTGCCCAGGGAATCAAAAGATGTTTTTATTAGGCAATTTTAAATTCTTACTTTGAATTTGTCTGCCATAGTGCATAAAGGAAGAAATTGCAAATGAAAGAAGAGAACTTTGTCTTTATTGGACCATATTGAAAAATCTACACACTATTCAGAGAATGCTTGCATAATTTTGAATAACAATCCAAAACTCTGTTGAGCAACAAATTATATTTTTTCTATTCAGAAAGTACAACAAATTATATTTGATACTCAGGTTTTAAGAAAATAAAAAATGACAACATCAATGCCTTTTCTTTTTGCCATGTATATACATATTGCTCCTCTCTGGTAATGTAATTATCAAATTCTTATCTTTATGCGCATGCATATAGATATACTGTATGATGAAAACATAGATTTATCGTTTATCGTATCTTGGTCTCCTATATATACCAATCAAAGTCGCACACATAGATATATTGTGTTTATATATAATATGTGCGTGCGAGTGTAAAATCGACATTTATCTAGCAAAAAAAAAAAATCATTTTGTACATTTGAAAGAAACTTCATGTTTTTTTCTCTTTAGTGGACTATATGTATGTGCGAGATTACATACCTTTTCCCTAAAAAATCACGCAGATGAACCATGATACGATACGATCATATATATAAATCAGAAGAAAAAATAGAGATGTTATAGCATATAATTGAAAAATAAATAAACAATGAAGTTTGAATATACGTATAATGCTAAGTGCGTTGAACCTATAGAAACACAATATACTACATTCACGATTAATTGGATAAGTTTTTGTTTGTTCTCCACGACCCGTTCGCAGGAGTAAGACTTTGGCAAAATTCAAGAATTTTTCTTATTCATATCGATTATGATAAATCTAGTCAACACTTGTTTCCTAAAATTAACAAAAAGATTGTGTGCAAGCTTCAGTTTAAACTTTAAACTGGCATCTTTCAGATGCGATAGGCGTGCATGTATTGAGCCGCAAACCCTAATGATGAATATATAAATCAAAAGTCGCCTGACTATCCAGACACTTGTATGCCTGAGATTGGTTTATTTCTCCTAGTTGAACGAGCAAATACTCCTATTAGTCTACTTCTACTAACAATTGTTAACTTCTGTTTGGCCGGTCCAACTAAATAGAATAAATTACTATTTGTATATGATTGTCTCAAAAGAAGCATAATATATGTTGATGACAGTAAATATGTCGTGTTTGAGTTACACTTTAATTCGTAGAGAGATTCAGATTTTGTGGTTGACATGGTTTGGTTTGATTAGTCCAAATTTTGATTCTAATTAAGGCCATCATTTTCTTCTTCTTTAGTATACCTAAATAATGAATTAGTTAGAACGATTACACGATGATGCTAAATTAGCTCTTCCTTTATATGTAAGAAAACATTTGGTTAATTAGATAATATAACTGTGCTGTATTTTGGATTTAGCAGATTTCTGATGACAATAGAGAAAGAAAAATTCGGAATCATATTGATATATATACACATTCTTGGTTAATGTAGGAAAATTATATTTGATCATAGCTGGGGTTAAAAGTCAACATCGCAATAATTAGATGGCAAGGCAATGATTATTAATTAGTACTCTTTCCATTTTTAAAAAGAGTGTCGTTTTATATTTTCAATGTAAATTTTTAAATAAAAATCTTGTTTTAACTTTTGTTAAATTAATGTATTAATTAGAAAGAAAATATTATTCTGTGGGTGAAGAAAGGGTAAACACATAACTTTTAATGATTTTCTTAATTTGTGTGAAAAATGTCAAAGTGGCAGATATTTTGAAACAGAGAGAGTAAAATGTATTTGTTCTTTCCTTTTTTTTATTATCGTTTTAAACTTATTTTTTATATTAAAATAATTATCGTTTTCATTTTCTATGCAGATTTATGATAGATTTTCTAATTGTATCCCTACTTTTTAACTTATTATTTACTTTTATCAAACAAAATTATATAATAACTAAAGGTAAAATAGAAAAATTAATTATTTTTTTAATCCGTGTGAAATCATCTAAAACGACAATTAAAATGAAACGAAGGAAATAATTAACTAAATATTAAAGAAGAGGATGAATCTTTACTGCCTAACCTATATTTTCTTTTCTGTCAATTGCCTAACCATAGTAGTTTGTTTCCCACTTTCTTTCTTTTTACCTTTTTTTGGTTGCTAATGTGCTTGGGAATATATTCATACTACTTCAAATTGAATTTGTGTGATTAATTATTTTAATTAACCATTCATATTGAAAACAAAATTTAAACTTTTCATGGTAGGCTAACGATGCTTATATTAGTGGCTAAGAAAGGCTTTCTTGTCATAATCATTAAGTTGTTAGATTCTGTAAAATTAGACATATTTTTAGGCTAGGTTAAATCATCATCACATTTCATTTTAACCAAATGTTCCTATTTTTCCTAAATGGTTTTGACCTATAATTAATGATGCTGATCTTCTTTTATGATAGATGTTTGATGATGTTGAATCTTTCATCGTTCACTACAAAAAGAATTGATCCAAGCACAAGTGTCCACCACCAATTTTTAATCGGAAGTAAACACAAAACAATCGATAAAATATATATACTTTTTTTCCACAAGAAAAGACTAATGTAATGAAAATAGAAAGACAAACGAGAATATGTTCTACTCAAATATTAAAGACCTACGAGCTTACTGTAAATTGTACAAGCCTGGTCTTATTGAACACAAAAATCGTTTCCCGGTCACTTTAGCCCATTATAATTTTTTTCCTTGGATCCTCATCCCAAAGGCTTTGTATAACACGAGTATCTCGAATGACTAGTTTCAAGTTCGCAAATAGTTCAATGTAAAGATCCAAGTAAAGTAACGAGTTTCTGCAGTGGCGACTGTCACAAACATTGGAAGTGGTGTCTTTGGTCGCGTTTTGCAAGTAAGCGTGACGGGCATGTGTGACTCTTACCGAGTTTCGTGGTGTCACCACACGTGTGAGATTTGCATTGGATTCAGTGTGAGACACAACTCATGCATGAACTGCATGACTTCTGCAAGTTCTCAGCATAACAGTCAAATGTTGTTTTTGTCCAGTGACGAAATGTGATATTTTGGTTTTAGTAGGGAGGGTTGAGTTGATTTCGTGACCAAACCGGCCCCAGAAGTAATATTTTTTTCAGGAGAAAAAAGAAGAAGCTGTGGACACTATTGGCTAATGAAATCGTTGAATGCGAAGCTACTGCGAGAACCAATAAACTTTTGAGATACTTTTGCCAACTAAAGACGTATTAATTAACCATTAAACTTCACATGGAATGGCAAAAACTTTAGACTAATTGTCATTTCTTTCTAGAGAGGAACATTAGGCTTTTGTGTGTGTGCAAATAACTTCAATATCTATTGATATATAATAACAGTTTTTGTAATTCATCTAGTACAGAAGCAAAAACAAACGTAACAAATGACGAGATGCAGTTAACAAACGTGTAACCAACAACGTTAAAGTATTCATCTCAAAATTAAACATTAGATCAATGCTCCTGAGTTTCACCAACTTTGTAATCATCTAAAGCCTTAAACGTCCTCCGTTAAAAAGATTAAAAGAACATATTTTGGAGACCAATATTAACCGTTAGCGAAAGTAATATTTTGCTCAATACGACAACCAAATGTAATGATAATGATAGTAGCAAAAAGGCATTTGCACTTGATTCCTTTTTTTCCCTTCCGTTACAGTTACAATTAGACAGCAAATATCACTTGTTTTTACCTAATTTTAAGGAATATACACTTATTAACCAGTTTTAATTACAACATTTCATATATACAATTTATGAAACCTATTGCTGCATTATAAATACCCATATTTTGCTTATTTTGTGTTCCAAAGCCAAGCTTTCCTTAGGCTAAATTAACTAACTCATCATCACCTTAACAAAAATGGTCATTAAGATCCATTCTTATACGTTCAATAAACCCAGGTCACTCATCTCCTTAATTATCCTCTATTTCTTCACAACCGCAACCTCTTATCCTCATTCGGTTTTACCCGGAGAAGTTACCAATGAACAAGATCAAGAGTTCTACATTCTTGACCAAACCCCAACAATACTTTCGAATGTAACATTATCAAACAAAACCAGATTACTATCTTCCCACTACAAAAAGATCAGAAAAGGGATGAGATGTTGTGTCGAAAGTCACAACATTTGCAATGGAGTAAAAGCGGACAATGGGACGAGTTTGTTGTATTGTTGCAAGAAACATTGTCGAAATATCTTAGGAGACATGAATAATTGTGGAAGGTGCCATCACAAATGCAGCTTCGGGCAACGATGTTGTGGAGGCATATGCATCTACGTTGGGTTTAATCCTGACCATTGTGGCAAATGCAACAAAAAATGTAGATCTGGGGTCAAATGCGAATACGGATATTGTGGTTATGCTTGAATTTTGTTTAGAATATACAAAAAAGAACCGGAAGGCTAGCTATAGGGTAATTTGAAGAGTGTTGCACAATTTATAAAGAACTCAAAAGTATAAATTTCTTATACAAGATTTATATGCATGATTATGTATGAATATTAAATGTCGTTCATGAATACAAATTTATCATGCATAGTTAAGAAGATATCGTAATTCAAAGTTATTTTTCAAAAACTATCCTATAGAATTTTAGATTTTGCATCGTAAACAAAATGTATTTCAGTCATCTTTTTGGCTAATAAGTCTTGTCTTGGCTCTCCTACTACAATTTTGGTTTTACTGGTCTTTTACAAAGCGTCTCACAACTCTAATCTCACTGTACCGACACAAGAAGCTTCACTTGGTCCTTGACTTGGACCACACGCTAATCCACAAGATGAGAGATCAAGTTCGAAGCAAAATCTATGGAAACTCGAGGGCGGATTAATAAAGTCTCGACCTTTTTTAAAAGAGTTCCTTGGAGAAGCCAACAAGCTTTTTAACATGCACCTTTACACAAAAGCCCATCTCTGCTACGCTCAAGCTGTGGTGAAGGTGATCGATCCAAACAAAACCTATTTCGGGGATCGAGTGATAACCAGAAGAGAGAGTCCTGACACGAAGACACTTGATCTTGTCTTAGCTTATGAGCGTGGGATCGTGATTGTGGATATTACCGTTGATGCTTGGCCTCATCACAAGAGAAACTTGTTGCCGATCACTAAGTACTTTTATTTCAAAGACGGTTGCACAAAAAGTAAGCCCCTTGACGAACTTCTTACAGATATAATAAGAGACAGGATAAATAAGCTTTGATATTATAATTATCTGGTTTTTCTCAGGATTTATAATCAGTCAAGGGACTTGACTGTAACTATAAAGGTGGATTTTAATCCACAATACATGAAGTCTCTCCATGGACTTACAGTTCCTACTCACAATAAGAATTTTTTTCAGACAAAGTCTCTCCAAAGAGGCAGAAAACATAATCATCTAACAATCTAAGGTTATGGAGCTAATAAGAACTAGATGATAACTTTGAAAGCCCAGAAGAAGATCCTCCTTCACTCACTATATCTTCTCTCCAATTAGGTAAAGTTAACCCTTTATTTACTGTCTCTTTTGCCTTCCTCGAATCACCTTAAAAGTAAAACCCCGAGGACAAGCACGACAGCAAGTGCAGCAGACGAGAGTCCCCAAATCCAGTATTTCTGAGCCTTTCTACGGTTTAGGATGGCTTTAGGGAGAGCCTCGGTTCCTCTTCCACGGTGTTTGTACCTGAAACTTCTCTGCTTTGGGAACATTGATCTCTCCTTCTGGTGTCTCTCCTTCCCAGAAACTGCTAAAGTCCTTACCTTTTCCATCTCATTCATTACTTCTCCTGATTGGTACAGCTCTGCGGTAGAAGAAGTGTTTGCTGCAGCTTTCTTCTTCGCCTTCTTCTCACACTCCTGAAAACAAAAAACCAAGAATTCAGAAATCAAACCAATGAATATAACAAGAGTTGATGAGCAAGGCAAGTAATAAGTGATTTGCCTTGAGTTTCTTTTCAGCTTCCTTTTGAGCTCTTATGGCAGCTTTAGCAGCAGCTTTCTCTTGCAGCTTCCTCTTCCTCTCCATCGCTAGCCGAGCTTTCTCTAGCTGCTCTTCTCGCTTCCTCTCCTTCAAAGTTTCTTCATCGACCTCTTCTTCTTCTACTTCTTCATTTTTCGAGTTCTCATACACGGGGAACTCCGGATCTATAACATCACTCTCCTCAGAGCTCGACCTGTTGATATCCACCTCCTTTCTCCTCGCTTCTTTCTTTCGATTCCCGGTGATTACATCATCATTCTGAGACGAGTTTGAGCTAGAATCATCTCTACCCGCCATGTGAACTGCCGCACTTTCCTTTCCAGTCTGAACCGGAGCTTGCTTTCCTTGAACAACATGAGCTTCAGGATCACTAATCCGCCCATCTCGGCTCAGCTGTCTTTCACAGAGTGAATTCGAGAGTCTCTTCACGTAATCATCCCTAAAAGCCTTGTCATGGTTCCAATGAATCATGAATCCATCAACCTATAAAAGAAAAAAAGACAGTTGCGTAAATCTTTTTGCACATTGAACCAAATCATTTTTTGCAATTAGAGTGAAGAAGAAAACACACAAACCTCAGATCTAGCAAACACTTCAAGATCTCTAATGTTTCCAGAAGCAGCCAGCTCTTTAGCTTTCCTTATAGCAGCAGTGCTCTTGAAAAAGGTGGAATTCTAACAAACATAACCCAAATTTTAATCAGATTTGCGTGATCAATCCATCCACAGGCAAAGATTAACAGAAGAGAGACAAGAATCTAAACCTTTTTGTCTCGTTGTATCCTCAGCATCTTAATCCTTTCATAGCATTTGTCTCTCTTCTCAAGCACGCGTGCCAATTCAACTCCCAAAGCCCTGATCTTTCCCTGAACCTTCCCAACTTTGTCTCTCAAGTAGCTCATGTTCCATGTAATCGCATCCAGGTCATTCTTTACTCCATGCAGTTCCACAGCCTTTGCCTGATAAGACAACAAAGAAAGAACCCTCACATGATTAGATTCAACAATGTCTTGGTACAACCACTTCAAATCTTTAAGGCTTTGACAAGAGCTTGCTTACCTTGAGACGGTGTATGGAAGCATCTTTCTGCGCAAGAGAAACCTCACTTAGAGTTGTCTTCTTCCCGGTCTCCTTAAGCACCCAATCTTCTTCCTCGAAACCAATACTTCCATGTTCAATCACGTAATGTGCTACGTAGATCTGCATCCACCACATTAAAACACCTTTACAATCAGCAACACAAAACCGAATCTTTTATACTTTCCCTACATAACGAATGGCTTAGAGAGACAATTTCATTACAAGATGGTCGAGTTCCTCTTGTGAAAAGCAAAGCTGATCACTAGTAGAGCACCGGAGATTCCGTAGAGCTTCCTGCAGAGTATCGAATTCCATCTTCTTCTCTTCAAAAACCACATTGTATCCTTCCGATTTAGGAACCAAACTCTCCATTTGAGCAAACAAAGACGAAACCTCAGCCTACAACAAAACCCAAAATCAAAACTTTGGCAAATGTAATGATCATTTAACAAAAAAAGAGGGAGCTTTAAGAAAAAGGCTCACCCTTTCGGTTTTTTGAGCAGCGGAGATGTCAATTCGGTTTTTATTACACTGATAAATCTCCGTATCAGCTGCATGGATCTTGGCTTGGATCTCTGAATCATCACAAGCCGGTTGCTTTACGATGTAGAAAGAGAAGCCCTTCGTTTCAGGCCATTCGTCTTCGGCCGCACCTCCCGGTGAACTATCGCCGGAAGAACCAGTGCTGTCTTCTTCGGTGGTGACCGTTGATTCATCGCCGTTTGAGCCACCGGATTCGTCGCCGCCGTAGAGTATTAGGTCGGTCATCCCCGGCGGAGGAATCACCTCGAAGCCATCACACAGTATAATCTGCGCACCCATTTTTTGGGTTCCTATTTCTCATAAAACAAAGAACAGAAGGAAAAATCACTGTAAGAACTGTGACATTGTCAATGAAACTGAAATCGAGACAAAAATTCAAAAAGATCTGTCAGAGAAGAAGAAAAAAGGAAAAATATAAAAACCCCCGCAACAAAAAGCGCATAAAAAGTAAAGAAGATTTAAGAACATACGAGAATCAAAAAGAAAAAAACGAAGGAGATGTGTCACCCAATCAATAACAAAGGTTTATGTCCTTTAAATCAGACCCCCGAGATTATTTTTCAGCTCAGAACTTTTGTTTTATAAAAATAACCGCAGAATCGAGGAAAAGGACTGTTTAAGAAAAAAATTCGACCTTTAACGGAAAAAGTAATCGGGATTTACCGAGAGAGAAATGAGTGTCAAACAGATTCTCACAAAAATCTCAGGGTTTTGGCTCAAGAGGAAAAATATAATCTGTTTACTATGAATATAATATGAAATCGCAAAGGGAGATTAAAAAAAAACTCGAGTCTTTGGGTGAGAGAGAGAAAGAGAGAGACCCTGTTCTTCTTCTTCGTCTTCTCTAACAATGGAGAGAGAAGATTTGAGACTGGATCAGACAGATATCTCCTTTGCCTATTTCTTAAAACCTCTATCTTCGAGACTTTAAAAAAAGATTTTCTTGTTCATCCTTTTAAACATCATTTTAAGGAAATGTAGATTTTCTTGTATTTAATCTCTTTCTCTCTCTCTCTTTATTTTGTTTCTTTTTTTTTTTGAAAAAGTTCTTTCTAATCGTTCTTATTAGTTTCAGCTTTATCAATAAAATTTTCTTTTAATAAGTTTCTATCCAAATTTGCAAAACGTTTTTGTTTTAAATGTCAAGCCTTTTCATATTTCTTTACTAATTATTATTATCTCAGTGTAAATTGGCAAAATTACATATTATTATTGACAGTAAAAACACTACTAAATCATTTATTAAATTACACAAATAACTTGCTCTGTTTTTTTGTTTTGACCTGCAGAATTAAACTTCTTCTTGAACGAAAAGTGCAAGTCCGTAATGTTTAATGACAAGAAGGAAAATAAAAACAAATACTTAGGATAGTCAAGGTCAACTCTTATTTATATAAGTTGACTGTTGACTTTCTTTGGATTTAAATTAATCAAATCCCCTTTCTATTGCATGGATTCATATGTAATTATGAAGAAGATTTTGGCAAGAAAAGAGAGAGTTTTTTTTTCTCAATCAAGATAAACCTTATTTCTTTCTTTTATTCAATACATAATTTACTTAACTAAGTAACTTATTGATTATAAAATTCAATGCTGACAAAGCATGGCATTTGACTACACACTACCTGACATAAATTGAACTGGTTCAAAATAATATTTAACCATAGCGTTTTCTAAAATCCAAGTACGAATAGATTTTAACCGGTCAACACATTAGTAATCTATATGTAACCAGTAATGTTTTTAATGCTTTTAGTAATTGAATTCAAATCTTCAAATTTAGATTTAAGTAAAGCTCGAGAATATCATGGTCCTCGTCACCCTATTTTCATTCACTACCATTTCAGCTAAATGTTTTGCTGTTTCGTTGGCTAAGAATGCCATTTTGTTGTTGGTTGTGAACTTGTACAGTTGTAATGGAGATTAACCTTTTCTTAATTTATGAAATTAGCTGTTTATCCTTGTTTAAAATAATAAGCATCGTAATTATAATCAGAATATACTTCGGGTAGCAAAAATTTTAATTTAAGGAATTATTGTTTAAGGCTGGTATATAATCTTCGAAGTTTTTTGTCAAACAGATAGTATTATATTCGAAGGTAATATATAATAATAATTATAAAAAAAAATATATGGATGGAAAGCAGAGCCATATTCATTTGCAATTGCTGTACTAATTGCCAAAACTGTTGTTAATTACAGTATTTAGCTATGTTTGGATAAAGGACAAATCCCCACGTATATCCCTAACCACCCCAAAACAAAAAGAAGTTTAGCATTTAACTATCGGTTACAATCTTCTTAATGGGCAATTATTATACACGTTACGTAAACAAGTCATGGAACGGACAAAAACAAAAAATTGTAAACAAATGTCGGGTAGTTTTTTATAGCCGTTTATCGAATAATCACGATTTTCAACTAAAATGTATGACCATAGAGATTTAATATAGCGCTAAAAGATGACACTAATCTACAGTATGTTCATAAATCTATCTATAATAATAATATTATACTAATCTTTGTTCAAATTATACTAACTATCCATAAACCATGTTTAACTTTATTTTATAAATATATATATAGTAAAATGATTTTTTTTTTAAGTATATCTTCGTAGTATGGCAAAATGGTTTTTCTTTGTTTGTAACACGGCAAAATGGTTTTTAAAAAGTATATATCTTCGTATGGTAAAATCATTTTTTTTTCTCGTCATGGAAAATGGTTTATAAAAAGTAGATATCTCTCTGTATTAAATAAATTATTTGTATTTAGATTAAGACCTTGTTCGAATGGTTTACTCACACGTGCAAATAGACGGTTATGTCTTGGGGGAGACAAATGAGATCAACACAACAAATTACACAATTATCTTGTAATAAGAATGGTTTCTTGCTCTCGACGATAACGATAAATTACGTTTATAAATTTTTAAAATTTATATAATTTTGCAAGTTTTGATGTTAATACTTTGTTTGGGTTTTAGTTAATTTATTTTATCTTAGTTGTAGATTTTGTTTTTCGAAAAATTTTGTTTTCTACCGACTTTACTTCTTTTTCTTGAGTTGTGGATTTTATTTTTTAGGACATTTTATTGTTCCACCGACTTAAAATTCTATCTTTTTTTATATTTTTTTAAATGTTTAATAATAAAAAATGACAAAAAATGGTTCCTACATTTATATGTTTTACGTCTATCTACTTCTAACTTACTTGTTTACAAATTGACACAAACGAAGATAAAAACAAATGAGATCAACACAACAAATTACACAATTATCTTGTAATAAGAACGGTTCCTACTATTCCATTGGCTCTAGGCGATAACGGTAAATCACGTTTATAAATTTTTGAAATTTATGTAATTTTGCAGGTTTTGATGTTAATACTTTGTTTAAGTTTTAGTTAATTTATTCTATTTTAGTTATGGATTTAGTTTCCCGGGAAATTTTGTTTTCTACCGACTTTACTTCTCTTTCTTGAGTTTTGTTTTTTAGGATATTTTATTGTTCCGCCGACTTAGAATTCTACCTCTATATCCTTTCTATATTTTTTTAATGTTTAATAATAAAAAATGACAAAAAAACGATTCCTACATTTATATGTTTCACATCTATCTACTTCTAATTTACTTGTTTACAAACTGACACAAACGAAGACAAAAACAAATGAGATCAACACAACAAATTACACAATTATCTTGTAATAAGAATGGTTCTTACTATTCCATTGGCTCTAGGCGATAACGGTAAATCACGTTTATAAATTTTTGAAATTTATGTAATTTTGCAGGTTTTGATGTTACTACTTTGTTTAAGTTTTAGTTAATTTATTCTATTTTAGTTATGGATTTAGTTTCCCGGGAAATTTTGTTTTCTACCGACTTTACTTCCCTTTCTTGAGTTTTGTTTTTTAGGACATTTTATTGTTCCGCCGACTTAGAATTCTACCTCTATATCCTTTTTTATATTTTTTTAATGTTTAATAATAAAAAATGACAAAAAAACGATTCCTACATTTATATGTTTCACGTCTATCTACTTCTAATTTACTTGTTTACAAACTGACACAAACGAAGACAAAAACAAATGAGATCAACACAACAAATTACACAATTATCTTGTAATAAGAATGGTTCCTACTATTCCATTGGCTCTAGGCGATAACGGTAAATCACGTTTATAAATTTTTGAAATTTATGTAATTTTGCAGGTTTTGGTGTTAATACTTTGTTTGGATTTTAGTTAATTTGTTCTATCTTAGTTGTGGATTTTGTTTCCCGGGAAATTTTGTTTTCTACCGACTTTACTACCCTTTCTTGAGTTTTGTTTTTTAGGACATTTTATTGTTCCGCCGACTTAAAATTCTACCTCTGTATCCTTTTTTATATTTTTTGAATATTTAATAATAAAAAATGACAAAAACGGTTCCTACATTTATATGTTTCACGTCTATGTATTTTGAATTTACTTGTTTACAAACTGACACAAATGAAGACAAAAACAAATGAGATCAACATAACAAATTACACAATTATCTTGTAATAAGAACAGTTCCTACTGTTCCATTGCCTCTGGGCGATAACGGCAAATCATGTTTATAAATTTTTGAAATTTATGTAATTTTACAGCTTTTGGTGTTAATACTTTGTTTGGGTTTTAGTTAATTTGTTCTATCTTAGTTGTGGATTTTGTTTCCCGGGAAATTTTGTTTTCTACCGACTTTACTTTCCTTTTTTGAGTTTTGTTTTTTAGGATATTTTCTTGTTCTGCCGACTTAGAATTCTACCTCTGTATCCTTTTTTATATTTTTTTAATGTTTAATAATAAAAAGGACAAAAAAACATTTCCTACATTTATATGTTTCACGTATATGTACTTCGAATTTATTTGTTTACAAACTGACACAAACGAAGACAAAAACAAATGAGATCAACACAACAAATTACACAATTATCTTGTAATAAGAACGGTTTCTACTATTCCATTGGCTCTGGGCGATAATGGCAAATCACGTTTATAAATTTTTGAAATTTATGTAATTTTGCAGCTTTTGGTGTTAATACTTTGTTTGGGTTTTAGTTAATTTGTTCTATCTTAGTTGTGGATTTTGTTTCCCGGAAAATTTTGTTTTCTACCGACTTTACTTCCCTTTCTTGAGTTTTGTTTTTTAGGACATTTCATTGTTCCGCCGACTTAGAATTCTACCTCTGTATCCTTTCTTATATTTTTTTAATGTTTAATAATAAAAAGGACAAAAAAACGGTTCCTACATTTATATGTTTCACGTCTATGTATTTTGAATTTACTTGTTTACAAACTGACACAAACGAAGACAAAAACAAATAAGATCAACACAACAAATTACACAATTATCTTGTAATAAAAACAGTTCCTACTATTCCATTGGCTCTGGGCAATAACGGTAAATCACGTTTATAAATTTTTGAAATTTATGTAATTTTGCAGGTATTGGTGTTAATACCTTGTTTGGATTTTTGTTAATTTGTTCTATCTTAATTGTTGATTTTGTTTTTCGAGAAATTTTGCTTTTTACCGATTTTGCTTCTCTTTTTTGAATTTTATTTTTTGAGACATTTTATTATTCTGCCGACTTAGAATTCTATTTCTATATTCTTTCTTATATTTTTCTTTGAATGTTTAATAATAATAAATGACAAAAAACGGTTCCTACTTTTATATATTTCACGTCTATGTACTTCGAATTTACTTGTTTATAAACTGACACAAACGAAGACAAAATATAAACGTTCTAGAATCTGCGGTTACTTATCACCTGAAAAGATCCAATCCTTACACATAATTTTCATCTGATGAACACACATAAGCTCTATCATCTTTGTTTCAACAAAATAACCAAGATCAATCTTGTTTCATTAGATAAAGCGCACTAACAAACAAATAACGTCACAAATGTCTTTCTCTTGAACCAGTTTATGTTTTCCGTTTTCATATGCTTTCTAGTTACCGAACAAGTTACTAATCTTATTATTAACTTGAACGTTAGAAAAACATCGAACCAAGTATTTGAAAGTTACACTTACACATGCTTATTTTTGACTCGTGAAATTTTTTACTCTCTAGTAGACGAATCAGCAGCTCAGAACAAATTAAGCGTGTCTTGACCCAATAAGTCTCTCTCAGGTTGACAAAAAAACCCGTAAAATATGGAGTGAAGGTCACGGCTCAATTGATTTGAAAAACATATTGTGGGCCTTACAGTCCACGTTGGGAAGTACAGAGATTCTGAGTCTTTATAGAAGCCCATTCAAGCTCCAAAGTGATCTCGTGATCACTCACTCCACGCGCCTGGCGAAATTGTTAAACGCGTTATTTGTTAACACCATTTGCGCCACGTACAATATCTTTTTTTTTTTATATTATAAAGTCGTATTCGAATGTGTGAAAGCAAAAACTTCTCGAGAGTCATGATGTGGACCCCACTTAAAAACGAAAGAAAGCAACGATTCTTGTGAATACAATTGTTAAAATTTTATTCCAACTTTTTTTATGAATCATACAAATATTGGTAAAAATATTCTTATCACTCTTTTTTTTCTTAAAGAGAAATTTTTTTATCAGACTCACTTGAGTAGTGAAAATACTTATTTAACGTAAATACTCGACTGGGTCTGATAAGATTAAATTAGATTAAATGATGATGTTAAGGAGGAGTAATAAAGAAGTAGGTGGTGCTATCACATTACCATACGTGTCTGTTGCAATGGCTACGCAATAAATATGTTACAAAAATATGTTTTGTTTATTAAAAGGTCAAGCGTTTTAATCGTCTAGATGTAGGTCCAGCAGATAACAATCAACTCATCCAATTAGAACTGGGTTTGCTTAAGTGTCAGCTTCTCATTAGCTCCGCGATTTATTAAACTCGTACGTTCTTTAGTGTAAAGGAGATGTAGAGGATCCCTTTAAGCTCCCCCAGTATCTAAAAACTCTGAGAACGTGTCAGCCAAACGGTTTCTTTCTCCTCTGCGTTTAATTGAAAACGGAAAATTAATAATCGTTTAGATTCCAGAAATAAAGGAACAGAGACTCCAACAACAAAAGTAACGAAATTTAGAGCTGAAAAAAAACCAAAGATCGGGTTTTTTTCTTCTATTTCTTTGGTTTTAATTTTCAACGAATTTAGACATAAGAGTTCGAAAAATATCCAGCTTAATTTTCAGGAATTTATTACGATTTTTCCTATTTGCTTTTGTGTTTTCACTGTCTCTCTTCATCTATATATATAACTTTACTCGACACAGGAGTGTTCCCGTGTTCTTGAGCACAAAGTAGAGCAGAGAAACAAAGCGCAAAAAAAAGAAACTTCCTCTGCGTTGAGATTGCAAAAACAGCATCAAGGCAACAACTTAACAGGTTTCTTCATCTTATTAATCCATCCTACATGTTTCTCGATCTCTTTTCTTAAATCTCTAGATTTGTTTTTTGGTCATTGTTGGGATGAGTTAAAGTCTATTCCACAGCTGCGCTAGATCTAAATCGCACCTTCGCGATTCTGAAGGTGTCGGTGGTGTGTGTGAGAAGAGTTTCTCTGTTTGATGCTTTGTATGTAAATGATTAAATTTGATCTTTGGATAATCTACGACAAGGGTTTTTCAAAAAAAGTGATTTTTGAGATTCACTAATGTCACTTTTGAGGGGGTTTTAAGAGTTGCTTAATCTGAGGTTAATCTAGCTGCTGAGATGTCCGATTGATTGATTGATGATGAATCCCGATCCATTTGGTTTTTATGGAGAGGAGAGCCTTGTCGTCTTAATTTGAATTAAATTGTTTCGTAATTATGCTTTGAGGTTGATGATGCGTACGAATCTGGCAACTTAATGTGTCGGCTGCTTTTTTTTTTTTTTTTTCAGTATCTTCTTCTTTCTATTTCTGGCTCTGGAAACTTACTAGGTTCTTAAATCTGTTGTTTGTTCGATAGGTCCTCGTGTCGGAATCGAGCCTGAGCTTCTAGATTGTTGCTGTAAAATCACTTTTACACTTGGTCTCTGGAGTCTGTGCTAAACCGGTTTTGATTCGGCAAGGCAACAGTTTTCTTCCAAGAAGCTTTGTTCCCTTGTCTCATGATCACAGGTTTGCTGCTGCAATGGGGTATGTAAACGTGGAGAAGAGATGGGTTTTTCCTCTTGTGATCACATCTCTTGTCTGCGTTTTTCTCCTCGCAACCTCTTTCAACATGGGCCTCGTCTCTTCGCTCCGAACATTCAACGGGCTTTTCTCCATCATCCCTTCCCGTCTCGCCAGGAACCAAACCAGGCTTGAGTTTGCAGAGTCCAAGGTCACTAGACAAACCCATGTCTCGACTCACGAAGACAAGCTTCCCCGTTTTGCGTACCTTGTTTCCGGGTCTAAAGGGGATGTAGAAAAGCTTTGGAGAACGCTTAGAGCAGTGTACCATCCGAGAAACCAGTATGTGGTTCACTTGGATCTTGAATCGCCGGTTGATGAGAGACTAGAGCTGGCTTCTCGGATTAATAAGGATCCTATGTATTCGAAAACCGGGAATGTCTATATGATAACCAAAGCTAATCTCGTGACATATAGAGGACCAACAATGGTGGCAAATACTCTTCACGCCTGTGCTATTCTTCTTAAGAGAAGCGCAAAGTGGGATTGGTTTATTAATCTTAGTGCTTCAGATTATCCTCTGGTGACCCAAGATGGTAAAAAAAAAAAAGAAGCTTTGATCTCACTTTTGTTCTCTGTTTTTCATCAACATGTTAAGTCTTGTCTTTGATTTACTTACTGTCAATCATCTCTGTATTTGAAGATCTGCTTCATACGTTTTCGAAACTGGACCGGAACCTTAACTTTATCGAACACACAAGTCAACTTGGTTGGAAAGAGTAAGCTTTTTTTTCTCGCTCTTAGAGTTTCCTTTTTAGCTGAATCTTTTTTGGTCTTGTGTACTGATTTCTTGTTTCCTTGTGAAGGGAGAAGCGAGCAATGCCACTAATGATCGATCCTGGACTCTACTTGTTGAACAAATCAGATATATACTGGGTCACACCTCGTCGAAGTTTGCCGACTGCGTTTAAGTTATTCACTGGTCAGTCCTCTAAACCCTGCTTGAAGCTCCATTTTTGGAGTAGACCCATAGGATCAAAGGTTGAAACTTTTTTCTTGCTGATATAAACCCTTAGAACTAAAAAAACCTCCTCGCCCAGAAAAGCTTGTTGCTACTGAAGATCCATAGGATCAAAACAGTACTTCTCGCTAATAAAGCTAATTTGTTTCTGTTGTTATTGTTGTGGTCACAGGATCTGCTTGGATGGCTCTATCACGTTCGTTTGTAGAGTATTGTATATGGGGATGGGACAATTTGCCGCGAACCCTCCTAATGTATTACACCAATTTCGTTTCATCACCTGAAGGTTACTTCCAAACTGTGATCTGCAACGTGCCCGAGTTCTCAAAAACCGCAGTGAACCATGACCTTCACTACATCTCCTGGGACAATCCGCCGCAGCAGCACCCGCACGTGCTGACGCTAAACGACACGGTGCAGATGGTTTCGAGCGGTGCGGCGTTTGCTAGGAAATTCAGAAGAGATGACGAGGTGCTCGATATGATCGATAAGGACTTGCTTAGACGGAGCAATGAGAAAGATGGATTTACTCCTGGTGGGTGGTGCAGTGGGAAACCAAAGTGCTCCCAGGTCGATGATGTGGCTAAGATTAACCCTAGTCCTGGAGCTCAGAGGTTTCAGGGACTTGTGGACAGGTTAGTCAACGAGGCTATAACAGGAGTTAATCAGTGTAGATAGATCGATTTTCAAAGAGAAAAAAAGGAATCATTTTGTGGGGGAGAGAGAGACTGTTCTTATAATATATATACATATAGGGCTTCAGAGAGATTTAGTCCGGTTTAGAAAGACTGTTTATTAGTAGGCATTGTTTTGGTTGAGTAGATGCCTTGTGTCCCACGTCACATATTGGTGGGATTAGTCTGTTACTTGTTTGAAGTCATCTCCCTCAGATTCACAAACTAAATAAAAATTGTAATCTTTTTAATTGAGATGTTTCAAGTATAACATAGTATACAAATACAATTATTGTATCCTCCCTTTTTTTTTTAATGAAATTCTATACACAATGTTCCCCAATTTCCTATTCTTTTGGTAACAATTGTTTACCCTATAGTACTCCGAACAAAACAGATCTCTTGCCAAGAAGAACCAGAGACATCTGAAACTAACCCTTTGTCCCTGAGAGGCTCTCAAGCCATCATCTCCAGAATCTTGATGTTGCCACTGGAGTTAGCAGCGACTAACGTAGACGACTGTCCTCGCCAGCAGATCGAAGATATGAACTGTGAGGTATCGTCCACTTCTAGACCAGACGCGGAATCAGTGTTGCTGAACATGTACGACATCACTGGCATTGGGAATGCCTTGTGGTACACGAAGACCTGTAATGGATCCACAACAAGAAGAAGCTCAGTTTAATCAAGTTTTTAAGTGACAAGAGTCTTCTTTTTTTAATCAACCCTTTACCTCGTTAGTCTCTGAGCCTGTAGCTATATACCCATCAGAGACCGATAATCCAACAAAGTTCTACAACATATTGCAAGAACATAACATTTCAGAATGTGTTATTTCAGAAACCAGAGATTGAATGGAGTCTAGAAAAGCATATTTCTGGATAAATGCTACCTTTAAATTAGTGTGTCCAGAGAATGAATGAAGAGGGGTTTCGTTAATCCCAGAAGCAGACATCGATAAATCCCAAAGCTTCAGCGTGTTATCAGTAGAAGAAGACACAAGAGTGGATGAATCTACAAACTTGACATAACTCACTGTCTTACTGTGACCAATCATTGTGCTCAGAGGAATCTTGGGGTTCCGAAGATCGTAGTAATACACTTTGTGATCTGCAGAACCGAATGCTAAAGACCGGCCCGAGTCTGATGGAAACTGGACACAACATACATTAGCCTTTGTCTTGATGGTTCCAATGCTGACTCCCTGAAAACGACAAAAACTCTTAAAATCATACATCCTGGTTGATCAAGATGTCTTGCAATTTTGGAGAAAACCAGTTTCAGTTTTCAATAGCCGACATTTCAGATTAGAATTGCCTGATTGATACTCCATAGCTTGACGGTTCCATCATCGCTTCCGCTAGCCAGCAAAGTCGGGTCTGCTGATGAAATGTCGATGGACCATACTCGCTTCTTGTGCTCCTTCATCTCTGTAACCAACTGGCTTCTTGCAACATCCCATATCTTAAAAAAAACAACAACGTATATCCCAAAAATGGTTTCATGAAACTGGAATCGTTTTCTTAACAACAGAGCGGAATCTAGAAACTAACCTGAACTACGCCTTCAAAGTTGCTTGATGCAATCTGACTCTTTATGTAGCTGTTCCAACATACACTACTAAGCTTTGACCGGCCGGCCAATTCCACAACCGGATAGTGAATGTCCCGGTTATTGTTCACGATGGAGTTGCACTCGAATATCTTGATTTTCTTGTTGACGCCTGCAGTGGCGAAAAACTCTCCATCTCGGTCAAAAGCAAGTGCGCAGACGAGGTTAGAAGAGTTCAACAAATCTCCTTGTTTCAAATCTGCTTTCACTCTGAGCTTACTGAATGATAAATATCTGCACAAACCCTCAAGAAATGGATCTATCCACCCGCCTTGTCTCGGATCATTGCTGTAGTAATCTTTAGGTGCCACGGGGTTGCTTACGGAGCTTTTATCAGAGACGATCATGGAGCCTCTTCCATTTTCACTACTCAAAGGAGAATGTCTAGTTAATGATTTCCCCAAAGCAGCAGCTTTCATTTGCCTGCGCCTAGTGAGAAAGTAGACAGTTTCTAGTTTCTTGAAATTTCTCATCAACCGGGAGCTTTCAAGAAGTGTGCTTCCTTCACTCTCCTCGTCAACATCATCAACATCAGTTTCCGCTGGGGGAAGCACTTGTCTAAACCGTTTTCTTGAGGCCAACAATGTAGAAGGCTCTTCGTTTGAAGGGAAGCTCATCAATGGCTGCTGCTGACCAGAAGCAGATTGATGATGATCGTCTTTACTGAAATCAGAGTATAAGCTTCCCTTTTTCTTCAGAATCAGTTGTCTCTTCGCAACTTGCTCAATGTCGGAAGAAAGAAGCGAAATCGTATCCCGCAACCTAAATGCAGATTCCTGCTTTCTCTGTTGAATCATTAACAAGAACTCGAGTAACGACTCCTGTTCCTCGATTCTATCCCTAAGCTCTATGGCCGCTTCACGCTCTTCCAAATTATCTCTTGGTTCGGTTATAAACTCACTTTGCAGCAAGTCACTGCACCATAAAAGACACAACTTCCTCGATCAGTTCCATTTAGTAAAAGATGACGGAGACAAACAACAATGCACAGACTAAAAAACCACGAATTAAAACCTCATTGACGGTCGACAACTTGGCTCGGGATGCAGTAGCCACAAGCAGAAAGAAGCCTCTTTTGGACATTTGAGCAATATCTGAGGCGGAAGTACGCGATGTCTTAAACTGGACATAGTTCTTGACTTCTCTTCTCTTGAAGGCACAGGGCAGAATAGCTGCAAAGGGACTAAGTTTCATCTAATCACCTTTTCAAGAAAATAAAACATCCAACACAGAAGAAGAAAAAAACAGAGTCTTTGAATCCAAAAGCAGTTAATAATTAGTAAGAAACAATGTTTGATTTGTAAATCACAAACCTCGAAAAGAAGAACGCCAAGACGGTAAACATCTGAAGCACAAGTACTTGGAGAACCAAAATCCTCTTCAGGGCTTGTATACCAACTTGTCTCCATTGCTAATATATGTTTCATCGGAAAAGGTTGCTTCTTCTCTTCCTCTAGTTTCTCTATATGTCTCTCCAAGATCTTATTATAGGCTCCTTTCTCTTCTACCGAAACAGCTTTAGACACAGCATCCTCTCTTCTCGAGCTACCAACTTCCTTCTGGCTAATTGGACCGTCCTCCAGCGAGTCAGAGCCGGAGTCCGAGCAAGAAGCTGACTCAATGAACGAAACATGGTTAAACGACGACATGACGAAACAAGATGGCCTGACATTATGAACAACGATGCCTTGAGAGTGAGCCGCGTTCACAATCTCCACGATTTGTCTGAAAACGTGCAAGCACTCAAAAACATCTACAGATCGGTCTGGTTTATCCAGCCACTGCCTCAAGCTAACATCACCCCATTCCAATGATCTAACAAAAGGGTCAATCCCTAAAGAGTCTTCTTCACAGGGTTTGTGTGTGCTACTACCAAACAAGCTTCTTACATACTCGTCAACATGAGAGGGAGGCTTCGAACGAGCTGTGATTCTCTCAGAGGGTAAGAGCTCAGTGTTCCTGTCAGAAACACCAGAGGTATTGAATCCTCTAGAGTTGGAGTTTGAGGAACCTTCCATTTATCATCCACCAGAAGCTTATAGCCAGAAACCAACAAGAAACCGAAGACTTCTCTGGATTCGCAACTCTAAGTGGAACCATTTCGGATTCAACAGCTCATTGCTTAAGATGGTTTATCACAAGTCAGACATTCACCAAGAACATAGACTCTCAGTAAAGCCCCTTTTTTCAAGTGATCCCACCCCAAGAAAATCGCTAGGCTAGAAAAGTAAGAACACTCAAGAACATAGGAGAACCGTTTGAGAGAAAAACCCAAAAGATATAATAAATAATCAGGAAAAAATGCAATCTTTGATCATATAAACAGCCAAAAAAGGAAGGAAGCTTCTTTACCGCAAAACTTCTTAAGCTTAGTGAGGAAGGAGAAGATAAGAAGAAGCTGAGAGGCCACCCAGAAATGATCTTTTCGATATTGAAACACAACCACACAACAACAACACCATACACAGTTTATTGAAAAAAAAGCAGAAGCAGCTTCTCTCTCTCTCTCTTTCCCTCAGCCTCATAAATTCTCGGCCTTCTAGAATAAAAACAAAAAACGACTGCTGAAAGAAACGATTCACTGTCGAGTCGCTCTTTTAATATTTCTATAATATCTCTCAGTTCAGGTTCTTCTTTTTTTTTCTTTCGACTTTGATAATCCCTCCAACCTCTCTTTACACGCAAGCAACGTGGTTAATCTACGGCCTCACAAATAACATTTAACGTAAAAGGAAATACATTTAATTGGGCCAAAGGTATAAACATAGCCAAACATTGGGGGCCAAATCTTTAAAACTCTTGCTCTGGAATAAAGAAACATTTTTCGTTTATAGGGTCTTTCTTCCTTCCCAACAGATGGGCACAACTCTTTCTCGGTTTCTTAAAAATAACACAGAAAGACCAGATTCTTTCAAGATGAGTGAATCTCTAAAAGTTTTAAATAATGTAGTGCTCGAAACCCAATTAATAAACACAAATATACAATACACAGTGAGTCACTATTTGGCTTTTGTATTTATTTTTAACTTAACAAAGATTAGGCTCCGGTTACCATTATTTGAGACAATAACCAAACCGAACCGAACCGGTTTTGCTGTTTCTGGCGCTGTTTTTCTTGACCGGACCAGTTTCAAATGACAGTGGCACGGTGGCACCAGCAAAACCGATGTACATTATCGTTAATTTCTTTAAACGTTGGTCCTGGAAAGAGGAAGCAACAGATTCAATAGATATTGAAAGTGGAGTTGAAATTTGAGTAATAATTGATTCCCTTACGTATTTAAGTTCTTGTCTTGACCCCTTTCTTAGTGTGGAACAATTTAAAAATTCATATCTCGTGTATAAGTCTAGGACATTCCACGTTTATACATTTTTGCATGGGAAAGCATATTTTATTATTCTCCGTTTTATAGTATTACATTTTTTTTTATTGAAAACTCCGTTTATAGTATTATAAACCCTTCTTTTTTCATCTGAATCAATACAACAATAACATTCAAATCTCTCCATAAGTTGACACATCAAATTTTTTAATTTTTGAGAACCAATAAAATTAAAACATTAATACAACTCATCTACTCATTTTAATTTTTAAATTTAAACCCACTAAAAATCTAAATACAATTTTTTTAATAATTTGTTTTATTTTTTAAAAAATCAAAGTCCAGATAATAAACAACATCAAATAAAAAAATCTTTATTTTATTGTTTGTCAAATCCAAGCTCAAATAATAAATAACAGCAAATAAAAAAATTAAATTTTTGTTTTATTTTTTGCCAAACTCAAACTCAAATAATAATTAACAGCAAATAAATAAATTTTGTTTAGCTATTTGTTTTTTTCAACAGAGACGTATATGATTGAAAAAGTGTATGCTCATCATCAACTATGTTTCCATAACAACAACGCAAAAAGCCTTATGTTATAAAAAGCTCACACATCAGCAAAATTTTAAACTAATAAAAACATAACAGTAATATATATCATTCACACACTAATAAAATCAGTTTACTATTTTGCAGACCCATTAAAAAGCCCAAAGTTTACAAAAAAATAGATGTCGAAAGCAAATGAGGAGAAGCTCAGACCACCATAACTTGGAGATTCACATTTCCAGTGGTTACTCTGAACAAATTTTCATGGGTTTAGCGGGAATAAGGAATTCTTTGGTTTCGGTAGGAAAATGTGATTTTCAGTTTTGTTACAAAAACATAATTTCTTGGTTATGGCAGAAAAAATAAATTATCGGGTTTGGCGGAAAATGTGAATTTTTGGTTTTGGTGAGAAAACAAAAAAAAAAAAATTTTGACGCGAAAACAAAATATCTTAGTTTTGACGAGAAAATACGAGGGAAATGCAACTTTTCAATTGACAAAAAATACGATTTCTTGGTTTTGATAGAAAATGCAAATTTTCGGCTTTTAATGGATAATGTGATTTCTAAGTTTTTTCGAGAAAATGTGATTTTTTTAGTTTTTGTGAGAAATTGTAATTTGAAGACTTTGGCGAAAAATGCAATTTCTCAGTTTGATGGGAAAACAAAATTTCTTGATTTTGGAAGGAATAAGCAATTTCTCGGTTTTGATAGAAAATGCAAACTTTCAGTTTTTTGACATATAATGTGATTTTTTTGGTTTTCGTGGTAAAATGTGATTTCTTAGTTTTCGCAGAAAACACAATTTCTCAGGAGATAATGCAATTTTTGGTTTCCGTGAAAAATTGTAGTTTATCAGTTTTGGTAGGAAGACCTGACTTTTAGTTTGATGATTTTTTTTTGCGGGAATTGACGATTTCTCGGTTTTCATGGGAAAATGAATTTTTTTTGGGTCTTGGTGAAAAAACTTGATTTCTCTGTTTTGATGGAAAAACACAGGTTTTCGCAGGAAAATGTAATTTTTTGGTTTTTGCGGGAAAATGCAATTTTTTTGTTTTGGTAATGAATGTTTTTGGTTTTGGCAGGAATAAGTGAATTGAAATTTTTTTTTTTTGTCGGAAAGTACGATTTCTCAATTTTTTTTTAAAAGACAATTTGCTTTATATAATTTCAAAGGAGGATCAATTGGCAATTTAATAGAGATAACAAATTATATTTGCCTTTAGCATAAATGTACTTAAAAATGTATTGTTTTATTCTTACATATACATTTATAGATAGTTAGTTAAACAAATTTGATAGTAGATTATAATTTTGAAAAATAAAAAAATTTAAGAATATATAATGTTTATTCATATTTAAAACATATAAATACATAACTTAAACTAATAAAAAATAAATATAATACTGATTTATATTATGAAAATAATTTTATTATATTAAAAATATATACAAAATCTAGAAATATATCCCGCAGCGTAGCGCGAATATATACCTAATAATATTAATAAAGCTAAGAATGGCTACATACAACAGGGATCGAAGAAACCCAACAAATTTTAGAAAAGCTTTAAACATGAGGATTCTAAGAGTTAATAAAACTTAGCAAAACTTATTCGACACTATACTATAATCCAAAAAGCAGACCACATCACATTCACATACAGATATCACGTCTCTCATTATCAAAAAGGCTAAAGAGTTAAGATAGAGAATTCATAGCCACGTAAGAATGACATCAATCTTGAACTGTCACTTTAAGCGATGAGATACGCATCTCTATTAGTTGCAAGCGTTTCAATTTCCACATTTCATAAAGGAATTATCCTCAAAGAAAACATAAAATCAGAAACATACGATTTGAACGAAGGCCATGCTTTGGGTTGACAAAGAATACTCATCAAATCTGATGCATCAGATGCAAATAAAACCTTATCCAATCTATGATTTGCCATACTTTCTATGGCCCACAATATGCTTTTAAACACAGAAAAATAATTTGCTCTATTTGTCATATTCAGTCAATGAACACATTTATGGTTTATCCATGACCATGACACGTAATAATACCACGCCGTATATAGTTACTATGATTACGCCAAAAAGGTAGAAAAAAATCTACAAAACTTATGCATCAGCATATACCTATCTATTACAATTCATCCAAAGAAAAAATCGGATTCTGTTAGAAACTTTGTGGGCAATATAGCTTCAAGAAAACCCATTTATCATTTATCTAATACATGAATTTGAAAAGAAAGTTTATTTTCTTGTCAATTTGAGAGCACAAACGATTAGATGAAAATACAATGCAGGGTAACTAGTAAAGCCTCAGATTTGGCCTTTTAACTATTAAAAGTTTTGTTAAACCTTAGTTACTCAGTTCACTACTATAGCATAAATAAAGCAAGCAAGGCTTAGTCAAACCGAACCAAACCGGTTTAGTTGTTCTTGGCAGCGTTTTCGAAATACCAACTCCAAAGAATTACATATTACTCGAAAACAGAGTTTTTGAACCTGCATTGTGTTTTTTTGTTGTGATTGAAGTGGGAGAAAGATTGGTGATGAGAGACTTATTTCAGGTTGATAATGTGTTTATATAAGAGTTTAACGTTAGCCATCGAGTTTGAATATTTAAATCGGAAGAAGCAAAATATTCGAAAAATGGTCAAATAAATAAAGCCAAGTAGACGCGGCCACTAGGGCATTGCAGTGAAATTTTGGACCCACCATATGTTTCTTTCAGTGAACAAATCTTATCCTTTTGATGATTATATGTTTCGAGTAATATCTACTTCTTTCAGTTCTTTGTGTGTGAGAGAGAAAGAGCAAGTTTTCTCATTTGCTTTTCCGATTATCATATAAACAGATCATGAAAAATGCAATCTTTGATCATATAAACAGCCATAAAAGGAAGAAAGCTTCTTTACCGCATAACTTCTTTAGCTTAGTTAGAAATAGAATGAAAACATTTTTAAAACTTATATCTCGTGTATTCCACGTCTATAGTCTTTTGCATGGGAAAACATAATTGTTACTCTCCGTTTATAGTATATACTATCTGATCAAAAATTCCATTTATAGTATATAAACCGTTTTTCTTTACGTTGATGCATGCGAGAATTTACTCTGTTTGTCATCTTCAGTCAATAACACACATGATTTATCCATGACACGTATGATACAACGCCGTATATAACACTATAATTACGCGGAGAAAGGAACAAACAAATCAGCAAAACTTAGGTATCGGCATATATCTGTTACTCTGTTAGGAACTTAATTTGAGGGAGATATATAGCTTAAAGCAAATCCAGTTATCAAATACATGAATTTGAAAAGAAAGTTTATTTTATTATCAATTTCAGAATACAACGATTATATGAAGAAAAAAAAATACAATGCGAGCCACATTTTTGGCTTTTTATTTATTTATTTAAAGTTTCTTAAAACCTCAATCATCCACTCCATGAGATATAGCATAAATGAACCAAGAAAGGCTTAGACAGACCAAACCAGCCCGGTTTAGTTGTTCTTGGCGGCGTTTTCGAAGGACCAGCTCCAGATGTCGTGACGCTCAGCGCCACGGCCCATGGCACCAGCAAAACCGGCGTACATGTTTTGAAGAAGAACATCATTGAGCTCTCTCGGGCCTTGGATCAAAGGTCTCTTAGGTTTCTTAACGTTTTCAGGCGCGAGCGTAATCGTGATCATAGAGTCTCTGTTCCTGAACTCAACCCAAGCCTTAAACCTCTCTCCACTGCTCAGGTTCACATCTTTAAAGGACCATACTTTTCTTTTCCCAACTCTTGTCTGAACCCAGTAACCAGCTTTCTCAGCGACATTTGAAGTCATAGAGTTGACGTTGAGTCCGACATGGTTACCACTAATGTCTTGGGACTCTTTGTTCTGGAAAGAATCGAATTCGACAAAAAATATGTTGTTTTCTGGCTTCCCGTTGTTGGTTTTGTTGAGGATCCCGAGGAATCCACCGCCCGAAGCGCCGGAGTTATCGACGTCTGGGACGATGACGAAGGCGAGGCCTTGACCGGAGTTGGGTTTGGTGCGGGGAGTGATGGAGAAAGTGAAAGAGGTTTCGAATGAGTAAGGAGCAGAGTCGTTGGAAGGTTTGAATGGGATCGGGTTGATGTAGAGACCTTGACCGTGAGAGAATGGGTTCTCGTCTCGGGTCATGGACCAAGCTCCGGATCGACCTACGCCGTCGGAGGAAGGACCGAGCTCTGCGTCTCCGAGGAACAACAAGTCGTTTCCATCGAAAGATTTGAAGTTGAATTTGACGGCGCAAGCTGCGTGAGCTAAGAACAGAGCGAGAAAACAGAGTTTTTGAAGCTGCATTGTGATTGTTTTGTGTGATGTTGTTGTGATTGAAAGATTGATGATGAAGTATTTCAGGTTAACAATCTGCTTATATATAAGAGATTAAGAGGCTAAAAGCCATCAAGTTTGAATATTCAAAATCGGAAGAAGCAAAATATTCGAAAGATTAGTCAAATAAATAATGCCAAGTGGACGCGTTAACAGACGCCACCACAAAGGGCCTTACAGTGAAATTGGACCCACCGGATGTCTTTCAATGAACAAAACATATCCTTCTGATAATTATTAATATTTTCGAGTAATAATTGATACTATTACGTATTTCTTGTCCCCTTTCTTCTATACGAAAACATTGTGAATTAATGGGCTCGTGTATATCTAAATCTATTAGACATCGACACATTTATTCGACTACTATGTATTGTTATGCTTCTACTACGTGGATTCAAGAAGTTACTCTGTTTTATCATCTTTAATCAAGAAATGCATTTATAAATATTACACACACATATGGTCACACAACGGCTTATCTTAATCACACCAGAAACGAAATAAAGAAGACTGGAACCTACGTGAGATATGAGACTGAGAAAGAGGTGAGTCTTTCTTGGTGCTCGTACCATGTTCTTCACTTTCTTCCAAGACCTTTGACTCCTTAGCTAAATCATAATCACCTGAATTGAAAGGTAAAAACTATTGGGCCGGGCCCATTATATGATCAGCATGGTTTTTTGGGAGTTTATGACCCGGTAGGGTTAAATTCGCAAGTTTTAAAATTAGTGTTAAAAAAAGCTCATTTAGCCAATTTATCGGATTTAAGATGAACTGATTTAAATGGGCTTTATATCCGCTTATGTTTTTATTTCTTTCTTTTGTTTTGTTAAACCAAAAGCGGCGTCGTTTGAACTTAGGTTCTTTTAGCTTCCTTATTCACGAATCACACCCACTCATCTTCGTCGTCGACTCTTTCGGATACTCTCGCCACCATCGTCGGTAAGGGTTAATTATAACGCCGGTGAAGAAAAATCCCGACAACGGTTACTCCGCCCTAGTTATCGATAATCTCAACTATCTATTGGCCGTCTCCAAATAAATAGTGACTGTTTCTAGTGAGATTGATAGGAAGGCTTTAGACAAGCATCTCATCCAAGGTTTGGTCTCTCTCTCTCTTGTCAACTTCTAATTATATTTTCTTTATTAGTTTACAATTTTTGTATAATTCGTTTGGTGTTTCTGTGTTCGTCATGCGTTTGGTATAACCTCTTATGTTTCTTGTGCTTTTGAAGCTTCTGTGATTTTCTGCCTCCTGTGTATTGCTTATCCTCCTAATACGTTATGAATGATGATTTTGTTCAGACACTCGTTTGAATTATGTAGATTTCCTGGCCTTAGTTTCGGATCTGCTTTGATGCTAATCATGCCACTTATGTGTTCAAGTTAATTACAAGTTCGTTCGTTGGCTTTCGAGAATTACTTTTTAGATTCCGAATTTTCTTAGTGAAGATACTTCACTGATTTAGAAACTCGTGGGCATATGATTCCTTATCTATCTTTCCTTATTGAGTATTTTTCTCTTTGCGTGCAAGTACGTTTCTTCCAACTGTTGCTGTGTTATTTGTACCATGACTAGTAAGCTCCCAGAGATCTTATCTGTTGTTTAAGATTGTTGAAATCTTTTTAGACTGGAGATGGAGTTGGACCCAAAGAAGTTTGCTGAACTATTGGTCAAAATTGAAGCTGAAGGTGATCAGTTCCTCCTAGCTCGAAATCAGGTACTCCAAATTCTGTTTAAGCTTCGTAACTCTTATCGATTTTGTCAGAAGTACAGTAACGATTCCTGAAGTGTTTTAACCAAATGGAGTTTTGTAATATGTGTGAATAGATGGTGGAGAATGACAAGGAGAGGAATGCGAACAGAGAGGCTCTTACAGCACTTAGGAAGATCGCTCGGACAACAAAGACTAGTGTTCCTTCTCCTTTCGATTCTATGATGAAGGATGTCCACGAGAGCTCAACCAAACCTTTGGTCCAAGAAGTTTGCTCGACGTGTGGATCCCATGACTCTAGTGAACCCACGTGGATGGTTCTTCCTGGAGCTGATCTTTTCGCTGCGGTCCCGTTTCATGCTGTGCATACAATGCTGGAGAAAGGTTTGTCTTCTCTCTACAATTTATTTTTGCTAATTTCTTTGGAAGATTAATGTAACTACAGTAGTCTCATGAGCAAAGGGTGTACTTTTGTCACTGTTGTAGATGAAGTGAGAATGGAATTTGAATCCAAGAAGTTGCAGAGCTTAGTGAAGGAGAAGGCTCTCTTTATGTCGGAACTTGGGGCTCTTGCTGATAGTATTCCTCCAGGCGTTATCAGATCGCTGGTGGCGTTAGAAGACAAACCTTTGGTTAAGTAGAAGAACAAATGTTGGTTTTGACACAGACGGCGTTATCCATTTGTGTGATGTTGTTAAAGGATTGTTGCTGTATGTTAGAATACTCATTTATCCTTAATTCAATCGAAATCACAAGATTTCCATGTTTCTTTTGATAAATGATTTTTTTATTTTATTTTAAATGTTGTTGATTCTACTGAATAATATTTTTCAAGTTTTACCAAAAAAGTCATCGATCAAGTTTCTTATTATTAAATTACAAATGACATTATTGACATAAAATATCTAATATTCTATTCTATATTACTCCTATTTGTTCCCTGACAATTCTTTAATTTATAATCTCCCCATTTATAATCGGAAAGCAATCTTTAAACGGTGGGTTTGAATTTCTGTTGAACAAAAAGAAGCTGCCAAAAGAGGACCTAGATCAAGTCAAAATTCTTCTTTTGCATCAAGACAAAACTAGGGTTTATCGTAAACAATTCCCAGAAGCTCCTTTATTGTAGAATCTATCAGATTCAAATCCCTGATTTCAGAAAACCGTACCTTTCCTCCATTGATTTTCCTTCAAAGCTTAAACCCTCACAGTTTCCTTTTTTCCCTTTATAAACAACAAAGTGAAGCCTTTTTCCCCTTACTCTCGTCCTTATTAGAAAAGATCCAATTTTCTAATTTCATCTGTGTCTTTTTTTGAAGTTTGAATGAAAAATTGGGTTTTTGTTTGTTGTTCAATCTGTTTTTGACTTTTTCTCGATATTCAGGTGAAAATCTCCACAAGTTCATTGATCCATTCAAATCCTCAGCAGAGTCCGATGAATTCACATCTCTTCCGCGTAATCTGCGTACTCCATTCGATTATCGCACTCACAAGTGGAACCCTGATGATGTTCTACACAGAGAAAGCTTCGATCTTTGGGCACGGAAGCGACATAGCAAACAAGCTCAAAGGATCAACACCTCACGACGAGCTACTCATCCAGATCTCTCAGTCGTTCTCCGGTTTGCTTCTCTTTGCAATCGGTTTGGTGCTTTTCATGGTGTCCTTTGTGAAAGATAGAGACTTCCACAGCTTCTTCGCCGGAGGTTCTGTGGTTCTCTATCTGCTAATGGCTCTGTGGAGAGTTATGTTTGAGTGTAGGATCGAAGATCTCGCCTTTGAATGCCCCAAGCAAGCCCTTGGAGATATTGCTCTGGCTGTCTCTTGGGTTTTCTTCCTCGTTTACACATGGAGGGAGAAGTATGATTGATGCTTTCTTCTTCTTCTTCTTCTCAAAGTTGTGGTGCAGAGGTAATGAAAGGGCTTTGATAGAAAGTGGAGATCAAGAGAACCAGTAGCTTGTGGAAAGTGACATGTTATAGTCAAACCATTGTCGGTTTCATAGATTCAGAAGTTCAAGTGTGAGAAAAAAATGTGATTTTTATCGTTGAAATACAGGAATTGTCAATGAAAATTTGTTTTTTTTTTTGTTCATAGCTGTGAAAGCACATTCTGAAATCTCTCGTAATGTAAATTTGTGTAAATAATTTGTTGTGGGATTCTTATTTGCGTGAAAGAAACTATGTCTGTTTTTGGAAAGCGTTTCAACATTTGGTGACTAAATCACATCCAATGTTCAACAAATTACAGCAGTTTCCAATCAGAGATAAGTTCATCCTCTAAGAATGGTATGGTTCTATGGACAATCACATTCATAGGAGCTTCAACTCCATTATCATCATCATCATCTTCAACGCAGATTGCAGCGTAATGAGACGAAGCAGCCAATTCCATAAGCCTGAACTTCCATTTTCTAATTCTCTCCCCTGCCTCGCAAAGATTGTAACTTTCTTTTGCTCCAGCCTCAGCTTTGATGATCGTAAAGGTATTGAAAGGTGAAGCAGAGAAGCCTTTTCCTAAAGCCTTCACATATGCTTCCTTGAGAGTCCACAGCTTAATAAACTCCTCTCGCTGAGCCTCGGTGTCTGCTATAGCTGACAAAAAGTTGACTTCTTCAGATGAGTAAAATCTCTTTGCAAGTGCCAACACATCGTGTTTCATCTTCCTTGTCTTGTCTTCAACATCAACACCAACCGGAACACTTACTGTCACTCCACAAGCTATCAATGAATCCGTGTGGGAGATGTTGAATTGCAACTTCGGGTGATTAGTAGTAGTATCGTTCTCCAAATCCACCTCAGGCTTCCCGTACGGATTCTTCTTAAACTTCAAGGAGCTTGGATCCACCACCACAGAGGGTTTGTTGTTTGCTTGATACCTTGCAATGGTGGTTCGAACCAAGGTACGAGCAAGCAAGACGTTCTTCTTGTTTGGCTCATCACTGCGCATACGAAGGAGTTTCTCGTTCTCGGATGGTGAGAGGAGCTCAGAGTAGCGTTGTAGTAGAGATTGGCTCTTCACTTCGTTAGGTAATATATACCAAAGATGAGTTTCCATCCGAGATGGAAGTTGCAGAGGAATCAGTGAAGACAACATCACACCGATTCTCATCACTTTTTTATTTTATTTTTACAAGAATCTCTAAACCCAAGACGAATCAAACAAAATCGAAATTCGCACTCAGTCTCATGTAGAACAGAGAGAAAAAAGCCACTTGCGCGAAACTCACAGAAATCACAAATGAAATCCCGGGTTAATTACGGCGGAGTCACCACCTTCGCCGTCGCATCGCCGCCATTAGTGGGAAGACACTTTCTTCATCACGATTTACTTTTTAAAGATATAAAAATATGGGCCTGGCCTATTTTTAAGACTAATGAATCTGGGCCCATTGTAATTATAACATTTTAATCAAATTTCTAATTTGGTGGCTTTTACTTTGACTTGTCGGCTGCCTTCTTGGCCAGAGAAAGGTCTTCTTTCCTTTCATACCGTCGCCGAGACTTTCACCGGTCTTTTTCTCCTCTGTATATCCATTCCATTTCAAGGTTTTTTTTTTTCTTCTTCTTCTTCTAAGTTTTTGTGAAATTCTGTATCAAGATATTAGATTCTGCGAATGAAAGAGCAAACATTCAATTAACCCCCCAAAAAAGCGGAAACATTTTCACCGTTTTGGTTATTTGATTGATTAAATTTTGCTTGCATGCTCGTTGATTTGAACTGTTGCCAAATTGTTCTGTGATTTTGATGTTGTTGTTATCTTACGGTTGAGGTTGTGATTTGAGTTTCAGGGTTTTGGGTTTTAAGTTTCGTGTGATGTTTCTTAGGGGTTTATCAGATTTGAATCAATGGTTTATCAGATTTGTTTCTTAAATTTTGCGCATAGAAATCAACAGAAGAAACCTGGATTCGATAATTACTTGGAATAATTTAAGCCATTGATTCAGTGATAAAAAAAAGTTCTGTAAGTGTCTTCGTCGTAGATTTATGCAGCCCTTATTTCCGATCTTCGCTTGGTTTTGGAGAGCTTTAAGTCATGTAATTTCGTATTTTTTGTTAGTGTTCAATAATGAGCATATGAGAGGGTTTATGGAATTGTGAATTATCAATGTGTTTGTTGTGTTTAAGACTTCTTGGTGCTAACATATAGATGTTTCAGAGTGCGTCTCGAACATATGAAAGATGTGGAAGAAACTCTACGCAATGTTGTTTATGTTATTTTTATGCCTTTTGTTCATATTACCCATGTTCATAAACGTGTTCTTCTTTGTTGTCTGCATTATTATGACAGGATGAGTGATCAACCAGAGAAAAACGGATTGATTCCTCCACCCATTTCAGAGCCAAGCAAGGCTGTTGCGTCGGCAGAGACAAAGCCAAAGAAGAGGATATGTTGTGCTTGCCCTAATACCAAGAAGCTGAGAGATGAGTGCATCGTCGAGCATGGTGAATCGGCTTGCACTAAATGGATCGAAGCTCATAAAATCTGTCTCCGAGCAGAAGGTTTCAACGTCTGATTCGTTTTTTTTTCTTAAATACGTAGTTTGATGGATCCAAAGTAATAAAAAACAGGAAGAGACTGATTCTTCATGAGGATTTGTGTTCGGATACAAAATCCCATTTTTTTGTTCTCACTGAAAATAAAAGTCCAAAGAACCAACAATCCTTTTAAATGATCTTACAATTCTTGTAGTGTTAGTTTTGTAGGCAAGAGAAAGATGATGTAACTAATAGATAATTTGATGTAGATTAGAGGAATAAGTGGCGATAAACCCCATTACATCAGACCATACTATAGAGTCACAAGAGAGAGGTATGAGCCAAATAGATGAACTCACATCAACTTTTATTCATATTACATTTTGATTTAAAAGGAGGAAAAGAGAAAGGGGCCATTTTTGTTTGTTTTAATTGGGGCAGCAAGTGCAGTTGACGCAGCTGCAGGCAGAGCCGCACTTGCATTGGCATCCGTTCTCTTCTGCACCAACGTCCATGAACATGGCCTCCTTGTAGCTGCAAAAACAAATCAATCATTACATCATCATGATCTTGTAGTTTCATCATCATTACCATAATCATCATCATCTATCATTATACCTCTCCTGAGTCTCGACGATGTCGGAGGTGTAGCTGGTTGTCTTCTTCCTGCATTTAACAGAAAGAGAAAGCATAGGTTAGTTACTTGAATAACAGAAGAAAACAGAGGACTCAATCATAGTTTATCATAGAATGAATCTCCATTTGCTAGCACCAAGAAAGTTACAGAATTTTCCATTAGCCCAACAAATCAGAAACATGAGTCGTGAAACAGAAACAGAGGAGACTTACACGCACTGGGTCTTGTCAGCACAGTCGCAGCTTCCGCACTTGCCCGACATGATTAATTTTTTTGTATCAAAAAAGCTTGAAGGGTTGTTTGAGTTCTTGTGTGTTTTGAGTTCTTGCTCTGCTTTGTGATCAGACTTCAATGGCACTGTATTTTATAGATGGATAGGGCGAGTGGAGAATCTCTTCAACTTATGTGACAACCGAATCTTTATGGGGTTATGGAGAAGAGAAGCCTTTCGTTGCCAACCTCTCGTGTCCATTTCACTCTTTTCCCACTAAATATTCCATTACAACTTTTCTTTTTTTGGGTTTTTTAAGAGGTTTGGAATATTGGATTAACAGAAATTAGTTATAACTTACCCCAAATTTCCGCATAGTTTTCATAAGTCAGTACTGTGGTAATCTCGTGATTGATGTAATTTGATTGTAATGTCTTTGGCTCATACTATAAAAAGAATACAGTATCTGTAACGATGTTCTGTTTTACCAACATCACACAGATGTCTTTGATACAACCTAAATACGACGTTGTAAAATTAAACAAATTTAGCTTATGCTTATGTAGTTGGAGTTGAAATTATTTAGTATACTTTGTCTACCCGAAGTATATTTAGATAAGGATCCTGCTCAAATCGGATCAATGGTGACGATTTATTTCGTTTTTTTCAAACAAGTGGATGCCTTTTTTATATATTTTTTTTAATAATACTCCTCAGGAATAAGGAGTAAAATATTAAGATGTATACAGGAATTTGTCGTAGTTTCAACTTTGCAAAACTCATCATTTCTCAAAGATTCCAAAAGGATATGATCCCATGATGTGAATGTGGTGCTCAGTGCTCAAAACCTTTTTCCAAATATGACTACTACTGATTCGTACCTTTTTTCGGTAGTACTCACATACAATCATTAGTAAAATTTAGGTCTATTCATCTAATGATCCCAGTTCAAATACATAAAATCATTATCATAAAGTCTATACTAATCCAAATTCAGTTTAAATTGAGGAAAGATTGTAAACTAGATACACAGAGACATCATTTACTTTTAAAAATAGGTGCAATCAGATTATTTTTTTGTGTTTATTTGGATGCCTCTCTCAATTCTCTCATCTTTCAGATTTTTGTTTTTGGAAATAGCTAACTTTTGATGATGATCCTTTAGAAAAGACTCAAAGAGCACTGTAACATATTATTTTCCAAAATAAGATGAGGTTTCTATCTCTTTCCACTTTTATTAATTTATGATTTCTTTAAATTTTAAAATACCACTCATGTGTTTTCGTCTATTTCAGTCAGCTAAAAGTTAGTGACTTTCTAAGTGGCAGAAAATTCAGTGGCTGATAAAATAATAAAACAATCATAAGTCATTCATTATTCCCAACTATCTGATAACATGTCATGTGTTATTAAGATGAAATAGAAATTCCACTGTTGTATTAAGTAGTGGACTTCTTAATAAATGGGCCTCATCAGTGGTTTCTTGTTTGCTAGATTATCTATTAAGTAAAACTAATATATTTAGGCCCAATTTGCTTTCAAAAGCCCCCAAAATAAACGTCGTGGTCTTATTTTAGTAAATTAGAAATTAGTTTGTTTTTATCTTTATATTTTTAAAAATCAGATTACAAAATACAATATAAAATAATTATTTGATAACTCTGTTAAATATCTCAAAATATCTAACAATATTAAATAATATAAAAAATAGGTGAATCAAATTAGTAAAAAAACTGTTTTTGTATTGGTGAATCTCATTTATTTATTTTTATAGAATAATATATATACATTTCTAAATTTTGTGTTTATTTTTTCCACATGTTATGAATTATCTAATTTTAAATTTACGTGTATACATGAATCTTTAATTTAGTTACTTGAAAATTTACAAATATAAATTTCTTTTTTCAAATATAATTTCTTCCCAAGATTTTAGTATATCTTCTCATTTGATGTACTATGATGATTGATTGTTCTGTTATTGGAAAAAAAAAAGAAGGATATCGATAAACAAAAGAGTTATCATCCGTTAGATCAACCTGAAACCTTTCTATTCTTATATCCTACGGCTCTCAGTTCCTAAGCACTGGTCCAAGTCACCCACCGTGTTGTGTAAGCTCGGTTCGTTTCCTCCACTACAGCAGCAGACCGTTGATATTACCCATGTCAGTTTATAATGAGATCCAAGCCGTCAGATTAAAACTGGGGCCCATGTCGTAGACTTTCCTTTTCGTATTGACTTGTTGAAAAAAAAAAACGCACAATTGGAAAATTTTCATTAATTATCACTTTAAATAGATTTTAATTAGGTTTTTTTACTTAAGATTAGGATTCAATAGGGAGAGAGAAGGGAATTGGTTTTAAGTGTCTCAGACTTCAGAGCCTTTGCGCAATCTCACTTGTGTTTTGGTATATATAATACGGCGCCAAGGTGAAAAACACCTAAAAGCTTCGTTTTTTGTTCTTGCCTTCTGATCGATTTCTTCTTCGTCTATAGGTTCGAGAGAATCTCTCTCGTTTTCTCGCTTGACAAATAGTGAATTTGAATTCTGTTAGTGGGGATCGTTCAATGGAGCCCGAGATCGCTTCTTGCTCGAGCACTCTTACGGCAAATAAGGTTAATGATTTTACCAAAATTGAGTTTTGTCGATTTATCTGGGTTGTTTATAGGGCAATTCTGTTTGAATGTACCCTCAATTCCACTGCTTTACCTAATTCAAGTTAAATTGATTTGGGGGAGGAATTGTGTTCTCTATGTGTGATTGCGTGATGCGCGATCATCATCTGGGTTTCTCCGCGTCTCTGGGTCTTTGTTGATTTTAAGGGTTTAGCGAGTCTCCTCTCGTTAATCTTTTAGGTTTTTTTTTTTTAATCGTTTTTTGATTTTGTTCACTCACGTGCATTATCCCTTGTTTTGCGGTTTCTCTTTGCTGTTGGATTGTGATCATGATCGTTGGTTTTGAGGTTTTTCAACATAGCCCTTCTTTGATTGTGTAATGTGACATCAAGTCGGTTTCTCTGTGACACTTCGATTTCTTCTCAGCTTGGCGTTTTCCAATTTTGTGTGCATTTATTCATAGCGTAGCCCATACTCCTTTTGTTGATTGCTCTGTTTCCCTATGCATTAATGTCTACTTGGAATCTCTGTTTTGTCACGTCTCTTTCGACTGCTTACACAATTGAACAAATCATCTCCTTTCGTGGTCTGATTTCAAATTGGATATGGGATTATGTTATCTTACTCGTGGTGTCATTTATCTTGCAGGCATTAACTGAAGAAGTTGATAATAAGAACAAAGGGAAGGCTATACAATTGGATTCCCCTTCTTACGATGAGCAATTTGAGGTAAGTGTTTTGATTTTTTTCTATGAGTGTGCTACTAATGCTTTCACAGCTAAAGAACTTACATTTTTTTTTTCTTTCTAGGGATACGCTAGCGATTCTTATAACATTGAATCCTCTCCAGTATCAAATAGCTTACTAGACCCTGATTCATTGATCTACGAAGACGACGATGACTATTCTGATTCATACTGCTATGAGATGGAGGAGGAGCAGGATGAGCCTGATGAGTACTCCATGTATCAACACCTTTTTGATGGTAAAGACATCCCGACCGACGTGGAGTTGTCAATGGATTGGTTACCAAAAGCGTCTGACAAGGAGACAGCTAAGCCAAGTGGAAGCAGCAAAGCTTCTGGTGCCGAGAATGGGATTCCACCAGAAGCCAGCAGCAGCAGCAGTTCCGAGAAGCCAGCCAAAGTAAGTGGAGCCGAATCTCAACATTCACATATTCCGACCCCTGTGGCTCAGCCATGGAAGGCTTTACCGCACAACTCTAAAGGAGTCATACCGAACTCTGCTTATGCGTTGCCACAGAAACCCAAGAGTGCACAATCTGTTGTTCATTTTCTCAGCCAGCCTCAGACTCCCGATACCGTGATGGGGGAGGCTCCGGTCCCGGCTCCAGCTCCAGCTCCAGCTCCAGCTCAAGGTCCTTTCGGTGTAATGCTTCCGGGACATAAAAATCCATTCGGTTGGAAAAGTCCTCGGCCTACGGTGGCAGAGGTTATTGCAGCTAAGGATACTTCCAGATGTAAGAGGAATATGGAGGATTATCTTGGCAAGTATTTGTTTTTCAAAAGATTTGACAGTGTCGAAGATTGTGATGATCACCAGTATGCTGCTAGGGGAACGACTTCGAAACAGGTTTGCGACCAGACGAGCATAAGTTTTATCATTATTCTGAAATGTTTCCTTCATTCTTTCAAGAACTGACGACTTGTTTGTCTTCTCAGCACTCAAAGGAGTGGGCGAGAAGGATCCAAGAAGAGTGGAGAATTCTTGAGAATGATTTGCCAGGTATATATCTATATATATACGTGCTGTGTTGGACAATTAGCAACTTCCTTACATTTTTTTCTCCTGGTTCTTGCAACAGAGATGATATTTGTCAGAGCGTATGAATCTAGGATGGATCTTATGAGGGCTGTAATTATTGGAGCCGAAGGAACTCCCTACCATGACGGTCTCTTCTTTTTCGATATTTTCTTCCCGGATGAATACCCTTCTGTGCCACCGGTACGTTGAACGAACCGTCTCAAAATGAGATTTTTTGTTTGTCTCCCAAAAAGTCTTTATCTTTTTGATTGTGAAATTCTGTTCCTTATTTTTTTGTTTTTGATTTTGATTTTACAAAGGTTGTTCATTACCAATCTGGTGGGCTAAGAATCAACCCAAATCTGTACAATTGTGGGAAAGTGTGTCTGAGTCTTCTCGGCACTTGGACTGGTACCCACAAGGTGGAGAAGTGGAACCCCAACAATTCTACAATGTTACAGGTTCTTGTCTCAATCCAAGGTCTAATCTTGAATCAAGATCCCTACTTCAACGAGCCTGGCTACGAGAGGACAGCGGGTTCTACCAAGGGCGACAAGAACTCTAAAGCTTACAGCGAAAACACATTCTTGCTTAACTTGAAGACGATGGTTTACAACATGAGGAGACCACCCAAGGTAACAAACAAAAACTCATCCTATTTATACACACACAGAAAAAAAAAAAAAAAAAAGCTTAACAGACCTTTTGGACTAAAAACCTGACATCATTGGTGGTGTTTTTGATGCAGTATTTTGAAAACTTTTCGTATGGGCATTTCTTCAGCTGTGCTCACGACGTGTTGAAGGCATGTAATGCTTATAGAAACGGAGCTCCAGTGGGATCTTTGGTGAAGGGAGTTGTTAACGATGTGGACGACAAGAGCGAGAAGGCAAGCTCTATAAAGTTTAGGGCAGATGTGGCTACCTTTGTAGAGACGGTTCTGTTGAAGGAGTTTATTCTCCTAGGCGTCCTTGGTCTGGAGCCGGAAGAAGAAGACAACCCTTCAGAGACTGACGTTGCAGAGAGCAGCAACAGTAAGAGACCGAGATCCGAGAGAGACGGAGTTTCTTCAAGTTGAGCTCCATGCTTCTTTTTTTTCCCCAGTTTTCTTGTTTATTTCTCTCTCAAGAACCACAACAGAGGACTTAGTTTTATCCCTTTCTAATCATTATGGATCCTCTGCTTTTCTTTATTTCTAATATATGACTATTGAGAGCTAAGAGAAGTCTCTCCCATATGTACAGTTGCTTTTATCCGATTATTATCATACTGAAGCTCAGTTTTTCACAGCCAAGTTAGTAAAAAGTCAACGATTTAAGGGTTCGATTTTGACTTTCAATGAGTTGTTGTACTTTGGTTCATGTTCTTGAACTGAAATCTAGAGTACGTAAATGTACACGTGGCAAGCCTACGCAAAGAACTTTCTGCCCACGTGTACACTACGGAAAACCCTAAACCCTTCCTTCTGTATATTATTAGCCGTCCTTGCCTCGCACTCCCACACACACGACGATCAAATATGGCTTCAGCTTCATCATCGGCGGCGAGATTACTCTTCCGAGATGGGAAATCAGCGGCGAGTCTACTCCTCCGTTCACGTACGGCCAATCTCACGGAGACATTGCACAACACTCGACCAGCCATTCGGTCTCTTCTTCGGTTTAACCAGACGCCGGCTAGCCAGTTCCCGGTTTTCTCTGAAACATTTCCGGTTTTGCAATCCGGTTTTCGTGTCGGCTTCATTCAGCAGGAGGCCGTTTCGGAGAGAAGTGTGAAAATGGAAGCGTGTCAGGGGAAACGAGTGGTGAACAACGAAGGCAGCGATTCGGAGGAGGTGACAGATTTTGATGAGGAAGAGATTGATGATATTGATATGGACAACGATGAAGAGTTTTATGATTCGGACGAAGACGATGATGATGATGATGATGAGGATGAGGGCGACAAGTACACAAGGAAGAAGTAGTAAAATAGTCTCTTAATTCTTCACAAAATGATTCTCTGTTTTCTTCCTTGAGATTAATGATGGCTTAGACAATTAATTTCCCTTTGAAATTGATGTTTTCTTCTTGTTTGTCTCATTAGATTTTGGGTTGCACTACAAAAAAAATGTCTCGATAGATTTTCCTTCAGATTCCTTTAATGTATTTGATACTCGGGAAAAAATATAAATAAAAAAATCCAAATGGACAAAAAAATCTTCTTTGTAAGCGTTTCCTCCATCCATGAAGTGTAACTGGTTCGATTTACCTATAGAACTTTTTGACAAAAAAAGTGGAATCATCCAAAAAAATATGGTTATATGTGGAAAGCATTGGCTAATTCCCCAATCTCTCACTCTCTCGTCCGGTGGTTGTCTCACATTAAATTCTTTACCAATTAAATTTCTTTATAATTTAGGGAAAACAATTAAACAATCAATTTCAGAATAATAGATTTAATGATAATATCCTCTGACATTGGAATGCGATATTTTTTTTATGTACACTCATGAACTATGAGAGCTAAGAGGAAGATACACAACTCAAAATTTGCTACTTCGAACATCTTATGTTCAATCTTTGCACTGGTGGCGTAATGCCAAAGAGGAAAAACAAAATTTCAGTTAAAGATGCTACTAGCAACTTTAACATCTAAAACATTAATTTTGAAAATATTTTTTTTGTTTTTTATTTCTGAAATTTATTAGAATATTTCATTAATGGAAAATACATTTGCAAATGTTGTAGTGGTGTTGTTTGCTTTTTAGAATCATGTAACATATATTCAAATGTTTTTAATATAACATACAAAATCAGATTAGTTTTATCAAATTGTACCAATATTATTAAAAATACGCAAAAAAATTAATTAGTAAAAGTAAAGTTTTTTAATCAAAATTGAAAAAAAAAATCTATATTTTTTTAATTCTAAATTTAGTCAATTTTATATAGTCTATAATTTTTATAAATATTGAATGGTAAACATGTAATCTACTCGTTTTTAGATTTAAAAATAAATAAAACCAAAATGGATTTATACAAAGATATATAAAAATTATTTTGCAGAAGGAGAGACATTTCAGATGATTTCCCGCTTAGGTATTGTTGTTCCCTTAAACGATGCCGTTACGGTGTAGAACGAAGAGTGACGTGGCAGTGGCGAGAATAAAATCAAAAAAGAATTATCCTCCACATCGTATTTGTGTGTGCTCTCGGTTTCTCGGGTCATTCAAAAGCAAACATCTCTCTACCACTAAAACTTCTCGCTGCTTCAATGGCGTCCTTGCTTGATTCCGTCACCGTTACCCGCGTCTTTTCTCTGCCGTTCTCGGCCTCGATTTCATCTGCTCCAGCGGTTCCGTCGGTTTCTGGACCCCGGATTTCTTCCGTCAGGTTTCTCGATTTCAGAGGTTTGAAGGCTTCCCGGAGTTTGGTGGCTCAGTCGGCAAGTCTAGTGGCGAATCGCAGATCCAGATTAGCTCGCGGCGGAAGAATTTTCTGTGAGGCTCAGGACACCACTGCCGCCGTCGAAGGTATACCACGAGCTTAAACTTTATTCTTCTTCTCGTTTTTTCCTCATATGGGGTTTATGTGTAAAATTTAGCGTTTCGTGATTGCTGATCGTGTGTGGAATGATCATATAGAATCTGTCTGGTTCAAAGCCATGGTGAATCTGTAACTGTTAGGTCAAATTGTGTACAAGTTTTGTAATCATAATTCAACTTGGATTTTCTGGAAACTATATCATTGATTGAAATTCTTTGAGACTAGAACTCGTTAGTGTTTTGTTTAATCTCATTGTGATGGTATTTTCAAAAAAGTTTCGATTCTGGTCTGTTATATTCTTTGAATCAGTTCTCTGAAACTGGAACTCGTAGTGATTGGTATCAGAAAGTAGAACTCGTACATATGAACCTTAAAAACACCTTTTGAGCTGTTCTCCTTTGAGGATTCAACTTTTTCAGCTATCAAATTGCTTGAGATAGAGGAAACACATGATTGGGTTATACAACACATGATTGTGATAAGAATCTTGACTACGTATTTCTATTTTATGGTTTAATATAACTCAAGATAGAGCCAGAGTCTTAGTAGTTCCTTGGGTGTTGCAATGAAGATTGCAGTATTGGCACAGAGAAGCGCTCCCTGATTTGCAACATTCAGTCACCTTTGAGAGATCTTCTAACCTGTTTTGTTTGATGGTGCAGTACCAAACCTGTCTGATTCAGAATGGCAAACAAAGGTTCTGGAATCAGATGTGCCAGTACTGGTTGAATTTTGGGCACCATGGTGTGGACCGTGCCGTATGATTCACCCCATAGTTGACCAACTGGCCAAGGAGTTCGCGGGCAAGTTCAAATTCTACAAAATCAACACCGACGAGAGCCCAAACACAGCCAACCGTTACGGGATACGCAGCGTTCCGACCGTGATCATCTTCAAAGACGGTGAGAAGAAAGACAGTATCATCGGAGCTGTCCCTAGAGAGACATTGGAGAAAACTATAGAAAGATTCTTGGTCGAGTAAACAAAACAAATTCGACTCTTTTGTTCACTCTTACCATTTTACCATATATCTTCCTCTGTTGTGTATTATACTATTATTCAATCTCTGCATAGTCTTTTGACTATTATGTTTTCGTGGGCCCTTGTCTGGTTCAATCAAAAAAAAAGAAAACAAAAATAGAGAAAAATAAAACTCCACCGACGCCATTAAAGGAGAGGATGAGAAGCACAACCCCACGTGGAACCACATGCCATTGTTCTTCCTAAGCTCACTAATTCACCGTACAACCTATACATACATAATGCCTTTTGAGTATGCAGGCTCTCCGTACTCTTTGATTCTGTGTGTACTGCATAGGACATGTAGTAATGCCACGCGGGTCTATGTCCATATTATATGTGTGTCTCAAGTGTCTATATTATGTGCCATGGCATGCATATAGTAAACGGTAATGAGAAAACGCGTTTGTTTTATGAATAGTTTTAATTGGGATGCCCACATCTAATCTCAAATAGTTTTTCGCGAACTCTCATTAAATAAATCAATAGACTAATACGTAGGAAAGCATCATTTCTCAAATACTATACTGTTAGATCTCAAAAATCTGATAGCATATAGCAATGAATTTTAACATATGAAAATGAATCCTGAACTAAATATACAGCTAGATCTCCATTTGTCAACTGTGTCATTAACGAAATCTTGCCTCTTATTTGAAAGATCCGAACCAATGTTAGTTGCTGTCAGATTACAAAGGCATTGCCATTTTCTAACATACTATAGTGCTTACATATTTGATATTTGTAACTTGTGGTATTCAAAACACTTGTATATCTTGGAGCTATGAATATATCGATGAATATATCGATGTTATCTAAACTACTATACCAAAATAAGCAAAAAGTAACGATATGACATTATTAAGTTTTGTTAAGGAGAATTATTATTATATTTTTGTTAAAACGGAGAATTATTATTTGTCCTGCGTTTAGATATATATATATATATATATATATATATATATATATTCAATTATTAGAGAATTTTCAAGATTAATAAAAAAATAAGGATCCAACTAAGAAAGATAACGAACACATGCATGAGATTGTGGTGCATGTAAGTGAAATAAGTCGTAATAATCACCGACAAAACGCGTTAATTCTTAACTGATCCTTATAAAACGAGTCCAAAAGGCTTCCTTCTCCTTCAAGCAATCACTTTTGAACTAGAAAACCTTCTCTTCGATCTCTCTTTATTCCATAAACAAAAACTGTATACTAATTCAAAGTAGAAATGAAGGGGAAATATTTGGTAACGATTATTCTCTTGGTTGGTACGTTAAGTGTGGGGATGTGTTCTAATGGTTGGATTAGGGCTCATGCAACGTTTTATGGTGTTAATGATAGTCCTGCTTCACTTGGTATAAGTCCATTAATTAAAATATTCTAGATTAAATACTTTTGTTTGTTACTTTAGTTTTTGTATAAAGTAAGTTTTAACTTTTTAAAACAATTGATGTATTCGTTTATAGGAGGAGCTTGTGGATATGACAATCCGTACCACGCCGGATTCGGTGCTCACACGGCGGCGCTAAGCGGTGCGCTATTCAGAAGCGGCGAGTCATGCGGTGGATGCTACCAAGTGAGGTGCGACTATTGGGCGGATCCTAAGTGGTGTCTCCGAGGAGCCGCCGTGACGGTGACGGCAACAAACTTCTGTCCGTCGAACAACAATGGAGGTTGGTGCAATCTTCCTCGCCACCACTTTGACATGTCCATGCCTGCTTTCTTCCGCATCGCCCGCCGCGGCAACGAAGGCATCGTCCCCGTCTTCTACCGCCGGTAACATATAATGTTCTACTTTCGCATTGACTTTTTTTTAAAACTGATGTTTGATAGATTATATAGCGTTGTGTATATATATAAAAACCAACATAATATTCGCAACACATGAAACGCAAACACAAATAAGCAATCTACATCTTCATAACTAAAATAGTAAAAATGCTGTTTGATAGAACATTTAAATACCTTCGTTACATAAGAATATAGCATCATGCATGTAATACAAATAGCTGATAATTCTGTCTTTAATTTGTTTATTTTCTCAATATTCTCTTACTAAATTTGTTTTTAATTACAATTATATAGGGTGGGATGCAAAAGAAGAGGAGGAGTGAGGTTCACGATGAGAGGTCAAGGGAACTTCAATATGGTAATACTCTCAAACGTTGGCGGCAGCGGCGCGGTGAAAGCGGTTGCGGTGAGAGGCTCATGGGGAAAGACTTGGCTTCAGATGACTCGTAATTGGGGTGCCAACTGGCAGAGCTCCGGCGATCTCCGGGGACAGAGACTCTCCTTCAGAGTTACTCTTCTTGACCGCAAAACGATGACGTTTTTAAACGTTGTTCCTTCTTCTTGGTGGTTCGGCCAAACCTTCTCTTCTCGAGGCCAGTTCCTCTGAGTTAGGACAACTCCTGATAAAAACGATGCCGTCTTGCTTGCTAATTTTCACTTCTTTGCTTATTTTTATGAACTTTTGCCCTTGTTTTTTTGGGCAATGTTCCTTTTATTTTTATTTTATCACTAAATAATTCCATATGCTTATAATTTGTTTTATTGAAGTGGTTTCACTCATTTATGTATGAGCATTACTCGGAAGGCTAAAAGAGTTTTGCTGACTCTATTATTAATGGAAATGACAATTTTTATTTTAGTGTCCAGTTTAATTAGATACAATACAATTATCAGAGCTTCATTCATGTAAACAATTTAGAAGAGCAAGCAATTACACACATTGCTGCATGTTGTTGTCAGTACAGTCCACCCGTAACTGAAATAACTCTTTTGCTATAAAAAGAAATATAACAAAATTATACACAGAGAAATAAATTCTACAATAAACAATTGGAAAAACAAGGACCTGCCCATGCTTTTTCTGCTACCTTTTCTCTATTTTCGAAGAGTTGATTTTTCAAATACAAGATAATTAGTACTCCGAATAACTAAAAAGGAACACTAATTATTTCTGTACAAAAAGAATACACTATTATACTTACGGATCAGTAAAATTAATTTTTGTTATTTTTCCTCCCCTTTGTAAACTTTTTGTGAGTAGTAAATTAACTACCAAAAAATAACAAATGTTTTTATCATTATTAATGTCCAACAACCCTCAGTTCTTTTATCATCACATTGGCATAAACTTTTAAGAACAAGAATAATTAAATGAAAGCCATATTTTTTTATAAGTTCTACACGTATAATAACTATTTTGCCATCATCACCTTCTATACACTACATATAACAGTGGTCCTCTTTTTCTTATTTATGTTTTACTAGTATAATCAACTAAAAAGTTATCAATGTATTTTTAATCAAATGATGGCGTTACAGTTGCAGATCTCACAGTGGAATAAGAACAAAAAAGTTTGTTTTAAATCTAACAAAAAAAGCAGAAGAACCAATATTTTAAAAATGGGTAATGGAGTATTAAGGAAGGAATTAAAAATGGTCAAAAAACCTCAAAGCCCATCAGAACCAGACATCGATTCTTTTCATGTTCCACGGAGGATAGATTGAACAGAGCCATTAAATTTTATCTTTTACCAAAAAGAAAATCACTTTTAAATAAACACAAATACACTCTAAAAGACATTAATGCCCTTCCCATGCTTTCACACTCTTCTTGAAAACAATGAAACACACACAGAGAGAGAAAGAGAAGACAGTGTTTCTTTTAGTAAAGGTCTCTCCGAAATTCCATTATTTTTTTTTTGGTCTCGAGGGTTTTTTTTTTCTCTCTTTCAGACAGTGAAGAGATAGAGCTGTGGCAAAGATGAGAGGACCTTTGGGAGCAGTGATTGGAAGATATACTTCAAGTGATGGGAGTGCTCCAAATGATGGGATCATCAAGCACAACAGAAAGTGCAGAGATATTACGTTTCTCGTCATCTTCATTGCCTTTTGGGTTTCAATGATTGTTAATTCCAGCTTCGGTTTCAACCAAGGAAACCCATTAAGGTAAAGATTCGTTGAAATTTTGCTCCAAATCTCTTTCATCTGTTTCCTCCTAAAACCTCAAATGGGGTTTTCAATTCTTCCTCCATGTTTAAGCTAATCTCAGCTGATTTCGCCTTTCTTTGATATTCCAAAGTTTGCATCTTTGTAGTACTATTTGTGGGGTAAAGTAGATATTTTTTTTTCCTTCTTCTTGCTGTTCTTTAGGAAAGACTTGGTGTATGCATAAGCTTGATTGTGAAAAGCGTAAAACTCATTATCCGTTTGTGCTCATTGTTAACATGAATATAATGCTCTGTTAATAAGATTATGTCTTGTTTTGCAGACTCACATATGGATTGGACTATGAAGGGAATGTGTGTGGTAGCAAGCATCGTCACCGTGACCTTAACCAACTCGAGCTTAGATACTGGTTAAACCCTAACCAGGTTTATGAAAGTGGTTTGAAAGATGGAGAGCTCAAATTGGCTAACGCTAGGACCATCTGTCTCTTGGACTGCCCTGCACCTTCAGATGATACTCTCAACTGGGTCTGTGACTATCCTGACGGCGAGATTCGTCTCAAGATGAATGATTGGATCGACAGGAACTACGACTACTTTGAGTTTCTTACTCCAGAAATGAGGAACTCATCTCTTCAGCTTCAGGGTCCTTGTTACCCTGTAATATTCCCTAGTGTGAATGGTAAAGTGTGCTCATTATATATGCACAAAGCTGAAGTCTTTGTGTTTGGTTTCTTGTCTTTTCTGCTACCGTTTTGTAACAAAGATATGATCTTTAATTCTGTAGTTTACTGGAGCTGTCAATATATTGCTCGCGCTTCGAATTCATCGCTGCGCCACTGGCAGCAGATGGGTGGTGTAGAGATTCAAGAAGACATGATCATAGACAAATCGATCCGAAGATCATTGAATTCTCGGGCATCGGTTCTAAAGGTTAGAGAATGATCCTCTTCTCTCTTGACGTTTCCTTGTAAAACAGTGGTTTTTGATGAATGGTCTAAACTCTTAAAGTGTTTGTTGGTTGTGAATTCGCAGCGTTATGTAGCTGATATTGGCAAGTCATGGCCTGTGTTGATTGTTTGTGGAGGCCTTGTCCCACTGTTTCTATCCATTGTTTGGCTGCTCATGATTCGGCATTTTGTTGCCGCCATGCCCTGGATCACTGTTGTCCTTTTCAACATGCTTCTAATATCCGTGACGGTCTTCTATTACTTAAAAGGTTGGTTTAAGAGAAAAAAAAATATCAAATTTCTACTGTTTTTCTCTGTGTTTCAAGCCATATGGACTCAAAAATGCTTATATCTTCTGTAGCTGGATGGATTGGGAATGATGCTGTAACACCTATTATCGGTGAGCATGACCCATACTTTCATGTGTATGGTCGAGTAAGTTCAACATTTTCCCGCTTTATGCTACTTTCAAGTTCATTAGACGAGACTACTAGTCCCAAAGTTATTTGCATTTTTTTTTGTTCGCAGGAGCTGACTCATGTCCGTGGAGTCGCCATTCTCATGACTTTTATCTCAGTTGTTGCTATCCTCACTTCAATCGCCATCATCCGCCGTATCCTCATGGCAACATCAGTCCTCAAGGTGAGTATTAGTATCTTAGTAGTTTGGTTACCATTTTTGGCTTTTTTTGCTAAAAATGTCATACTTTGTGAAAATTTAGGTAGCTGCTAAAGTAATAGGAGAAGTGCATGCGCTGATTATTTTCCCGGCGATACCGTACGCGATGCTTGCGGTGTTCTATATGTTCTGGCTATCGGCGGCTCTCCATCTATTCAGTTCCGGTCAAGTTGTTCCGAACAACTGCAACAACACCAACTGTTGCGCCTATGATCTCGTGTTGAAGAAAGTGAACTGTGACCATTGCTGCGGTTACAGCATACGTTACACTCCTCACATCACCATTGCCATATTCTTCCACCTGTTTGGTTGCTATTGGGCCACACAGTTCTTCGTTGCGTCTTCAGCGACAGTGATTGCTGGCTCTGTTGCTTCCTATTATTGGGCTCAAGGGGAAGCATCGGTAAGCTTTAACACTTCTTAGTTAGTATATGAAACTGTATGGTGAGTAGATATTGATTGGGGTTGGTTTTGCGGCTGAACATTGCAGCCAGAGATACCGTTTCTTCCTGTTTTCGCCTCAATGAAGCGGCTTGCACGCTACAACCTAGGATCCGTGGCTCTTGGTTCACTCATTGTCTCTTTTGTTGAGTCTGTTCGGTTCATTCTCGAAGCGATTCGTCGTAGAACTAAAGTAAGCGGGACCACACCCGATCACTGGTTTTGGAGGATGGGGCATTACACTTCACGTGGTTGTCTCAAAAGCGTTGAGTGGACTATCAAGTCTGTTAACCGCAATGCCTACATAATGGTAAGAGACAAATCTCCTCCGTTAGAGGAAAAAAAAACACCATTTCTTGAACCATTTCTTGAACCATTTCTTGAGGTTTTTCGATGTCTTTTCAGATTGCTATAACAGGGAAAAGCTTCTGCAAATCGTCTGCAATCGCGACAGAGCTGATCATAAACAACATTATGAGGATAGGCAAGGTTAATGTAATAGGAGATGTTATATTGTTTCTAGGGAAGCTTTGTGTGAGTCTCTTCAGTGCTCTCTTTGGCTTTCTTATGTTGGATTCGCACAAGTATCGTTCTTCTCACAACAAAGTCTCTTCCCCGCTACTACCCGTTTTGGTAAAGGCCTTTTTCTTTTCCCTCCAGACTCTTTGTATATACAAAAAAAGATAGTTTTTTGAGCTTGGATACGTTTGAGTTTGACACTCTCTCTCTCTCTCTCTCTCTCAATGGACAGGCATGTTGGGCTTTGGGGTATATTGTGGCGACACTTTTCTTTGCGGTGGTTGAGATGTCGATAGACACAATCATACTCTCCTTCTGTCAAGACTCAGAGGAGAATCAAGGGAATGCTCAGCACGCGCCTCCTCTTCTGCTTGAGACTTTAGATAGCAATCAGGAGGAAGAGGTTCAGAGACTTACCCACTGATAGATCCCATACTGTATAAGTTTTGTTTCTTCTTCATTTGGCCGGTTTATATGGTTTTTTAAAAAACTCGAAACATTCTAAGCATATTGTAATATGTCAGATGGCTTGATGATTCTTGGATTCTGAAACCAAAAAAAATTATATTTCTGCCAAAATGCCTCTTTTGTTTGGTTACATAACGAATCGAGTGTTTCAAACAATAGTCACAATTTTTAAGAGAACGAAGCAAAAGGATCAGCAGAACCAATGACGTTCTTATTTCTTGGCAAAACTCAATTTCTTGGGGTCAATCTCATCAACACGAATCATCATCACGAGGCCATTATCTTCTCCAGACCAAGCAATGGATTCTCCCTCCAGCAGCTTTGCAATTGCGGTATGCTAAGAAAACAAAGTAAACCGAAGCAATTCAAGTTCTATTCAGAGATGAAGACAGATGAGTAAAGAAGATAGTTACCCGTCGTTTGCATTTGGAATCTTCCTTGTTGTCACCCAATTTGACTCTGAGGTACTTGATAGCTGAATCATAATTAGAATACAAACTGATTAGATTCGTTTCTGTTAGAACAAAAAAGGTAAATAGAGAGAGGGAATTTAAACATTACATGGAATGCCAGAGAAGTTCTTAAGCTGGAGCTTGAGAAGACGAAGAGCATCCCTTGGTTCGTGCTCGTTGACGTTCACTGTCACTACCTCGTCTTCCTTGTAAGTCAAATCATCGTCTTCCCTATAAGCATGGTTTTGAAAATTTTCAGCTCTTATAGCAGAAAATTACAGTTGAAGACTGAACTAAAGTGGTTAGCGAAATTAACTGACTTGACATCAAGCATCTTTGCTACATATTTGTCATCTGCCTCCCGAGCTTTTTGTCCGCAAAAGTGTCCCTATGTATTGAGAAAGATATCAAACATGTATTATATAGAACACAAGAAAGACTTTAATCGCTTCCAACCGAAAATTCCTTTCTAAATTGTACCTTCTCCACGAGTCTCTGTGCTTTCTCGGTTTCTCCTTTGGAGAAAGCTTCTACAGCCTGGCAAAGAGGAAGAGGTTTTAGTTCTACAACCATCACATCATGGGAATCACATAGCCATTGAAAACACGTAAATGAATCTCCATTATCTCAAAGACTTACAGCTCCGTAATATTCTTTCATCTCCAGCAAATACTCGTGTACTGCTTTACGATGTGCCTTATATTCATTTTCATCATCTTCATCTATCAGAGGAGAAACATAGATAGTTTAGCATACTCTTCAGAAACGAGAGAATAAACGTACATGTAAGGCTCTGACACGGTTACCTTCTTTCAATGTATGTGACGATTGAGTCACAGTAACTACTCTCTCTTGAAAAGGGTCTTCCAAAGGTTTTGAAGAAGGATGACCAGCGACTCTTCTTGCTCTCCATTCTCCAAATCGTCGAGTTGTTTTTGGCACTTCTTCATATCTCTCCGTACCTGAGAACAAAGCTTCTATAACTTCCATTTCAAGTCCAATCTTGTCCTTGCCTCCTTCCGCTCCATCGCTGCATCGTCATGAAAAGCAATCAGAATTTAGAAGAGGAAAGAGGATCGCCAAGGAGAGGGTTCGGTACTAAGATTAACTAGAAAAAGCGAACCTCTGAGAAACTTCTTGCACGTCCTCTTGGTAGCTGGTCATAGATCCCTGTCTTTGAGGATCAACTTCTGACATCTTTAGGAAGAGAGGAACAAACCAATAGAGTCAGATTTAGAAGCAGATGTGATTCTATAACAAAGACCAAACTGAAAGTCATAAGAAAAGCTCACAACTTCATTGGAAATTCCAACATCAGCATACTTCTTCGTATCAGACAAGTCAAGTAGTTTCTCCGTACTCTGCAATACAGTGAAGAATATAGTGTGGATACCAAAAGAAGAAGTTGCAGCACAGAGATCCAAAGGAAAGATCTACGAAATACAGTACTCACAAAAGCCATATGCCAAGAGCTATAGTGATACCACTAACAACCAAGTGATCAAAATTAGAGGAGACAGTAGGAAAGAAAAGTCCACTTTATCTGAAACTTTTTAGTCAGCAAATAGTATCAAGACACACAAAAAGGATTGTCAAAGTAGCACAAGGGTATAGTTGTAAATGCTCTTCCAAATTAGCTCAAATAAAAATGTCACAGGTCATAATTAAGCTGGTGGTCATCTTGATGAGCTTCAAGGTATTTGAGAATATAATATAATTCAGCCAAGAAAAGGTAAAGCATATATACATATATGTAAAAGAAGATAAAAAAAAAGGCATATGCAAAACCAAAATGCTATTAAAGAAACAAAAATTATACAACTTTTTTCAGAGCTAAAGGAACTGGCTTACCATCTTCACATCATATCCGCATACGCCTGATAGTTTGGTGAAAAAGAAGATAAATTTTAGCAGCTAAGGTCACCAATACTATTAGTGAAGAAAAAACAAGTAGAGAATGCTTACCAAGAATCTGATGAATGACCTCTGGGCTAGCTTGGAAACCTTCTCCGAGCATCTTAACAATAAATTCCTCAACATCAGTAGGAGCCCTGCTTTTGCTTACGTCGTTGCTTTCTGGCATTTCTTCACTCCATAACTCAGTTTCTGGGATATCCTTGGAGTCTATCTTCATTGGTTTAGTTGCTTCTCGAGGAGCATTTGATGTAGGCCTGCTTCTAACATACTCCTTACCGATAACACTTGAAACGGTACCAGCTGATACAGAGTTTTTTTTCGGCCTCCATACTTTGGCTTTGCTATCCTCTTGTTGTCTTCGAGCTTCCTTGGGAACACGAGCTGGTTTTGAGGTTGCTCCATTCGTTTCGAGTTGGTCACTTCGAGGCGTCTTTTCTGTCATCGCAAAGAGAATCTCACAGGCCACATCGACATTCCGGCTAGCTTGGCAGTAAGCAGAAGCTATGTCATCGAGAGAAAAACGAGAACCAAAAGCTTCGAGAAGCACTTGCAAGCTTCTTGAATCTGGATCACCGTGCGAAGAGCTTGCAACCATTGACATTTCTCCTTCTGATTCACAGTGCAAAACGAATGGCTTAGGTTAATATACAAAAGCAGTCTAGTTCTAGTCAACAATGCATATGCTAAATGCAGAGTGCTGAGTGAATATGTTCCCTACATTACAACCAAAATGTAAAATGCATTTGAAGCCGCAACAAGCAAGTTTCAATCATCTTCCTAATAATCCTCTTTGACTGGGAAGTAAAGCAGAACATGGCTTTGTAATCACTTCTTCTAATGTAGTTCAAATGAAGCAAATCAATGGCACAGTGACAAAACAGGAGACGATATTCACGCGTTATCAATAATCATCGGCGCTAATAGACGAAAGGGAAACGCATAGAGCAAAGCTTAGAATGTGAAACCTTGAGAGAAACAAGTACAGAGAAAAGAACAAAGAATCTTTTATTTAATTTAAAAAAAAAAAAAAAGCAATCCGAACTCGTTTCGATCCCAAAGAGAAATCCTTTTCCCCAACAATCAGCAATGCGGAGGCAAAAGAGTAGAATGTAAGAGTTGGCTTACCGAAAACGCAGAAATCGATGTAATCGGAGTAAGGTTTTAGCCGCGGCAACTAAGACGCCGGAGCCGAGAGAAAGGGTATTCAATCGAGAATCTGAACTGGGTAAGCAATTGCTTTTGATTTTCGAAAGACGGGAAACTTGAAAAAGTCGACCGGAGAAGGACAAGAGAGGATTTTCCGGCGATGGTAAATTTTGCAGTTCAGTACGGAGATGAAGAGTTGAATCCGGTGCATGAGTGTCAAGGTTTTATGGTCTCCATAACTTAACAAACATTTTTGATTTTTTTCTCTCTTTGAACACATTTAATACTGTTATCTTTTCACAACTTTTTCATTTTCTTAAATCAATAATTTTAAATTAATACAAATTTAATTGTTTTTATTTACATTTTAATCTGAGTTTTTCATAGATTGGTCAAGACGATAAAGTCTAATATTTGAGTCATAAAGATCACTACTACATGTGCGATGTTAAAAATTAAAATGGAAAAAAAAAAAAAAGTGATTTCAAAGTTTGAGTGCATTATTCCTTTATGTTTTATTTTATTGTGGACTAATGCTCAATAGTTTTACTCTTAGCAAAACAGCACCACTTGTTTTTGTATTTTACAAAATAGCCCCTCTCTTTCATTTTCCGTCCTCATTTCTTCTTCCTCCCACCGTCAATTTCACTCGTTATTGTCTCCTCGGTTCTCACTCCTTCGGTCGCCGACGAATTCTGGTAAGCTCACTCTCCTAATGTTCTCATTCATTTCTACGAATTAGTCCCTGAATCTACTACGTTTTCGAGAAATCCCACGAATTTTAGCTCCTCCTCCGATTTCTTCTTTTACGAAGGGTAGATATATAATATGGTTGTGATCTCCGATACCGAGCAGGATTTATTTAGGAATCGAGTGTTGCCATTAGCGCAGACGCAACCCGAAAAACTGTTCCTTTACTGTTTTATGCAATCATAAATTTTACGTTTTTACTGGTAAACTAGCTCTCTGATGGGGATGTTGCAGATAAACTATGGGGTCGAGAGGAATAATCAGCGATAAGTGGTCAATGAGGATTCTATGGGGCTGTGCAATCGGAAGTGCAATTGGTAAAATGATCTTATAGACTGTAATTAGTTTTTCTGCATCCCATCCTTTGTTGTTGCTGTCTCAAACTCATGAGCTAAGTCTTCTTTAAAACCATATGATTGTTTAGGTTTATACATGGTTGCTGTAGAAAGGCAAACCCAGAACAGGGCACGTGCTTTGGCTGAAGGTTTGGGTGCTGCAGAATCATCACAAGGCGATGGTGATAGTGTCTGAATCTACTCAAGACTCTCTCTCTCAGATGATGTCAAAGTTGAGTTTTTTTTCTTTTCTTTTATATGATAATAAAAGATTGTGTTGGTGTAGTTTCTTGTTGGCAATAATCCTAGAAACGGTTTTCGAAACTTGCTAAACATACAATTTGTGTTAATCGAAAAAGCCTCTTTACTTTTCTCTCCATGTCATGCTATGTTTGTGAATCAATTTTTTCATGCGTGTTTTCAGCGAGGCATTTTGCGTTTTACGGGATGTGTATTCTTTTGAATTATAAGTCTCACTTCCTTATAAAAACCATGACGGGTTCTTTATTCGGAAATGTACAGCAGGAATCAACTTATTTTCTAGAAAAGAAAGAAAAAAAAATGGCACAGGGACACCAAGGCAAATGCTTTGGGTTCGTCCTGTTACTATGCTTCTTCAGTTCAACTTTCGCACGCAGGATTCTTAAGGATCTCCCTATGATGGAGCACACCAAGCTACACCTAAACCATGAAGTGAAGCCTGGGATGGTTAGTTTGAGCCAGCAAGATCATGAGTTGTTGAATGTTGAACCTGATCCCAAAGCCAAGCCTGACCATAAGCTGCAGTCCGAGTGGGGTTTACCACCAGAGCCAGAAGAGCCTGATCACGTAGTAAAGCCTAATGAGAAAGAAAAGCAGGATCACATAGTAAAGCCTGTTCGCGCAGTAAAGCCTGATGATAAAGAAAAGCAGGATCACATAGTAAAGCCTGTTCACGCAGTAAAGCCTAATGAAAAAGAAAAGCAGGATCTCATGGTAAAGCCTGTTCACGCAGTAAAGCCTAATGAAAAAGAAAAGCAGGATCTCATGGTAAAGCTTGTTCACGTAGTAATGCCTGATGATAAAGAAAAGCAGGATCACATAGTAAAGCCAGTTCTCAAAGAAAAGCCTGATCACAGAGTGCAGACCATGGCGAGTGGACTAGAAGATTCTGACCACGCAGTTAAGCCTATGGGGTTTGGTGAAGGTAGGGGCTATGGAAGTGGAAATGGTGTTGGCTACGGCATTGGTTATGGCAGTGGAGGCAGTGGCTTTGGAGAAGGAATTGGGTCAGGTGGAGGAGGCAGTGGCTTTGGAGAAGGAATTGGGTCAGGTGGTGGTTCAGGTGTTGGCATTGGGGAAGGGATAGGATCCGGGTCTGGCCAACCTAATTGCGGTCCAGTCACGGGAGCTCCAGGTAGCGGATTCGGTGAAGGCATTGGACAAGGTAGTGGTTCAGGGCAAGGGATTGGTATCGGTATAGGACGTGGCTCTAGTGGTGGACCAAGTGTAGTTGTCCCAGGCACAACAATCCCTCCCATAGTGGTTCCAGGCACACAGATTCCCGGTTTTGTGATTCCAGGAGTGACGGTTCCCGGCTATGGTTCTGGGTGCCAAACCGGTGGCTGCACCCCAAACGCACCGTATTACCACCCACCTTCTTACCAACCCTGTCCCCATTGTCCACCTTTCACTTCGGGACAAGACAAGCACATGTCAGGCAAAGGACCCATGACCGAAGCTCTTGCACCCACCTCAAACGAGATGCACGGTTAAGCTTTGAGTGTCAATGGAAACACAAAAGTCTAATAAATCACTCGTAATGGTATACATATTTTGGTTTGAAAAAAGCTTCACACTAAGTTGAATAATCCAAAGTTAAATAAGTGAAATTTAGTTAAGGAATAGTACTCATTGACTCCGGACAAGATTGAGTAAAAGAAGTGTGCAAATGGTATTGTATTTGCATTTCCATGGCTGTTTATATGACAAATAGTTTGAGTTTTTAGTAGGCCGGTCCAGTTGAGCTATATTTTTTTTATAAATTTCTGACGCAATTAGAATTGGATTAATCAAAAAAAAATATAGTGCATTAAAAACATCAAAATGGGGGAAAAAATGATTTTACCAAATAAAAAACAATCAAAATGCACGTCAAGCGTTTGATTTGTTTGACATACAGTACTTGTAGGCCTTCGCCTTTGAAGGAAAACTTTAGCTATGGGCCGTAAAAATAAACTGATAAATGGGCTTGTTCGTTAGGAGCTGTAATAAGCCCAGATTCTCCAATTTCGTGGTGGCTTGCCGGGATGTTAACCACAACCTCCGTCACATCTGCTCCACGAGAATTAGCGTCTTGAGTGACCGCCTCAGGTTGGATCGGAGAAAGCTTGGATCCCGGGTTGTGATTTAGGACCGAACCTACACTTTCTCTGCAGGTAGGACAAGTGGAGTGCGATTGAAGCCACGTGTCGATGCAATGGGCGTGAAACCTGTGATTACAGGTCAAAAGCTTGGTTTCGGCGAGCAGGGAGAGGCAAACGGCACATTCGACGCCGTCTTCCAAGGCCTGAGAGTCGAGATCTACGACGGGGATTGATCCGGGGAGGACGGAGACATGAGCATCGCTGGTGCCATGATCATCACAACCAAAACAACAATAATAAGCGGTATAGAACACAATGAGACTAAGTATTCCAACGGGGAGGGCAACACTTGGATCCGCCTCAGGCATAGTAAAACTCGAGTTATATGATTTGATATGTTTCCATGAACATATACGTTCACATTTTTATTAGTATATATTAACTCTCACTATTAAAAGGAAAACTTTCCTAAACTTGAATAAACCAAAAACATAAAGCTGCGTAATTTTCTTCATTTTGAAACCCTTCACCTAAACCCATAAAGATCAGACGACTTTTGTTTAATTTGGGCCGGCCCACAAATTCAGTTAAATTGTATTCTAGTGTGTTGTTAATTTATTTTATTTATCTAAATGAAGTTTTTAAATACGTGAATTTAATTCTAAAAGCACTTTCCGAAATGATAGTGGTACTGTAATAACAAACATTTCCTTCTCCCCATCATAACGATTAGCGACGGAGACGAAGAACATAACAAGACCTACCATTGGTAGAGAGAGAGAGAGTCTTTGTGTGTTAATGGATCGGATTCTGAAGGCCGCTCGAACATCCGGCTCGCTCAACCTTTCCAATCGCTCTCTCCGGTATGATTCACTTTCTTTTTGAACTTTTCCGAATCTGTAAATCGGTGGTCATTGGAAAGCCATCGACTCCACTAGTTTCGATTGTTTTCGAAATTTGCTAGAATGTGGAAATCATCATCTTTTCATCTTGACTCAGTCAAGTTGTTGGGTTCTGTAATTTGCCTTTATTTATCTGAGAGAAGCTAAAGATGCATCTCGAGATCCCGTCGTGTTACATGAGCTGCAAAGTTGTTTGCTTCCACCATTTTTTATTGATTTTGGGTGTTTCGATTTTTTCAGGGATGTGCCTACAGAGGTATATCAATGTCTCGAAACAACCGGAGAAGGAGAAAACTGGTGGGAGGTAAAAAAAAAAAAATTGAATCTTTTTTTTCTAATGCATTGTTCTGTGTGATTCAAATTTCTTAAATGTTTGAAATTTTCCGCATCTTTGCAGGCGGTTGATTTACAGAAGCTGATCTTGGCACATAATGAAATTGAGGTTTTGAGAGAGGATCTTAAGAACCTTGCTTGTTTGGTTGTGCTGAATGTTAGTCATAACAAACTGTCTCAACTTCCAGCAGCGATTGGGGAGTAAGTGTCTCACAGGATCTTTGAAGTTACGTTTCCCACTATGTTCAGCTTGGTAATGATCATAAATGCTTCTTCTCTTAACTCATTCGTAGGCTTACTGCGATGAAGTCGTTGGACGTTTCCTTCAACTCGATATCAGAATTTCCTGAGCAAATTGGTTCAGCAACATCTCTCGTCAAGTAGGTTATCATAAACATTTCTTCTGGTTCGACTTAGATTAAGGCATTGGACTCGTTAAACCCGCTAAACTCATTGTGATCGCTTCAGGCTTGACTGTTCAAGCAATCGGCTTAAAGAACTGCCAGATACTCTTGGAAGATGTTTGGACTTATCTGATTTGAAGGTTGTTTCTGTGTTGCTTCTGGATCAGTTTTTTTTTCGTTTACTTCTTCTCTCATATTTTTTTATGGTGATGATTGTGCTTATCGTTGTTATCCACAGGCCTCAAATAATCAAATCTCCAGTTTGCCTGAAGGCATGGCCAACTGTTCGAAATTATCTAAATTGGATGTGGAGGTATGAGACATTGGTGTCGATTTCTTCCTTCAGGCTGTAGTGGCTACTTAGTACTATCTTCCAACTGCAGTATGGCCTTTCTGGAAGAAGGAGAAGGCAATAGTTTCAAGGCTATGTTTGGGTAGAGAAAGATAATTTACCGATGTAATTAATGTCTACTGCAGGGAAACAAGCTCACAGTTCTCTCCGAGAGGCAGATATCATCATGGACCATGCTTACAGAACTCAATGCAGGTAATGATATTCAGCTTCTTTTTTTTTTTTTGTGTAAGTGTGTTTGTTATGTATTGAAAGGTTCTGGGACACACTTTAATATCTTTGCACTCTCTGCAGCTAAGAATATGTTGGGTGGTCTGCCACAAAATATTGGAAGCCTCTCGCGTCTTATCCGGCTAGATCTTCATCAGAACAGTAAGGATTAAAAAAAAAATTGCCATTCTTTTGTTCCAGTAATAATATCAAACTTATTCCTTCTAGTTGCTGAATTGTTTCTGTATTCCATTTGTGCAGAAATCTCGTCTATTCCACCGTCAATAGGCGGTTGCTCCTCTCTTGTGGAGTTCTATTTGGGGTCATTCTCTACTGCTGATTATTTAAAAAGAAAGTTTGTTTGGTCCTACATGGAATCTAGTTAGAGAATTTTACTAAGTGACATTCTTCATTGCGTACTTTATTCCAGAATAAACTCGCTATCAACATTACCAGCAGAGATTGGAGATTTATTATGTCTAGGAACTTTGGATCTTCGTTCTAATCAGGTATTGTGCTCATTTCTTTGATGGAAGTTGTTGCCTGACATTCGATATATTCTTAACCTTTATATAGTGACAATCACTTGGTTCTAATTAATGGCCTGCACCCTTGTGCTTTCTTCTAATTTTCAGCTCAAGGAATATCCAGTTGGGGGATGTAAATTGAAGCTCTCGTATCTAGATCTTTCAAATAATTCATTGACAGGATTGCATCCTGAGCTCGGTATGACTAGGAAACAGCAGTAACCATTTTTGCATCGCGTGCTTGTTAATGAGTTTTACATATATCATCATAGTAATAGCTATTAGGTATAAAGCTTCATGTCCTCATCATCATTTCTAGGCAACATGACTACTCTGAGAAAGCTTGTACTTGTTGGCAATCCTTTGAGAACCCTTAGAAGGTATTTTTGACCTGCTCTCTCTCTCTCTCTCTCTCTCTTCCTCTGGTTTCTTGATTATCTGGTCTTAGCTTTATTGCTACTTTAAGAGCCAACCTTTCTTTTCTTGTTGTTGCTCTTCAGCTCATTAGTAAATGGTCCAACAGCTGCTCTATTGAAGTATCTTAGGAGCCGCCTCTCTAATAGTGAAGGTACTTTGGTCCAACATCTCTCTCTCACACATCTAAGTGGTTATGCCTAACTGTAAAAGGTTTCCATTTGTAGAAACTAGTGCAAGCACTCCGACAAAGGAAAATGTAATCGCTTCAGCAGCTCGTATGTCCATATCTTCAAAGGTACGTGAAATCACAGATCTGAGCACCATCCTGTCAAGAGTTGCATGTTCTTAACAGAAGAAACAGGAATTTATGCTCTTAATTGATTGCACAAAACTCAGGAACTCTCTCTGGAAGGACTCAACTTGACTGCTGTCCCTTCAGAAGTTTGGGAATCTGGTGAAATCACGAAAGTTAATCTTTCTAAGAACTCTATCGAGGAATTGCCTGCTCAACTTTCTTCATCTGTTTCCCTTCAGGTAATGGACTTTCCGTAAACACTCTTTCTATATACAAAGAAGATATATATCACATGTGCCTTTGCAAATCTGTCGTGGTTGTTAAAGACATTATATTCTCTTTGTAATTGCAGACTTTAATTTTGTCAAGGAACAAGATTAAAGATTGGCCCGGTGAAATCTTGAAGTCACTTCCCGGTCTTGTGTGCTTGAAGTTGGACAATAATCCCCTGAAGCAGGTATGTTGGTGTTTTGAAGAGAAGGAGATCTAAAGAGTTGATTATAGCTTCCACCAAGAAGACGCTAATCCATCACCTTCTTTATTTATTTGCTCGTAAGATTCCACTGGATGGGTTTCAAGCAGTATCTAGACTTCAGATTCTCGATCTAAGTGGTAATGGAGCTTCCTTGGGCATCAGAGAGCATCCCAAGTTTTCACACTTGGCACAACTACAAGAGCTTTATTTGAGGTTGGTTGTAATACCTTATATTATTCATTGCGCACCTTATTATTCAATAGTTTATGATGATACCTCACTTGGCAGCCGAGTCCAGCTGTCTGAAGTCCCTGAAGATATCCTCAACTTAGCTAATCTGCTTATCCTTGACTTGAGCCAGAATTCACTTCAATCGATTCCCAAGGTATAATGGCGAAATGCTTAATCTGTGGTTTGAATATAAGTAGAACCTGCATCAATCAGCTAATTATAACCAAAGTGTTCTTATAATGTTATTGCATCGGCTCTGTTTTTTTCCAAGCAGGATGTGAAGAACATGGCTTCACTCAAACACCTGGACTTATCCAACAACAACATTTCAAGCCTTCCTCCAGAATTGGTAAGTCTGTTGCCTTTCTTTCTTTAACGAAACATAGAAATGCATTAATGTGTTTGATAACACAAGTCGTCTGTTTGTTCCTTAGGGTTTGCTTGAACCAACACTTGAGGTTCTAAGGCTCGACGGGAACCCATTAAGAAGGTATCTTTCGTTTTCTTTAATTAAACATAGAAACACTATAATACGTTCATAGAAACAGTAACTTTCCAGACTGATTGATTTTCTTTTCTCACCAACATTCTCAAAACAGCATCAGGAGGCCAATTCTAGAGAGAGGAGCAAAAGCTGTATTGAATTACCTGAAAGATAAACTTCCAGAACAGTAGCTTCTACAACATCATTAACACCAACATACATTTGCTGTATCTAACATTTGTCTGATATATATCCCGGAGATAGTAAAATTCTTCTTGATGAAAAACGATTCTGCTTGCTTGTCTCCTTTGTGTGAAATATTTTGATTTTTGTTGTTGTGTCATATCAATGTACTAAAAACTCGGGTCCCCAATGACTTGAACAGAAGAATTTGTTTGTATGAATTTGTTGTCTTTGTTTCTACATCCTTCCTGTCGAATGCTGATTAGCCTAAACTTAAGAATCTTGGTGGGAAAATAAGATAGTTTCATGTTTGACATCAGAACAGAGTAAAATTGAAACTTAACCCTTATGAGTGAAAGCAAGGCAATGTACCAATTGTCTCTATATATTATTCTTCAGCCTTTATGAAACAAAAGAGATATCAAAAATTCAAAACGATTAAGAATGACGACAATAGTAATAATAATACTCCAGTCTCCAGCCAAGCAACAGAACAGTGTAAAGACGAGGACTAAAGCCTCAAAAGATTCTGCGAACTTTCTATATGACAGAGAGAGGAAGAATCGCCACAGAAGAAGCTTAAGAAGCAAGATATTGATCTTCCTCCTAATTTTCTATTCCTCTTCACACGTCGTCTCTCACCATTCTTCTCTCTTATAAAAAGCTCCTTTTTAGACTTTTTGGTTTCATTTGTTTAGTGGCAAGTTTCGGTGGAGCCGAAAAAGTCAAGAGCTTTTGCTTTCCAGGTAAGGATCTATCGCGCATTCAAATTACTCTACCCTCTTTTTCTTCTTCTCCACCTCCTTCCAAACCCTATTTTCGATCTCAATTGTTTGGTATTCGATCGAATGTTTCTCCTTTTTAACTTGTTGGTAGATGATAATTTTGGGGGTTTGATTAGCTGATTGATTGCAGAAATCTCTGTTTCGTGGATAACTTTTTTAGGTAAGTTTTGGAAGAATCTGGTGTTGTTCGCGTGGATTGATTCTTGCGATCTGATCCTTCTCATGATTAGTTTTCGATCTTCGAATAGACAAGCTGAGAAATTCTCGTCTAAAGCTCCGTTTTCCTATTCGATTTCTTATCTCTTTCTACCATCGAACGTCTTCTTCATTCGCTACTTCAATTGCTCTAGATTTCGCCTTAAAATCTGACCCTTTCCCTCCTCCTTGTTCCTCGCACTTTCGCAATCTAAAAGCCTGAGCCTTTGTTCCTTTCACCCTCCTGTAGCTTCAAGCGGCTTCTCAAAAAGTCTCGTCTTTTACATTCGATTTGGTCATTTGAAACTCTGTTCTTAGAACTAAGGAAGTAAGAAAAAATGGCTGACGGAAACTGGATGGTGTCGTTCGAGGATCTTCCTTCTCATTTGATCTTTGAGGTGTTGACCTCTGGCCGGCTTAATGCGGCTGATCTACTCAGCCTGGAATTGACCTCAAAGGCTTTCGGAGGGAGCTGTGGATTGTACCCTTTGAAATTCAGATCACTAGCTGATCATGCGGCGTCTCAGCTTTGCTCTACGCATCCTGTCTACGTGGGAATGGGTTTGGCTACGCAGAAAGAGCTCTTTGCGAATTGCGAGGGAAACTGGAAGCGGCTTTTGAGGTTCTTGCAATCAGTTGAGCAATCTTCAGATATGGTTGAAACCTCTGCAGGCAATGTATGATTTCATTTCTTCTTCTCTCTCTCTCTCTCTTTGCTTTTATCGGTGAATATTTCATAGACAGAGTAGCCTTAGTTAGCTTAGTGATGTTGAGAAACTGGTATAGTGAAGGTGTTGAGGTACTAGTAATATAGCTCCCAATGCTATGGCGGATTGTTTTGGTTTAGGGTCACAGATTAATTTCTTTCATCTTCTTTCTGCAGATGCAAATTACAACAGGGAGGTATCACACGTTGCTAATCAACAACTCAAAGGTTTACTCTTGCGGTGCAAGTTTGTCTGGTGTTCTTGCTCATGGCCCAGAAACTACTCAATGCGTTGCATTTACCCCTATTGAGTTCCCCTGCTCTGCTCAAGTGGCTCAAGTCTCAGCCACACAGAACCATTCTGCTTTCGTATTGCAATCTGGAGAGGTTCGTGGCTTCCGTTTCACTAAAAACCTATCCTATTAGTATATGGTGTTTGCCATAATCGCTTATCAACAATTCTATTTGAATAACCGCACAGGTTCTCACATGTGGGGATAACTCGTCGTATTGCTGTGGTCATTTAGATACTAGCCGTCCAATATTTAGGCCTAAGCTTGTTGAGGCTTTAAAGGGAACTCCTTGTAAGCAGGTAAGATTCATATTAACTCTATCTAGACCAATCGATTCTCTAAATTTATGCAATTACCACATTCCTAATCTCATCTTGTGTACCAGGTGGCTGCAGGGCTGCACTTCACTGTGTTTCTGTCAAGGGAAGGGCGTGTGTTTACATGTGGATCAAACACACACGGACAGCTTGGTCATGGCGATACCTTGGACAGACCAGTACCCAAAGCTGTTGAATTTCTTGACAGCGTTGGCCCCGTGGTGCAAATCGCAACTGGACCGAGCTATGTTTTAGCTGTGACAAAGGATGGCTCGGTTTACTCCTTTGGCTCTGGTTCTAGCTTCTGCCTTGGTCACGGAGAGCAACAGGACGAGCTCCAGCCGCGTGTAATTCAGGCTTTTAAGAGAAAAGGTATTCATATACTCCGTGTCTCTGCAGGCGATGAACACGCCGTGGCACTTGATTCCAATGGCCGTGTAAGTTCATTGTTTCCTTCTCTCTCTCTCTCTCTGTCTCCATTTGGTTTTGGAAAAACCCAAAGAATCCTTGTTTGATACGTTCTTTGAAACGCTTAGGTATACACATGGGGTAAAGGTTACTGCGGTGCACTAGGCCATGGAGACGAAAACGACAAGATCACTCCTCAAATTTTGGTCAGTTTCAAGAACTGCCTCGCTGTCCAGGTCAGATTCCTCCCCATATGTTCCATCTCAAACACAAGATCACGTCTTTCTTTATAACGATTGTGCCCGTGTTCTTGAGCGGCCTCATTGAAATGTCCTAAGTCATGACCTGACTTTGTCTTTTTCAGGTGTGTGCAAGAAAGAGGAAAACGTTTGTATTAGTGGAAGGCGGATTGTTGTATGGATTTGGGTGGATGGGATTTGGAAGCCTCGGGTTCCCGGACAGAGGAGTTTCGGACAAAGTTTTGAGGCCAAGAGTGTTGGAGAGCCTGAAACCACACCGAGTCTCTCAAGTCAGCACCGGTTTGTATCACACCATTGTGGTCACTCAAGGTGGTCGCATTTTCGGATTTGGAGATAACGAAAGAGCACAGCTTGGTCACGACTCACTCCGTGGCTGCTTAGAACCTACCGAGATCTTTCTCCATTGTGGCCGTTCTCGTAGCCGCCTTTGCTGATCCAAGTGAATAAGCAAGTTTGTACGTATGAACCGGATTGGTATCAGTACTTTAACCGGTAGTGTATGTTGTTGTATGATTTGTATCCGTTTGATTTTTCGAGTGTATCAAAGATTTTTCCGGTTTTGTGTATCGAAGATGCTTCCGGTTTGAATTGTTTAGAGAGCAAATTTTCAAGAGGAAAAACAACCAATGAGCAGAAGAAGGAATCATTTGCAACTAACTACACTTTCAAGTTCTTGATCACTGAAATTAAAAACAAAAAGCATAATTAAAAAGACCTTAAACCGGAAACAGATGACAAATTCCGGTTTCCTCAAGCCACTGCGCAAATGCAAGGACGATGAAACATATCAATAGAGGCAAGTCAAATAACTATAGATATTAAACGATATTTAGAAGATTTCGGTAGGATTTTTCTTATCAAATCTTCATTTTGTATTAACTTTGCTGAGATATTCAAGATTCTGAATATCTGTTCTAAAAAATCTCTACTATGGAAAGAGAATCACTTTAAAGAAATTGTATGAAACGAAGAATTATGATATCAAAACACAGTTCAAAAGACACTAGTCGACAGATATAAATGGAAAATATAGAAAACCAAGCGTTACAAAATGACATGTGAGACCTTTCAAGGCGTTATATACATGAATCGGTTATTAGTAGTAATAGATTAATTTATTTCTCAAGATTTGACAGATTGAAATGCAAAATATCAACAGAAATCATAATCATACTATTCCTAACGTTGACGAAAAAAGAATTCACACTTTTTTTAGACGTGGCACGTTAAAAGATCATCATTACATAGAAAAACTAAATTCTCTAATCTGTGTGCTTTTTTTTTGGTAAGGCTCTAAACTGTGTGTTGTTGGAGGGATATTCACAATTTGTTTATTTACCAGATTTAAGACAAAAGATAATAAAAAAAACAGAAACGGATAAGAACACGTCGGACATGTCAGAACTCTTATCTATCCAAAAATCCAAGTCATCATCACGTGTAGTCACGAGTATTTATAAATACTCTCCTTCCTCATTACTTTCTCTTCACAAACAACAAACAAAACATTCAAAACATTGATCAAAGAGAAAAACAAAAATCGAAAATGTTGGCAATATTCCAGAAAGCGTTTGCTCACCCACCAGAGGAGCTCAACAGTCCGGCGTCTCATTTCTCCGGCAAAAACCCTAAACTTCCCGGAGAAACTCTCTCCGACTTCCTCTCTCGCCACCAAGACGCCGCTTTCTCCATGAACTTCGGCGACTCCGCCGTCCTAGCTTACGCCCGCCCCGACGGCTCTCTTCGCCAGAGGTACGTATAAATTTTCAATTTTTATCATCCGATTCGTAGACTCATACTCATACATCTGGATTTTTGTAATTCTCAGGTTGTTCTGTGGAGTAGACGGGATCTACTGTATGTTTCTTGGGAGGTTAAACAATCTCTGCACACTGAACCGGCAATACGGTTTAACGGGGAAGAACACGAACGAGGCGATGTTTGTGATCGAAGCTTACCGAACACTCCGTGACCGTGGTCCTTACCCGGCCGATCAAGTCCTTAGAGGTCTCGACGGAAGCTTCGCCTTCGTCGTCTACGACACCCAAACCTCCTCTGTTTTCTCAGCTCTGAGCTCCGATGGAAGAGAGAGTCTTTACTGGGGAATTTCCGGCGACGGATCTGTTGTGATGTCAGATGATCTTCAGATCATAAAACAAGGATGTGCTAAATCATTTGCTCCTTTCCCCACTGGTAAGCAGAAAGAATGATTCTCTTCACCATATAAAAGAACCAACATTTGAGAAAAGTGAAATCTGAAGTTTGATGATGTTTGTGTATTTTTTTGCAGGTTGTATGTTTCACAGTGAGACAGGGCTTAAGAGCTTTGAACATCCGACTAACAAGATGAAGGCGATGACGAGGATTGATAGTGAAGGTGTGATTTGTGGAGCTAATTTCAAAGTGGATGCTTGTTCTAAGATCAATGGCATTCCCAGAAGAGGAAGTGAGGCTAATTGGGCTCTGGCCAATTCTCGTTCTTGAATTCTTCTTTGTTTTTGTTGCGTTTCTTTTACATTACTCTTCTTTTTATGTAAATAGAGCCTTTGATCCTCCTATATCAATAAAGATTCTAAATTTGCTTTTTGCTTCTACTTTTGCTGATATTGAATATGAACTCTTTGCAAGTGAAAGCAAAAAAATCTCACCTTTTAGCCTTCAGTTCCAGTTCTACCTAGTAGGAGAAAAGAAAACAGAGTAAAGACCAAAAAATGTGCTACATCTGTGAATCTTGGATTATTACTCTTCAAGATTTGCCAACTTAGCAAAGAGATTTAGATGAACTTTTTACTTGTTGAACTCATTAATTGCAAGAACACAAAATATCTCCTTTTTGATTGATACGATGGGGAGAAGATAAAAGAGTCAAGAACAGTAAAGACAAAAATGTGTTGATTCTGTGAATTTGGAAGTTTACAACAACAGCAAAAACTTGATCTAATCTTATCATTCATCATCCTTCCACATGTCTGCAAACTCATCAGGCTCCAATGGGTTGGAGAGTTCATGCATCTTCCTTCTCGTTTTCGCCTTGATTTTCTTGGCAAACTTCCCTGCTTTGTTTCTTTTCTCCAACGCTCGAATCTGAAGGAACAAAAAATCGAAAGAAATTAAAACTTTGACCCAAAAATAAGCATATATGATTCACAGGTACATCAGCAAAACGTTCTTTCTCCATCAAGCTAGACATAGAGACCAGTACCTGGTTTGGTGATACATAGAATGGGTTCTCGTAAAGCGTTGGACCTCCAAAGCTGCCTCCGAATATCTTAATCGGATTTAAACAAAACCTTGGACCAACCTGTCACCAAGTTTTACTTCAGTCATCATCACTAACTACAGAATTGCGCAAATCAATGTTACTAATAGTCACTAACCTCGACAAGGGTCATCTTATCCAGACCACCTCTTGCAATCTTGTCTGTCTCGTTATGAGGTACCGATATCTGCAATGGAAGATAAAACCAGACATCGACTACTTAAACCAAAGAGTTTCCAATGAAATCAGTTGATCTCTGAGATGCTAACTTTTAACCAACCTGGTAATTACGGAACCAAATATGGTCATCGACAATGGAGAAAGCAAACACATGGTCATGGTACGGTTTAGACTTTCTGTGTTCCTTGGGGATTCCAAAAACCTGCAAGAGAAAGGAACAAAAACTTGTTAGAATGACAAAAAGTCCCGAGATTTATAAAAACCAAACTAACAAAGACCGTAAAGGGAAATGAAAAATGGGAAGGACCTGTGTTAACATCTCCTTCAGAAGTTTCCAGTGTGCATCTTTATCAAAATTGGATGAGAACGTCAAGAGAGGACGTGACCCTTTCAGATGATTCCCAGTGAGTTTCAGCTCCTCCATTGTGTGAACTTCACCATTTTACAAAATCATTTTATAAAGCACACAATTCAGAGACGATCAAAGACGTAACCTAATATATATGATTACATCCATTTGAGGAGGTGGAGAGATTACCAGCGTTAACCAAGAACTTAACAGAAGGTCCACTAGGGGACTTGACCATCCACATGTAAAGATCTTTATGCTTCCTACACTGAACACCAAAACAAATAAACGCATACCAATTTCAGTTTCTTGGGAATAAACAAAATCAAGACGAGGTCGATTTCACAGTTTACAACTCCATACAAGCTAACATTTAAGAGCAGAGGGACAAAAGAATCCAAATTTAACAAAAACAAAGGGTTTCATCTGTTCCTCTTTCTATGGTATCAAGTTTTTAACCAAGTTACATTTCATTGCTAAACAGAGACAATCGAAAAAGAGAATTTGATAAAAGATGGGAGTATTGACCTCGAAAAACAAGCAGGACGAAGAGCCCTTAAGCTCGATGAGCTCATTAAGAGTAGCGCCTTTGCTGCTCTTAGCCTCGACCTTACTATCTTTCTTACAGTGAGGCAGAAGTGAAACTATGTTCAACATCAGATGCCGATACCTTCCAACGAATCAAAGAGAAAACAGTTAATTCTTCCCCCACCATCATTCAAACGAGCAAACTAAATTAAAACCCAAAGTTAAATTTTCAAGGAGCTTCACCTGAAACTGATCCGACGGGAACAAGTAACGAGAACCTTCTCTTTATTCCTGAATCCAGGAGCAGAAGCTGGTTTAGATTCCTCACCATCTTCCTTCTTATCTTTCCAACCCAATAGAGTCCTTTTAGGTCTCTCTGGAGCAGAATCGTCCTTCTTCGCCGGTGCCGCCGCTTCAGTCTCGCTGTGCTTTCTCTTCCTCCCCATTTTTTTGTTGGTCTATGGAAGAAGCAGCGCTAAATTCTGTTTTAGGGTTTATTGCAGAGTCAAACCTAAAGGGACAAGCTGCTTTTACTCGTTTCACCAAATCCAAAACGGCAACGTATTCGTATTTGTAAATAATGAACATAAATGGGTCCAACTTATAATGGGCCTTAAGGTTAGCTGTACAGAAGTTAAAAGTAGAGAGATACAAAAGAATGTTCCTTTTTTCCTTTCTTTCTATTTCCAATCAATAAACTCTGTTCGTGTCTGTAAACTCTACAAAGATCAGTATAGTTTCTCTCGATTTTTTTCTTGGAAACGAATCTGTAACAGAAGAATAAAAAAAAAAAGCTCGCTAAAAATAGTACAAACCTCACTCGATTTTTCTTTAACACTTACACTTGATCAAATCCGAATGGGCAAACCAAAGTTCTGAAACGCTCGAATCTCTCCTCTGAGACCTGCAGTGACAATCACCATTCCCCAAGAAGCCGACACACTCCCTGAGTTCCCAATCCCATTCGAAGACAAATCCGTACTCAGACGATTCCCACTTCTGTTCCTTCCAAACAACAGTTTCTCTTCAGGCCAAGTCGCTGACATTCTATCGAAAAAGTAGCCGTTGGTCGCGCTCGAGATGATCCCGTTCCGTGGACTGTTCAGTCGATCCAGAGTCCCCGGCTGGTCCACCGGCGTAGGCGGATGGTTCGCTGTGGAGACCTCGTCCAAGTTATTGGTGGTTCCGTTAAATCCGGCTCTGTTTTCTGACTCTGTCGAGGCCATTCCGGGCCACGAGATGGCTGCTGAGACGTCTTGGCTATGGAAATGCTCGTAAGTGTTTGTGACCGTAACGTTCTTGCTGTTGTTACTCCTGCTTGGTCGAGAAGCAGGGGATTCGTATTTCCATATGTACACATGTGAATCCTCGCTCGCTGAAACTACGTATTTCCCATCTGCTGTGATTGAGGCTGAGATCTGACTGCTAGTATTCCGAAACCCTGTCATAAGGAAATGAAATTTAACTCACAAAAAAGATGGATACTTCTTTAACCCCTACATAGAACTAATACAAGACAAAGCTTAAAACTTTTTTGTACGTTTGTTTGTTTACCTTTGAGTTTGTTAACTAGATCAGTTCCATCAACAACGCGGATCCGTGAATCGGATGATGTGACAAGCACTTCAGATGAGCTCCCAGGCACAAACTATGGTATATAAATGAGACAGAGCAAGCAACTTTTTTTAAATCCATCAAGAAATTTGTTTCACCAGATTTTTGCTCCTGAAGAAAAGGTGTTTTTGCGTTACCTGGAAACCAGTTATCTTTTTCTGATGAGCTTTCTTCTTCTTGTTCTGTAAATTTATCTGGCTTTTCTGTTGCAGCTTGTTATCTGAAAAGAATTAATATCAATCAATGTTAACGCATATGGAACAGCAGAAGAACCTAAAACAAAAAAAATCCCCAGAAGAACTTTATCATTACCCGAAGCACTATACATGCGACAGCTACCTTTGTATGAACCAACCAACGCGCCCTTCAAGTTCAAACAGAGTCTCTTTAGAAATTTATAAGCTTTTTATAGATTCGAGAAAAAAAAATCCTGACTAAAAATAGTAACTTGTTGGGGAGATTTTCCGATTACCTGACCGTCTGGAGTGTAGCAAGCAGAAGTGACCATCTCGTGAAGATCATACCAGTCAACTACTTGACGATCTGGGATGCTCCAGACACGTACTTTTGCATCTAAGGATCCACTGATGAAGTATCTATCATCAACCGGATTAAACTGAATGCAAGTTACTGTTCCAATCAATAACCAGAACACAAACATTGTTACTTTGGTAAGCACCAACAAAAAAAACAGAAAATTAATGGCAGCTGGATCAGAATCTACTAACCGTAATCACTGTGTGAAAATACTTTCAAGCAACTCTGGCTGGACAAGTTCCATAAACGAACTGTTTTATCCATTGATGAAGAAAGTAAATGCTGAGGAAACAAGTAATAGAAAGTTTGTTTACTCATACATCTTCTTAGAGAAATAACAAAAAAGTGAAAGAAGGTGACTAACAAACCTGAGACTTGGACCAAGCAAGGTCAAGCACATCATCAATATGTCCCTGGAATGAACAAAAGGGTTTGTCCGAGAGCCCGAAAACAGAATCTGGAACAAATATGTTGTCTAAACTCAGTGACTTTCTACTTATGGAAGTTCTCCCTCTTCTCCTTGGTGACATAGCAGTTGGTTCCGGAGACCCGTTATTAGCCAAAAGCAACAACTCCGGTCTATCTAGTAACAACTCTCCTTTCTTTTCAGCCTCTACGACTTGCCAAATATGAATGATGCAATCCTCACCAGCACTAGCAAGATATTTACCATCCAAACTAAACTTAATGCTCCAAATAGAACCGTTATGCGCTTGAATCTCCTGCGTCTTGTACAGTGCCGTGAGCTCTTTGGATGATTTCCCATACTGTCTAACCCTAACTCTTTCCGGCCCGTGAAAAGAAGATTCCTGGGAATCATCTGTAGCAGAGCTCGACCTCCGACCACCTCTCTCCGATGATGTATCTTTGTCATCGCTGCTTCTTCTCTCTTTGCTATGACCGGTCATGCTGCTTGCAACGCTCTTTATGCTCTTAAACCAACTTCCTTTCTTCTTAGACTTGGATGCGTTGTTGTTCTTATCTCCACTGTCTTCGTTCTCCTTGGATTTCGTTGATGCGTTCTTATCGGAATCCTCGACGTTCTGTCTTCTCATAAGCTCCTGAACAATGGGAGAATGTCCCACGCACATCTCAAACTCCTCCATCGTCATCTGTGTGTCAGTTCCCACTTCCTTTACTTTTTTCCATGTACCGTCTTCTTGAACCTCGTTCACCACAAACTCTTTCCCATTATCGAGATTCTTAATAGTACATTCGACCATCTCCTCACTCTCGCTAGGGTTTCTCAATACACAGTCAGAGTTTCCACTTGAGCGCAACGGATTCTCACACACCATTGACGAACCAGCACTAACTGATCCGAAATTAGGATTACCCTTATCATCGTTATCATGATTGTGCGCGAAATTGCAGTTTACAAAAGGCGGGTTGGTTCTACTGACCTCGAAATGTGAAGGTTTAGAGTCGGAACAGGAACAAAAGTTACCCGGCGGAGGACGTCGACGGTCACGATCGCCACATTGGCTAGTGGAAATGTCGGATTTCGATCTCACGACGCAGGAAGCACTGCCGCCGACACTCTCTGAACACGCTCCGTGATCTCGTCGAGCCAATTGATTGCAGGAGATCGACCGGGAAATGTCGGAAGCTCCGGCTTCATTGGAGCTGGGATCGGAAACGGGTTTTAACCGGGAGTGAACAGGTTCGCGGCTGAGACCCATCTCGCTCAAAAGCCTCGAACGCCTCTCGGAGACTGAAGCGGGTTCGGAGATCCAGACGTCGAACCTCGAGGGACCCATTGGAAACCGAGGGACGGGGAATGGGTATCGACGGCGGCGATCACCGTTGGGTTCTTCCGGGTCATGGGAAGCGGCGGAGGAGATCCGAGGAGAGGATTCCGAATTGGCGAGGTCGGAATCGTAATCGGAGTTCGAAGCTGAGCAAGAGCAAGAAGAGGAAGAGGCTAAGCGATCAAGAGACTCGTAGAAGCACTCGCCTTCTCCGTCCTCTTCCTCGTTTTGGTTGCTCATGGTCGCTTAGTTGAGTCCAGCGAAGGCATTCCCATCGGAAATAAAAATCCTCCGCCGGTGATTTGATCAAACAGAAACTAGTCACAAAACGCAGACTTTTTTCAACGAATTCTTTAAAAATTTCTCTCAAGTCAAAGCTGGAGAATTTGGGGGGTTTGGTCGCTGAATCTGGGGATTATGCGTGTTTCGAAGAATTCGAAGAATCAGATTGTAGGTTTTCGGGAGAAAGTCAGATCCGATGAAAGGCAGAGAGAGAGGTGCGTTTAGGAGTTCGGAGATGTCTGTGTGTAGAAATCAATGGAGAGAGAGAGAGAAGAAGAAGCTGCTTTTTTTTTGTTTTTCTGTTTTTGTTTTTCCTTTTTCCTTTTCTCTCTTCTCACTGTTTAATTTAGTTGCCTCTTTGCACTTTGTAGGCGCTGAAAACTTTTAGTTTCCTTTCATCCAGAAATTAGATCTTCAACATTTTTTTAATATATTATTTAAATTTGATCAAATGTGATATGTAAATAATTTTGACAATATAAGTATTTGCCATGCTTGCTTAGAGACCATTATAAAATTGAGAGAGCTTCTATATGTTTCAAGAAGGGCGTGTAGCATACTGCCATTATTCAAGTTTATTTATTTTGATATTTTCCTTGAACAACAATTAATTATATTTATCAACAGAAATGTATTGATGTAATTTTTTTATTACAGTTCATATAGTACGGCAAGTGTTGTTAAAAAATCTTTCTAATAAAGTACCGACACAAAAATTTCTGGTTTTCCAATTCAGATATTTTATTCTAGGAACATATTGAGCATTTTAAACTCTTGTCATTAATATATGTAAAACATTTAGTGTATAATAATACTATGGTATCATTTTAATTTTTAACACTGTCAAAGTGTTTCATAATGAATAAATACAATCAAATTAAGAAGGTGTTATTGGTTCTTGTATTTTAATGGATTCGAGAATCCAAACCAAATTCAGTGTTATTAGTTCTTATATTTTAAAATTTATATTGAAATACAGTGTTATTGGTTTTATAATTTTAGAATCCATAATGAAATACAGTGTTATTGGTTCTATCATTTTAGAATCTAAATATTATAAGGATTTGAGTTTTAATTGAATTTAAATAGATTTGAAATGATTTTCATGACTAAAATACAAAGACCCAAATACAAGGTCTAACCTTTGTATTTGAATGGATTTGATTTTTTTCCATTTTGCTGATTTTGAAATCAATAAATTTATCAAATTCAAAAAAGATTTATAAATCCACCAAAATACAAGTATCAATAACTCCTACTAAATCACAAACTAATTACAGTTATAGTTCGTAAAGCAAATTTAATGTCAAAAGCAATTCTTCAGATATTATATAAAAATCTAGTTGGCTTCGTAAACTAATTAACTAATTATGAACCCATATATAGTCATCTATTTGGATATATGAAATAAAATTTTGCCACGGTTAAAATGTTCATCTAGCAATAGCATAAATACTGTTACTTTGGAGTTTCTTTAATATCAAATAAATCGGTGCAGTGAAATAAACAGTAGAAAGCTCTAAGAAAATAATGAATATTCATATGGCAAAACTAAACCATCCGATTAACCGATTTAACCATCCAGAATATCAAATCACATAAAGTTTCAAGAAGATCATGATTAACGCAATCTATGCATCTTTCGCTTCAAAGGCCCACAACAACAACAAAGAATGGAATAAGAACCATAAGCTCAAAGCTCAGTCTTAGTGATTTATATACGAGGTTTTATTTCGTTTCATAAGATGGAAAATTAAAATTAAAATTAAAATTAAAAATAAGAAAAAGTGTAAACAAGAGGGAGCGAAGAGAAATGGGCCTGTAAGGCCCACAAAGAGTAAATGCAGAGAGAAGATGACAACTAATCAGTAACACCATGCCCCTTCCCTACTCTAACTTTTCCCGTCCCACCGTTATTTACAACATTAGACTCCGTTTCCTCTCTCTCCGGGACCATTTTTTTTTTTTTTTAACTCATTGTATTTTATATATGCTAATCAAAGAGATTAAACATTTGGCAAACGTTAACAAAAGACCAAAAAACATTTGACAACTAAATCTAATAATATACCGACCGCTAGCATAAACATGTTTAAGACACAGAGACATTAAAATATCAAATCACGAGCTGTAATTATTATTTTTTTCTGTTACGGATCCAAACTTTAGATTTGGATGACAAAGAACAAGAGAGTAGATTTGTTTGTACAACTTTCTTGAAGTTCTAGATCAATTACTAAGTTTAGTTATTTTTCCTTTCAAGATATGTGTCTAATGTTTCACTCATATCTTGTTCTATATCAAATTATTTGTGTTTGTTTAGTGACAGCACATTAGTAATAGAGTTTGATTTGAAACATGTGAATATAATATTTGATACTATAGTACGTTAGAGACCCAAGAAAAAATATCAATGTGGTTAGAGTAAATCTGAAAGCAATTTTCTGTTTATATATAAATGTCTCTGAGCTCTCTTTGCACTTTTATGTTTTTTGGTTATCATTTTTGCTGTTTTGCGTTCTCTCTCGGATTCATTTTACAACATTGTTTCACATTAATTCGTAACCACAGCTTCAATAAATTAATAGAAAGGACAAATAGGATATAGGTATGTCAGAAAGAAATTGATGCTGGCGAGTGACATAACAATGCAAAGTTAAATTAAAGTCTCAAAATTCGTGGTTTAATTTCTGATGAAGCAGCAAAAAAGTTCCACCTCTCCCTTCAGAAAACGGAATTTATATGTTTTGTAGATTATGCCGATCTACAAAGTGTGCAGGTAATAATTCGATGAATCTATCGTAAACAGCGTGATTAGTCTTTAAGTATATGCTTTGCATGAACACTTGAAACTGATTGGAACCTTAATCAGCGTGATTAGGCTTAAATTATAATGATTGGTGCAACATTTTTGTCTAAGGATGTGACTAAACCAAATAATACTAGTCAAACAAAATACATCTCAAACTGTTTTAATTGGTAGAGATATTAGCTGAGATTATTATAATGATTGGTTAATCCCTGCATCCAATAAGAGTAAGACCATAGCATTGCATATTTCCAATCAATCAAAAAGTACCATTCTTGGCCATACAATCGCATTAGAGAAACATTATCATCAACATAATATAAAATCCTAAGAGGAAAAACAAACAAAAACTAAATAAGCCATTTTAAAAAAATGGTAAAAGGAATATTATATGACTATTCTGTTTGTATAGTTGCGAATGAAGTGAAGCATTTCGTTGGGTCGAAAGCTGGAAAACGGTGTGACATAGAATAAATAAAGAACTAGAAAGTTATTAAAAAAAGAAAAATTTAATAAAAATTGAAATGCATATACAAAGATAGGTTTGTCCATTTAAAAAATTGGAATAAAAATTAGCGGATTAATATTGAAAACACGCAATTCAAGTTAAAATCATTTTCTGAAAAAAAAAATTATATAAATTACATACAAAAATTTTAGGTAATACTAAAACTTATTAAAAACAAAAGTAAAATCTACTATATAAAAAATCATTAATTTGGGTAAACTTTTAATATTGAAATACATAAACGTTGACTATAAAAAGTATCTTGAGTAATTTGGATAATTTTAATAAATTTGGAAAACAGAAAGAAATAATCTAAAACAGACACTACTGGTCTTATATTCGATCAACTTTTTAATTCGATTGATTAAAGTAAAACGAATTGTAATTTGAATGGAAGTAAGAATTTGGGATTGAAAACGGGATTCACATCTCGAGATAGACAGACCTATAAAGAGTATGATAGGGTGTCGCCGTCGACCGTTGAAGTTGCAAAACTTGTCAGTGTCTTCAGATGGGCCACGTCCCATTCTTCTCTCTTTTGTCTTTAATAATTCTTCCTATTTCCCTTTTCATGAAAACGAATAAAATGCATATAAAATCATAGTGATTACCAATTTAGTTAACAAATTCGTCTTTGTTGTTGTTAGAAAAACGAGTAAACCCAATGTATTTCTAGTAAATTTGATATATGACATTCGCAATAGTTGTCATGAAACAAATGCTTTAGTGATTATTTGATAAAAAAGGAAATTATTCTGACCGATTATATAGTTTTCTAACTTATTGTGCATGAGATTAGCGGATATATGTATGGCTGTTGGCCCCTGGCTTTGTTTTAAAACTGAATTGAGATCAAACTATGTTATGCTTTCGGATGATAAAAAAAAAAATACAACACATAGGTTACAGCCTTATAGAATATAGGCACATATTTGTCAAGAGAAGAAAAAGACGAGAAAAAGTCTACTACTATATACTCATGTTGTAAATAGGTGTTTTAATTTATTTATATCAAAATAAATAAAATTATTATCATTAAAGATACACAAAACCGTTAGAAATTAAATGGTCTGAATCATTCTCACCCACCAACCTCTATTTGGAGCTCGTTGGCATAACTTTATTCATTCGCTGTTGTAACTTGTAAGTTGACATATCTATAATTTAATTAAGATCATTAATATATTCTTTTCAAACATCTTCATTTTTTTCCTCACGGGATATGTTTTTCGTCTATGAACAATAGATTGATAATAGCATCTTTGATAAACAAAGCTGGCTCTTCACAGAAATTGTTGAAGTCACTCGTAAGTAACTATTAACAAACGGCAGGACAAATCTTGACCAAGCAAAAACGATACTACTTTTTATTTTTTACTTATCTTTATTCAAATGTCCAAATTTTCAGTGACTTTTTGTATTTCTTATCCACTACAAATGTAAAAATGTGTAGATGCTTCCCTTTTTGGTATATATTTTTTTAGGGGGGCAAAAGTATAGTTTGACCATATATTTCTTTGTCGGGTCGACCTAAATCTTGCGATGCAAACACTTGAGAATTGAGATAGCTTTGTTTATCTTGTTTGGTTAGAAATAGACGCACACGTCTAACTTTCTTGTAAAGAGATGTTTTATTATATGAGAAATTGGGTTATATGACTATATAAAACTGAAAAATAGATAAAATAACTATAAAAATCAATGGCTATAGTATTTTGTATATATTCTATAATATATACAAAACTATCCCTCTTTTATTTTTTTTTTCTCTCCTTTTTTTGTTCTCCCCTCGTTTCTTTTATTTTCTCTTCTTGTTTATTCCTCTTCCTTCATTTTTATCCCTTTTCCTTCCTCTCCGTCTTCTCCCCTACTCTCCCTCGTCCCTTTTTATTTTCTCCTCTCTTCTATATAATTCATAAAAAACAAATATTTTATATATAATATAGTATGGTAATATAAATCGATATAATATACTATAATTATGTATTTATAAATTTTGTTTGAAGAACAAAATAGACAAATTTTAAAGTTTTTGGTTATTGAATCAATTATGAAATTAGTATGATTATATACTTTATTTTATAGTGTAATATGGTTATTTCGTAAATTAACCCTTATTATATAGTGGTTGTGATTATTTGCACAAAAAAAAAATTAGTGGTTGTGATTTTTCTTACATATCTATAAGAGAATCAACAAAAACCTAAAAACATTATAGACGAATCATAAAATTTAAGCAAACAGATTGGATACAACGATGACAAAAACTTCATATAATGTTTTCTTGATCTCAACAACTATTAGGGTAGAAACAAAGTTGAAAAGATAGAGTTGTTTTAGGACTCATATTCTAATTATTATTGTGATCAAGAGTCATATTCTCAATTATTATTATTATTTTTGTTTGTTGGATAAATCTCTACACATAAATATATATACATCACATTATCTGAATCCATCTATCTGGACTTCAATATGGATCTGATGAATCCATCAGTTTTAGTATAATAATCAAAGTATCTTAATTTCCGAAGCGTCCTAGTGGGGGATCTTGTATCAGACTTGATATTGTGCTCACCCCATCTGCTAATGAACGACTTGGCATTTGTACACAGGTGAAAATCAGTCAAACAAATAAAAGCATATGTAATGCATAATTTGTAAAATCTGAATTTTTGTTATGTCAAAATATAGATATTGGGGCCAAGATTCTTATGTACCGAAGAAAAATCACGAAGTAGTAACACAAAATGACTTAAAAGTTAATAAATTTCTATTCATTTTAAAATCACAAAGCTTAAATTTTAAAAATTCGAGCCTTAGACCATCTCTAATGGTGGGGATTTAAACACAAGTTCTAAACAATAAAAAAATTAAAAAAAAATTAAAAAGAAAGAGAGATGAAAGAGATCAAGTTTTTATTTGAGAGTTTTTAAAAACTGTCTCTAGCCATTTAGCAGCATCTGATTAGTTTATCTTTTAAAAATAAAATAAAATTTAATTAAATAATATTGTTATATTAAAATATTATTAAATTAATGATAAGAACCTTATTTTTAGAAACTCACACCAACGCTCTTAGAACCAGAAGCCAATAATATATACGACATACCATTTATTTGAAAACAATCAAGTGACAAAATGTTGTATATGTATTTATTTATTAATTTTTGATCAACTGTTATATATGTATCTAATAAATGAAAAAAATCAACAGAAAATACATATACCCGAAATGTATAAATTATGATAGTAAGTTCATACATAACTAGTACAGAGGAATTTTTTTTTTCTGTGTGGCAATATTGCTTATAATATTTTTTATCCGTGACAATGTATTTTCTTGTTGTTTTAAAAATTACTTGGAGGTGACTACTCAAGTACACGAGAAGACACTAAAGTCAATTTTTAAAACGTTAAATTGATTTATAAAATAAAGGGCAAGTACAGAGGAAATGTGACGACTTAAAAGTATCTGAGATCTAACAAAGGACAAATGGGGTGTGAGCAATCATTAAGTTTCTCTCTGTTCTGGTGATCATCTGAAATAACAAATAAATAAAAATGCAAAACGCATTTTACCACATGACAAACATACGTAATATCGTACGTGTAACGTGTGGATACAATCGATTGTATACTATATATACAATGTATGATTATATGTGCAAATGTACGCGAACGTGCATGTGTAAATGTTATATTTGTACTTGGAGCATGTATAGGTTTTGGTTATAAGTTATAACTAATAATGAGAAACAAAACAATTTTTTTTTTACTTTTTGTTAAAATGTTCTCTCAATGCTCATCTAAAGAAAAAGCATGATTAGAATTCCAATTTCTTAAAAGATATAAATATTTCGTTCACATTCTTAAATTATTAATTTTAGTATAATGTGATAATGGTTTGTAAAATCGTATCATATATCATAATGTAATACTAGTCATGTGCTATGATGACGCATATGTTGGAGCATTATTCCTCTTATTTTTATTTTACAATTTGCTCATAATTATATTATCCTAAATTCCTAATTCCTAAAGCCAGGCTGCTACATTTTAATACCGAGAGAGAGGCATTACGTGACATTTGGTTGGCGTATTTTATGTACAACAGCGAAACGATAAAGACTTCGAACCTTATGGGTCCTAATCATATAAGCAGCTATTACTTTTACCATGTTGGGCCCAAAATTAGTGTGTGGTCTCGACAAAGTACAAACCTTCTTCTATTCTATCCTCACGACCTATGTTGTAACAATTGGAATAACCATAGAATCTTCAGTCACAGTACAAATATATAGATTCATATTCTTCATTCATTTTCAAAAATTACAAGACACATGACGATATACGATCGCAAGAAACAATAACATCTTCAGAGTTTCCTCAAAGACACCATCAAATTTTAAAACGTTTTATCGGATAAGTAACATGCAAAGTGACCACATGAAGATAGTTTCCAACTCTTGATGCATGATCTTAACCTTGCTTGCAGTGAAAGTTTTTTTACATTTTCTTTTTTAGTAGGAAGGATTCTGGTGAGCAACACGAGCACGAGAGTAGCAAACGTAGTAGAACTGTGAGACAATAGCGGTGAAGAGAGTGAATGCAGCACCAGCTGCAAACACTCCTTTCCTTATAACCTCACAGCTCGGAGGTTTCTCAATGTTCCACATCTTTCTGTATTTTGTGTGGTAAGCGTTTCTGATCGATGCCGCGAGCAAACATATTTCAGCGATCAGAAAGAATGCCCTGCAAAGAGTATGAGATCAAACTCAAACCTGATCGTGAAAAAAAAAGAGTTATGTGATTGTGTCGTGGAAAGAGTTGTTGGTACCAGCAAATGAAGAAGAGAAGAATGGCACAAGCTCTTGAACCGCCCGGGTTTAGGGACTTTCCACAGCAGAAGCAACGGCTAGCCACCATAATAAGAACTTGGCTTATGAAGAGGAGAACGAATGCACCAGCTCCATAGCTCGTAGCAATGTCTGTGCCGTACACACAGTACTCATATGTCTTCTCCTTGTCCGTTATAGCCTTGCCCTGTCAAAACAATATGACTACTTAAAGAAAGCTTATGCAAAAAAAACCACATTCAAGATTTTGCAGAGCCAATACATACTAATAAGGTTTGGTTTTGACCTAAAGATACATATAGTAGCTCGAATGTGGAGCCTCACAACACTTTCTTTTGCAGAATTTCTAAGTAACAAAGGCTGTGGAATCAGATCTGATAAAACGTGGTGGAGTATTCAAATAAGATTTCACTATGGTAACACTAGTCGAGAAAATTCTCCAGAATCACAGATACAGAGCGAGCTAAGAAAAGCAGAACATAGTATCAATTAAAAGGAGAAGAGAAGAGAGTATTTATGTGACTTACGACACTTCTTCTCTGCTCGGCGGCAATGGCTAAGCCAACGGCGATGAGATCGAGTATGAACACAATAATGACTACAAGCTTCGAAGCCATTAGTGATTTTCTCAACCAGCTTTCTGGTGATTTGATATTTCCCTTGGAAGGTTAGCAAATCGACGATTGCGTCAAATAAGATGTGGCAATAATTGTTCTTAGCTGATTAAACCGATAAAACAACGACTGTTCACTGCTTTAGTTGAGTCAGGAGTGTTAAGTACCAAAGACAATTTAGTTTTAATTTCTAGAAGATGGTAATTATAAGAATTATTAGTATGATAATCTGCAAAATCAAAACGTTTTTAATTAGTGGATTAGTTAAAGGTCGCCGTCTTTTCACCAAGACAAATTGAATGGTTTAGATTTAACCGGCTCATCTGGCGACTGCTGTATAGTACGCGTCAGTTTTACCGGCAACTGGCACTTCCGGTTTGTCGGTTGCGCTTCAGATATAAAGATTGCTGGTCAATATATTCATGAACTTGGTCAATGGTGCGACCGATTTGCAATTAGTTTTATTCACGCATAATGATAATCTTGATTAGGTTTCTGAATTCAAATTGAAATTAAAATTTATCACTGATAGTATAATAATTTTATGAAATTTTGTGGAATCCTCCGTAACTTTATTTAAGAAACTGAAAAAAGATATTGAGTTTATAACAAAATTTATACGGTTTAATATTTACTGTTTTGAAATTATATCTTTAAAATTTTCCTCCCTTTCTATTATCTATCTCTTCTTTTTGTTGTTCTTCGTTCATATAACTTTTGTACTCTTCTTGTCCACATATCTCTTTCTATCTAGTAAATATTTTTAATGTTAAAAATAAATATCTTTATACATATATGCCCATATATATAACATATTTAAAATTTATGCGAATGTACATATGTTATGTAAGTCATTTATCATGTATAAATAGAATATTATATTTTTGTAGTCTGAAATGTATTAATGGCAGGCTTTAATATAGTATAATTATTGTTAGATATTTTAACATTACTTTATACTAAATGTGACTTTCCTCATTATTATAAATTTATAATAGCAACATTTCCATAGTTATTCATTTTATGAAGATTTATGATTTAATTTATTTTCTGTTTATGTTTATTTTGAGAAAAATATAATATATGCATATATTTATACGATCATTAAATTCTATAGATGTGTAAGATTTAGATACACTAGTAAGTAACTAGATTTCTGTCTTTTTGTTTGTTTTTCTACAGACTTTTATTTGTTTTAGAAATTAGATTTGATTAGATTCGAATTTTTTAGAGATATATGTCTACTATATCTTTCGAAATTCCAATGTTTTAAGGAAACAGAGATAATAGTTTATTTATTAAGAAAAAGAGGAGGTCTTAACTAAATATATGTATATTCTAGTAGAACACTGAATGGTGTATTCGTTAATTCGCCTAATTAATTGATATCTTAATTTTTTTTTTTTAAAAAAAAACAGACGACGATTGAACTGCTTTCGATAGATGAAACTCATGCAATTCTTTTTGAGTTCCTTGTATTCGTTTATCTATTAAAACAGCGTACGTTAAATGCATTTGGATTTTCATATTCTATATTGGAAAAGAAAAATCGTGATTTCCCAGATCTAATACCATAACTTAATCATAATACTAATTGGTTTTTAATTACCACTTCTTCAGGATTATATATAGATTCAGATTCTGCTCTATAGATATATTAACATCTCATTAGTCGACCATAAATTCTAAAAAAGGCTCTGTTCACCTTCCTACCGAGAAAAAAGGGAATGATGTTGACCGGAAAAACAAAACCGAAGCCTGGATGCTGCCGTAATGTTACTGTTTGGTTTCGTTCTTCAAGATGGCGAAAAGCTTCCAAGTGGTAAGAAATCTCGTTTACTTGTGTTAGACGGTAATGATTTTGTTTCTCGTTCAACTTTTTTTTTAAAATCAATCTGTCTTGTCTTGTCTGCAGCAAACAACTTATCCAGAATCTGCTGTGTTCTGTAAAAGTACAACGGAGACGAAGAGAGTGTATGGCAAGACAATCCACGTCCGATATTGCTCAACTCCTTCCTAACGGCCGCTTTCCAGAAGCTCTTCCTAAGGTATATATACATATCCAAATCTAGATGATCACTACTTGCCTTCTCTTCTGTTATTTGAATATTCTCTTGATTCGTCTTTAATTATTTTTTTGGTGTTTGTAAATTTTAAAAATCGCAGGCGAAGTATTTTTATGAAGACGAGAAAAGGCTATCGGCTTACGATCAGGTCGAGTACTTCTGCACATCCATATTGCGGAATTTTTCTCCGATAAATCATCAAAGGTATATTTTGTTCTTGGTTCCTTGTAACACAAGTTAACACTAGAATCTTTAAATGGTTCAAAAAGCCCTAATTAGTTACGTATGTATTTTTTTTTTTCTCGCCAGCGATGTTCTTCTCTTACCGAAAGAAGCTAAAGAAGCAATGGCCGGACTGGTATTTGCCGCATCAAGAATCGGCGAGCTTAAGGAGCTTCAAAGCATAAGGAGCTTGTTCGTTCAGAGATTTGGGCTTCAGTTCGACAAAGACTGTGTAGATTTGCGGCCAGGAAACGTCGTGAATCCGGAGATAGTTAATATTCTCGACACGAATATGCCGGAAGATGCAATTACTCCAGAGATTCTCACAGAAATTTCTCATAAATACGAAATTAAGATCACAACCTCTGTGGATTCGAGCGAAGTTTCAGCTTTCAGTGAAAATATTGGTGTAGCCAAATCTGAGGCGGTGAAGATAGAGAAACCAAAAACGAGAAAGAAACCCATGAAGGAGAAGTCGAAGTTTCTGCATTCAAGTCTCGGAGTGTCTGAAGGACGAGATCGATCATCGTTCATGAGATGAGAGTTTGAGTCGAATTGTAGTTTGGTTAAGATGTAATCATTAGATTTCAAGTCTGAACTACTGTAAAAATTGCGTACCTTTCATACTCAATAAATTTCAGAATTTACATACCCTCCAATTGATTTTACTACTTTTTTTGGTTGACGTCAAGTTATTATTACTTATTAGCGATCAGTATTCGATCGAGATTGACTATACAATGTCTGTTAAGGAATCATAAACTCAAAAGACTTAGGAATCAATATCCTTAGTTTGATATGAATTCTAACGCATACAATTTCTAATAAGAATTGAAGAATTCCTTTTGACTGATCAATGAATGAATGTTTTTTGTATAAAAAAATGTTTAACTTTGGAATACATATTTAACACAGACGCTATAGACAATCGGCATACTAGACGATATAAAGATGATATACTTCAAAACAGGCCATTCAAACTAATGGGCCTGACACTCTGTTGGGCTAAAAGATCTTTCATCCTAGCTTTTCTCAAGCTTAGCATTCATAAAATAAAATCATTTTTTGTGTGTGTGAGTGTGACGTAGAACTCTTAACGCCCCAAAAATAGAATCTGATAATACGTCGTCGAAATAAAGTAATTGGTCAAAATCTATCTTCCCCACTTTTTTCTTATCTTCTATATAACTTTTCCAGGAGTCTCCAGCTTGAGATGTTATCAAACAACTTGGACCCTGCTTTGCCAGCTCAGAGCTACTATTGTTACCACGTGGCCTACATCTATATCAGTAAAAACTAATTATTCAATTCACTACAAACCGATAACAAAGAGAAAAAACAAGATCGTCAAGAAAAAATACAAACCGATAACAAAGAGAAATTACAAGATCGTCAAGAAAAAAGAATTAAAAGACAACAAAAAACGCTAATGAAAGAGTGAAAGACCTTTCTCTCTCTTTTTCAAAGACATCTTTGCCCGGCAAAACAAATTCGTAACATATATAATAAACCTTGACTAGTGATTTAATGTTATTTTAAACATCACCCTTACCCTACAGTATACTATTCGTTAGTGAATACATAAAAAATTTAACTATATAAAATAATTTTTCAATATAAACTTTACGATAATATAAAGGTGGATGAAGTGGGGTTTGATTTCCGATGTTCATCTTCATCGTTGGATGCCCTTTTTCGTTTCTATTCTATTTTAAGAATATGAAAAGACGTATAATATGCACAAGTTGGCACCCAGCATGATCGATATATCTCCAACTTGACGAGAATATTAATTAGCTTTAGAGGGTTTAGAATATTATATATGTGTTGGAAAAAAAAAACAGAAAATAATTTATATATATTAAAGAGAAAAATGATCAAATTTTTTAGAAAATTTTCCCTAACAATAATCTAAATCTATCAAGAGAGAGAGAATCACGTTGACTTAAAGAATTAAGAGAATTTTTTCGATGATAATGAAAAATCACAATATAATCAGAGAAAAAAATTTATCTAAACTATAAAAATTATTCTAAAAGATAAAAAGAAAAGAACAATTGCAACCGACCTCTCAATCTTATAAATAAAAAATTTTGAATAGTTTGAAAATTAATCTAAAATCTTTAGAGAGCAGAACAACAAAATCTAAAATTCTAAACTTTTTAGTCAATTATCCTTAAACGCTTTCATTCATTTCGACAAGACTTCTAAATCTAAATCAAGTCATTCTGGTTCTTATCGAAATACCTTTTCTTCTAATATGAGATCTCGATCGAAACATCCTTGTAGTTTGCTATCACTAGCTAGGTTACTAATTAAAGTTTATGCATGGAAAAAATATTAGTCATGGAAAATTTTACTTCACCTAGTTAGTATAATATGGAAAAATTCAACTATTAGATAAGTAACCTTTTGTAGTCAGAAATTATTTTTGAATTACGAAAGCCTAATAAATCGATTGAACCCCAAAATAATTTTGTTTAATCATATTAACGTTGTGATGATACAAAATATAAGAGAACATTTTACTCTTTGTTGAAAATTTGTAATCTTATGAAATTACCCTTTGTTTAACTCAGTTAGACCATATATATTAATTGGATTATGCTTATTGATGGAGCTTATAGTTAATGGTCCAGACTAGAGCTAGCTAGTTTTATGGTAGAAAAAAAAATGATACAAACCAATAAAACGTAAAGCAGCATCACGTATATATTCGAGTTAAAATTTCGCTGGAGCATTGTTAATTTTCTGGAAACTAATGATCGATGATTAAGTCTAATTAAACGACTGATAATGGTACGTATTGTCATTGTTGTACCCAACAAACGACTAATTAAACTCACATGTAAAAGGTACTATTATGTATATCAACTTGAAATCCACCGCATCAAATTCTTTTCTACAATTTTGCCTTTTGGACTAATATGTTCCGGCTGTACACGTTAATACGTTATGATATATGCATGACATACACGTTATGATATATGCATGACTTCATCGCAAAAAAAGGAGAAGAAGAAAGCTCTAAAAAAACAACTTTGACCAATCCCTTTTTTATCATTTGACCTGAATCTTCAATATCCAAGAGAAACAATATTAATGGAACTCATAATTCATAAACACACCAGATGCCCCGTGACACGAAAGCTATTGAGTGAAAGAAACCCTAAATCCGTATATTCGCTTATAAAATATTTATAGCATCATGTACTTGTAAACACAATATATATATAAAAATAAAAATTACAATTTTAGTAAAGTTTTTATTTCAATTTCCACATTCACGTAGATTGTAGCAATTTCCACTTATATAGCGATGAACCATTATTATGATCCCAGTAGAATAACTCAACCCCAATGTGAAAGACCTAATCAGCGAAGTGGTATGAATTAGTTAGATATCATTTTAGATGGTTGAAGGAAAATATAGTACATGAGCCTCATGTTTTAATTGGTATAAGAGGGAGATTTTTAACCTAACGCCTTAGTGGTAAAATGTTCTTAAATCACGTACAAAGAAAATTGGGAGGAGAAGGATTTGTATCTATTATAGCCTATATTTTAATTTCTCAACCACAAAGCCTAATATTTTCTTATATATGACTGTTGCAGTATTATATATACTAATTTTACAATCTGATCTTATGTGCAGTCAGTCAAAATTAATAGAGAGACTCTGCATGCATCATCTGTATATCCCCTAGGGCCTAACTCAGCCCATAAACACGAGACACGTGTCGTTTTGTGGTAGTTCTATCCGTATGAAAAACGCTTTCCATGTTACAGTGAACTCTCCCTATCATTCACTTACACGTGTCTATTCTTCTTGACAAAAAAATAATAATTTTATAACAAAAAGAAAAAAAATTTGGCACATTACCCCATCAAAATATATCTTTTAGTATGCAGAATATTAGTATTAAATACTTTTCGTATATTGTCACAGAATTCATTCAAAGAAATGTACCGCGTATATTGCAGGAAGATCACGAGTCTCTCAAGTCTTAACAATCACCCAATCAGATTTGAACGTACAATCATTTGGAGTTTATTTTGAAACCCCTAACATTTGGGAAACTTTTTATACTTCACAAAATAAAATCTAACAAAAAAACAAAAAAAAAAACACTTGGGAGAAACAGTAAAAATCATTCGAGGCGGCACAGTCGCACACAATATAACATTAAATTATTAATGATACTATATCATGGAGTATGTAGTAATGAACTTTCTAGTATAGGTTCAACGAACCTAGAAGATCGCATAAATCACGACGCTCTAATTGATCCACGTGTCATGATAATCTCAAAGTGGGACCCACATTGAGGCTGCACGTTAACGAAGATTGGGCGGCGGTATACAACTCTCTTGTATCTCTCTGTGTATATATATACGCACAAGTGGCAAAGCTACGAAATCTTAATGTGAAAATACCGAAAAAAAAAGAGAAGAAAAATCAACCAAAATATAAAAAAAGTGTTAGAAATTTTATTTGTTCGAGAGAAAGAAAGAATAGATAAGAGAAATGGGTATACAAGAGCTGGACCCGTTAGCCCAGTTGAGCTTACCACCGGGTTTCCGGTTTTACCCGACGGACGAAGAGCTGATGGTTGAATATCTCTGCAGAAAAGCCGCCGGCCACGACTTCTCTCTCCAGCTCATCGCCGAAATCGATCTCTATAAATTTGACCCGTGGGTTTTACCAAGTACGTTACCTTAACCGGCCCCGGTTTTCTTTTTAACCATTTGTAGATGCATCATCTTTTGGTCTAATAATTGTCTCGTTTGATATTTTAATTTGTAGGTAAGGCGTTATTCGGTGAAAAAGAATGGTACTTCTTCAGCCCGAGGGATAGGAAGTATCCGAACGGGTCGAGACCCAATCGGGTTGCCGGGTCGGGTTACTGGAAAGCCACGGGTACGGATAAAGTCATCTCGACGGAGGGGAGAAGAGTCGGTATCAAGAAAGCTTTGGTGTTTTACGTCGGAAAAGCACCAAAAGGCACCAAAACTAATTGGATCATGCACGAGTATCGTCTCCTCGAACCCTCTCGTAGAAATGGAAGCACCAAGGTAAAAAAAACTAAACTAATTAATAAAAGTATAAAAGTTCGTTGTTATATATTATACCTTTTGTTTATTATTCCAAATTAAAACATTCTTTCTTTTTTTTGTGTGTAAATGATCATTTTCTTTCTGTCCAGCTTGATGATTGGGTTTTATGCCGAATATACAAGAAGCAATCAAGCGCACAAAAACAGGTTTACGATAATCTAATGACGACTGCTCGAGAATACAGCAACAATGGTTCGTCGACGTCATCTTCGTCTCATCAGTACGACGACGTTCTCGAGTCGTTACACGAGATCGACAACAGAAGTTTGGGATTTGCCGCCGGTTCATCAAACGTGCAGCCTCATAGTCATAGACCGGTTTTAACCGGGCAGAAGACCGAGTTTCATAATTTAGCGAGGGAGCCAAGCTTTGATTGGACGAATTTTGGTGGACAGAGCTCGGTCCCGGAACTCGGACTGAGCCATAACGTTCCGCGTCTCCGTTACCAAGACGGTAGTGGTGGTTATTTTCACGGTGTGAAGACAAACGAAGGTGACGATAGGATGCAGCAACAGGGTGAGGAGATTCCTCGGTTTAATAATAACTCAGGAGTTTTGTTGGCCCATCAAGGTTTTAGTGTTGACCCGGTTAACGGATTCGGGTACTCGGGTCAACAGCCTAGTGGGTTCGGGTTTATGTGATTGTGTAATGGTGACGTAATAAACAAGAAACATAATTTAATTTTTTGTCTGAGTCAGATTGATTAATTAAATTAATGCTATAGTGTAGAATTGGAATTCTTTGGGGTTAGGTTTAGGTGCCACGTTTATATTCGTCGTCATTTGTCCTCAGAGATACATTTTTGCAAACTTTAATTTATCTGGATCCTTTAATATGTACTATTAATTATTTTTATAAAACATGTGGAATATATGTTGTCTCGTCGCTTCGTAGTCACTAACGACAACACGGTGATCAGTTTCATTATCTTCATCAAGCTATTGCAGCAACAATGTCATATTTTAGCGACAAAATCTTATTCGTGTATCGATGTTGGTTAGACAATAAATGTGGGCGATCGAAAATTCATTCATCATGTATATAAAATAATATTAAAACTCTCATCGTTTAAAATGTAATTAAATCACAAAATATATCGTTGGTTGCAGTAGTAAGTTAAGTAGTTACTATAAAATGAACAAAATTAAGTTGATCACTATCGTTCATCTTTTGTTATACTAAAACACCAGCAAAACAAAGAGATAATAATATCATAATAGGATTAATTTGTTACACTTCGCTGACGCTAACATTAGCCAACATGACCGAATTTATACGTGTTATCAGTGAAAACAATTTCGCACGAGATAATTGTGCATATATATTCGTTTATGCACGATGACATAAACCAAGACGCAATGTTTGAAATAGTTATATATATACAGCTGTTCGTCTTTAAAAGATTGAAATTTGTTAGAGAAGTGGAATACATATGATATATCTAAATGGATATGTATATTGTTTAATGGGAATAGGATGGTTATAGATTATTTTAGATGACCAAATCTTTAAGACCAATGGGGGACTTTGGAGATAAGATTGGACCGTTTACGTTATCCCGAAACTGCACGTGTGGGTCAACGTGGGCAGCTTCTTTGACCAGCTAGGAACAATTTCTTTCCTAAAATAGTAACAGTTCACAGCGTACAAGTTTCAAACACTGCAACGCTTTTTGCTAATTTATCTAAGCAGATTTTCATAACGCTTTTTTAATTTATATATTCTATCTATATAATTAACTAGTAACTATCAAAAACGAAATATGTCTGATTGGACGATTGTTCGTTACTTTGACTTTACAAATTGTATTTTTCTTTCCTAAACATAATAATATTTCCAAATCTGAAACTATATATATATATAATATTTTCTTCTTAATTTGTAGAGTCACAAACATCAATGAAAAAAAATGAATTGATTAATAATTTAAGAGTTGTTTTGTTATTTTTTTTAGTACATTTTTCATAGTTTAAGAGTTTATTTTCCACAATTTTTTGTTTGTCAATAGTTAAATAAATTTGTGAAAAATATTGACAAACAAAAAATTGTGGAAAATAAACTCTTAAACTATGAATTCACAAGATTCTTAATCAAACGGTGAAATCAATACTATAAATATAGCTAGTCAACACGATACACAGTTATTTAGCATTGGGGAATAGTGTGTAGTGTGCCATTGTATTACTTTCAAATTCATAAAACACTTTTTAGTATAAAATCGAGTTTAGAATCGAACTCGCTGTGCTCTATCATATCACTAAGTACCTATCGAAACAGAACTACGAAAACATCGATTTCCGTTGAAATGATAACTAAGGTGTCTGTACTCTGTACTAATATTTGTTGGAAGTGGAAAATTTTCAATTTTAAGAAGAAGAAAAAAAAGAGAGTAATTTTGATTTTTCATTAATTTTATTTTATGTTTACCACAAAACCTAAACAGTGTACATGTAGATTTTGTTGGACGAAACCGTGCGCAACCCCTTGGAAGAGTATATCTCGTAAATACATGAAAGCGAAGGTTTTGAGTATAATACTTTGTAACCATTTTGTATAGAAAAGACTTGTCATTCAAATTCAAAATGTTTCTAAAATACCTTAGAGTCTTAAACCACCCATTCGTTCTACTACCATACCACATGTATTTACAAGCTATATACTTACAAATGTATTTACTTTTTATTATATAGATTGGGCCATGGGCCAAAACTGGGATCGGTTAGGCCTATATATTTTTTACATTAATTAATCCTACTTATGGATCCTGTTAATGGGAGCTGTTGATAGGCTAATTTTTCTTTCACTTTTTTTGGTTACAGAACGCAAAATATCTTGATCGGGAATCTTTTCCTACTATCTGAGATGTGAGAGATTAGACTATTTTCTTTGTCAACTTATATTTAAATAAAAAATATTACTCTTAAGAATAACTTTAATGGGTGATAAATGTAGAAGCTAAAAGGGTTAAACAAGATGAGATGATAAGATTATTTGAGATGCTTACATGATTTTTAGACTTAACAGTAGTATTTATTTACCATACACATCTATCTAATTATATATATATGTAATTAGGGGGTGATTCAGGTTTTAATACTCGACTAATCCTTTTAGAATAAATGTAGCTATTGAGTAGTCCACTCACCGGATTTTCTAATGAACTTAAAGCATGACACCATACACAATCATCTATCTACTGATCAGTACATCAATTTATACAATTATAAGATCTAGTTATAAGTTAACATATATATAGTTCAATGTTTAATGAAATAAGGTTAGTAGTATTCAAATTTATTGAATATGTTTATTTACTTTCGCATGTATTTAATATGAGAAAATAAATGTACTATCACATCGTTAGTTGGAAAGATCATTTATAAAAAGTTTAAAGAAAAACTGAAATTGTATGTGTATTAATTTTAATTAAAATATGTTTATTTACTTTCGCATAACTTGAATTTTTTTAGTTAGTTAAATTTTAGAGATATTTGTCCAAACATTTTTTCTCGTCACTTCAGATTAATCGGGTCCGACTAAATATCGCACACATGCACTTATAATGCAATATCTTATAGTATTTAACAATGACATTTGCGATAAAATACATCTAACCTAGACAACTTTTTGTTGTTGTTGTGTGATAAAAATATCTTATAGTACGATTCTACCGTTGCTTGTGTGACCTTCCGGTGAGTTGAGAAGGTCACTAATTATATTTAACAAAGCAGACAATTGAGGAGGTCCTTAATCACTTTCCATATCAAGCTTAAAAACAAAATTTAGAAAGAAAAAAATAAAGCAAAGTATCAGCAGAATCACGTCTTAATCTACTTGATTGATTCTTTCATCAGGCATAATTAATCATGGCCATTAATACCTCCAAACCCTATCTCCTACGAATACTTACGTATGATTTACGTAAAGTTGTACGCATTAGATACGACCAGTTCACTGTAAATAAAATAAAAAAAAACAAATCTAAAGTACAATCATGAAAATTCTAATGCTGTTAAAAAATTCAATAGTGATTTGTTTGTTCGGACTTTGGTGATTTGAAATTGATGATAATATCATGAAATTGTGAAAGCAATGATTCCAACTATAAGAAAAAGCCACATATGGAATTTGTTTGAAAACTAATTAACAAATACTTTCGCTTTCTTTAACAAATAATTTGTTTGAAAATTAATTAGGGGTACACATGATCTCTTTTGTCTTTCGCTTCTTTTTTTTATTATTATTCTTTGTATGCAGTTTAAACGATACGTTTGGTTATATAAACTACTATTCAAATATTGATTCCCTTAATTAAATGATTTCGATTTAAATAAAAATTTCAACAAATTGATCAGAGACTGATCAGTGATCACTACTTCACTAGAACGTACAGTACGTGTGTGTGTGGTGGTCGATGAAGAACTTTGACCTTCCCACATCGGAAGCAAATGTGTTTCTCATAGTGGGTTTTGAAAAACTTTAAAATGAGAGAGAAAATTATTGAGATGAATGTCTATCTAGGGTTTTTTTATTGATTGTGTATGAATGATTACAAATTCTGTAGATCCTTTGCTGCTTTGCATAGGTCTCTAAAAACTATAATATAATATTCGCATATTCTTCGGCCCATGCATGGCTTTCCGACTTACTCTATCGAAAATGACATGTAACAGTACACGCTAACTTTAAGTTACCTTTTTTTTTGTTTGATAAGAATTTTTAGTTACCTTGAGCAACTCTTATCTACGTCAAGGTGTGGTTCAATCTTAGAAATAATTAAACAGCATTTTAAACAAAAAAACGTAGACATGTTATTTTTAAAAATATAGAATAAACTGACTGCATTCTCGTCGTGAGACATATACAATAGCACGCATTTAAAATTAAAATAAAAGGGTCATGCAAAAAGAGTTATTCTCAAGTCCGTTTTGTTTCTCACAAAAAAAAAAAATAATAATAATAATATAAGAAATTTGTAAGCTTTGCTTGATGTCATAAGATTCATGTGTTGTCTTTGATATCATTGTTAACCCTTGGAAATTTAACTAATATGATTCTAGACAAGATATTTGTGTAAGATTCAGAAATTACAAAATCGAAAAAGCGAAATAAAGGGACTTTCAAAGTTTACTTTATACATTTGAAAGATACATATATTTATACCAGAAAATTATATACGATGATATTTGTGAATATCATTTACCACCATTAATTATGTTCATATATATTAGTTATCCGGCAAAAAATCAAATCCGATCGAGAGCAACTTTTTTTTGAAACTGGATCCGAAATCAAACATGTTGAACAAAAACTGTCAAATTATTCCAATTAGAATCTAATTAAAACCATGTGTCTAAGACTTAATTTGAGTGACCACTGACTAGCAACCTAGTTTGTGTCTTATACTCTATTAAAACAAATCTATTGATCGAATTGTCTAAGACATCGTGTTGGCAGGCTCGGTTAGGATGGCTCCTATAATTAGCAACAAGACATCATATATGGACCTGGTTACTAGAACCATCGAATATATTAATGAGTGTGAATCAAATATAGGACATATGTAACTACAAAACAAAACTACTTATAGGTAATATATATGGGCTACCTAGGGAAGTGAAACTATTGGTAAAGAGCCAGCTAAAATACTTGAAATCAAATTCATAATGTTTTTTAAGCTAGGTAAAATAATGTCAAAATATTAATTTGATAATCGTCCGATGTTTGGCTTGTCACGTTACTTAAGACCATGTAAATAATATCTCATTTATTTTGTTTAGATATTTTTCTAAATGGCATGAAAGTATTGTATCACATGATGAAAGCTATGGTTACAAATGTTTACACATTGGATCATTTGAAAGTAGGTCGTTCGTTTCTGCATAAAGTTTTTCTTAAAGAGGAAAGTTTGAAATATAGTATAAAGTCTGAAGTTAGGTTTACCATAATTAAATCTTTGTAATAGAGTGAAATTTACCAACCTACATACTGTATATTATTGTTAAATGATATGCATCGTTTAATTAATAGTTACTATAAAATGTTTTGCATGCCCTCGTATCCCACTTATTAAGGGCTTGACCATGTGTTTTAGCTGGGCCTTTTAGAGGTGATAAGATTGAAATCCAAGATCTAAATTGTCAAATTCGGGGGAGTTCAGCTCAAATTTATTTGGTTATTAATACATTGGTGTGCATGTATGTTACATTTTAGTGTTGGCATTTTCTCATTTTTAGTGTAAAATCTTTGAACACGTCTACTTAATATAGTTTTTAGTTTACTTATCACACGATCCATTACTTTTTTTTATTGATTATATTTAGTTAGTCTTATCAGACTCTCTTTTTTTCCCACCGAAAGAAGTTCTTATTATTCAAATGGAGGAAAATTGAACCAAATAATGGATAATAGTTGTCATCGTTATATTAGTATAGATTAGTGATATACTGATATAGATGATCAAGACACTGAAACATCAAAGTTGCAACCAAAACACACATAATCCACATTTTTTATTGAACCAAATAATGGATCTTAGTAGTCATCGTTATATTAGTATAGACTATAGATTAGGACCATATATAGTTTCGATAAAAAAACACACCTTTTTTTTAAACTAATGCGGATTCTCATAACATCTGCAGAATTGAGGAATTAAAAAGAAAGTGTCTAAAAACTAATGGTTACAAAAGAAAATAAATTAAAAAACACGTTCAACTGTTACGGTCTATGCATATCATATATAGTTTTGAGTCGTGTGTGATTGAACTATAACATCGTTATAAGTATGGTATCCTTACCATTCAAGACTGTTAATTTGTTATATGTTGATTTTTCAAACTAAACTATACAGTTAGCACACGGGATAACCCAATATTCAGCAACCACGTTGTGTTCTGGATAACACGTTCAATTTCTTTGACGTATATATTACTGGCAAGAAAATATTGTAAACTAATAGCTATGCAATCGATCAGTATGAACGGATCGGTGTGTGTGGTTGTGTTGAACTTATGAACGTGAGCAAAAAAAAACGTGGTGCGCAACCATGTAAAGGCACTAGAAATCTCTGTGAATGCAAATAGGATGTCTTTTATTGATCTGATGGATGTGACTTAGAAATGATGTAATTAAATTGACTAATTAGATGCAAGCATTTATTTGAGTTGGTACAACGTGTGTAAAATATGGTCCACATTTCTCATTTCTTTAGTTTTTCCAATTTCTTTTTAAAATACGAATTTCTCTAAAGACAAAACTAGGGATACAGACTTGTCTTTAATTTGACGTAAAAGAAGACTATCTTTAGTTTATCAATACTTTTATTAACTTGATGTATAAATGTGAATCAAATAAAATACCACCAATATTTAATATTATTTTATAATATTTTTTTTACAGAAACTAAGTTTAGAATATATTTTCTAAAAAATTAAAATAATCAAAGACATATTTTCCATGCATAAAATATTTGTATTCAATCAATGAAATTGGAAAATATTTACGTAAACGTATAGCTTGTAGATATGATAAACAGTTGTGTAGATATTTTAATATCAAAACAATATGAGCAACCATATAAATGACTTATGCGGCTTCTTTATAAGTTGTATTGTTTGGAGTTTTTTTTTCTGTTTGTTAAACTTAGAAAGAAAAAAATACGAAAACATTAATTCATCTTTATTAAACAATTCGTTGTTTGAAAATACGGAAGAATCCACTACTAAGAGTACTACTATTAAGTATTCCCAAAAAAAAAATCTTATCTAATATTTATATACTTTGGGGAATCTCTTGGTCAGAAAGTCAAAACTCCAAAAGTCATACAAAAATGAAAAAAACCCTCCTAGAATATTTTAGTGGTCGAAAAATATGCATGGTTGTAATTATCTTATGACGTTGGGTCGATTATCAAAAGAAGAGGAGATTTCATAATAAAATAAGAATAAAGTAATCGAAACTAAAAATCACATGAAATGGGTCGATTTGTTTGTTTCCTTAATCTTGTATTTAATTAAATATAAAATATTCTGGTGGTGCGATTATCTCAATAACAAAAGCGTGACATATGACATCTGAAACGTAAAGCCTTTTTTCCCACACCCACCCGGCCATCCATTTCCACGTCATCAATTTGTTACCTTCTGTGGCGATTATATGGGTCCCACCTCTTCGGCTGCCACGTGTGAACATCGCTCCCAATTGGAATCACACGTGTCGACTGATCATTGACCTATTAATCTGTAACAGTTGCCACACAAAAAAAATAAAATAAAATAAAATAAAACTAACTCAATTTCGTTACAGCCTACAAAATGGAATTAGAAAACTCTTCAAACTTTTGTTCATTTTGCGATATTACTTTAACGCTATAACTATGTATTATATAGCAAGATATATCGATTATTGGACTTGATGTGTTACTATAATTTGTCATTAACTAACGAAGAAAGCGATATATCTTGCTATTTCTTTATTTTATATAATATATATATGCGCCAAAATAAAATAAGCAAGATATATCGTTTTCGACGTTTAATTGCAGCCTCTTCTCCGTTGTCTAGTTCGTCCGTGTCGAGCCTATATATAAACGCAGAGAAAATATTGAATTTTTAATTATATGGTTAATTATAGTTATTAATTAGCCAGAAATGACTAATGTACCCTCATGCGATTTGGTTAATATAGTAATTATACAGACTCGACATGATTAGTCAGGCTTTGTATATGTGTCGCATTGTCGCCACATTTAGATCCTTTAGTGCAACCAAAACACACTAAAATCGGCTGAAATATGGGGAATTTTATCCTTTTTAATTATAGCTGATTAACATGAATTATGCGATCCTTTAGTAATGTTCGTCTTTATTTTTATTTTATTTTTACTGTTGTGTTAAGACAATTGCCTTGATTTCTTTTTAATGATTACGTTATTGTGTCAATGTTACCTTTTCGTACTTATTTATCATATTGATACAAATCGTTATGGTTAAGTACACATCTAGATATATACTGATTAAAATAGAAGATCCCATACGAAAAAATAAAGCTACGAAACTGCAAAATTACAAACTTTAAATCCACAATCTACGGCTAATTTTTCCATCAATTTTGTAACTAATTACTTAATTTTCATGTAATAGTATTATACTAGTGAAGTATTATTATTGGGTAAAAACAGTATTTAGCGTATTTACGATAATATCCGCGGGTGTATATGTGTAACAAATAACAGAGGATTAAAGCCCACGAATTGGCGTTTTATGCGGCCGTTTAAAAGAATGGTAACGCCGACTCTGTGAAGCATTTTTCAGCACACCTTCCAAAAAAAAAAAATATCTAAGAACCAAAAAAAAAAAGAGAAGAATCTCAGAGTAATATGAGCTTCTCCTACAATCCCAGGAACAAGCAAATCCTCCGATCACGGTGCTAGATTTTCAACGGAGAGGAAACTTGCAATGGAAAGCACCGATTCTTCCGGTGGTCCTCCGCCACCTCAGCCTAACCTTCCTCCAGGATTCCGGTTTCACCCAACCGACGAAGAGCTCGTCGTTCACTACCTTAAACGCAAAGCCGCCTCCGCTCCTTTACCCGTCGCCATCATCGCCGAAGTTGATCTCTACAAATTCGATCCATGGGAACTTCCCGGTACGTACAATCTCATCACCATCGAAGCTTTCACCTCTTTCTTTCTGAATTTTGTTTTCAATCTCCAGAAATCATTTCTCTCTGTGACGTATGATCTAACTGTTTTTTTTTTTTTTTTTTTGAAATTTGAATTTTCTGGATTTTGTTTGTTTGTCGTTGCAGCTAAGGCTTCGTTTGGAGAGCAGGAATGGTACTTCTTCAGTCCAAGAGATCGGAAGTATCCGAACGGAGCGAGGCCGAACAGAGCGGCGACGTCGGGATACTGGAAAGCGACGGGAACTGATAAGCCGGTGCTTGCCTCCGAGGGGAACCAGAAGGTCGGCGTGAAGAAGGCTCTCGTCTTCTACAGTGGCAAACCTCCAAAAGGAGTGAAAAGCGATTGGATCATGCATGAGTATCGTCTCATCGACAACAAACCAAATAACAGACCACCTGGATGTGATTTCGGCAACAAGAAAAACTCCCTTCGGGTATTCAAACGCTCATCTTCAATACTCTTTGATCTTCGTTTTTGATTTTGGTGATTTGTTGATTTCGGAATCGGAATTTTTTCTTATGCAGCTTGATGATTGGGTGCTATGTCGAATCTACAAGAAGAACAACGCAGGTCGACATGTGGATAACGACAAGGATCACGATATGATCGATTACATCTTCAGAAAAATTCCTCCGTCTATATCAATGGCGGCTGCTTCCGGACTCCACCACAATGTCTCCCGATCAATGAATTTCTTCCCGGGGAAATTCTCCGGTGGTTACGGGATTTTCTCCGACGGCGATCCAGGTTTGTACGACGGCGGCATGATCAACACCATCGGTACCGACTCATTGAATCACAGTAATGATGCCGGCTCCAACGGCAATACTGACGCCGTGGGTTTGAATCCCGCTTCTTCCTCTGGACCAATGATGATGGCGAATCTGAAACGAGCTCTTCCGGTGCCGTTTTGGCCTGTAGCGGAGGAAGAGCACGATGTGTCACCGAGCAAACGTTTTCATGGCGGAGGAGGAGGAGGAGGAGACTGTTCGAACATGTCATCTTCGATGATGGAGGAGACTCCGACATTGATGCAACAGCAAGGTGGTGTGTTAGGAGACGGGTTATTCAGGACGACGTCGTACCAATTACCTGGATTGAACTGGTACTCTTCTTAAGTCGATCTGTGTTTCGCTCGCCGCCGGTGTGAAAAATTTTCCGGTGAGAGTGAAAAAAATTCAGAGCAGCGAATATTCCGATTGGTGGGGTCGTTTGCATTATATAAAATTTGAGATTTGTGTATATGTTTTGGGGTTAATTAATTTGGTCATTGGAGATTTGGTCATAGGGGTTAGAGGAATGAGGCTTAGAGAGACGGAGAAGCGCGAGGCAACATATAGAAACATAGGATTATTACAAAATATACTGTTTTCTTAATTTACATTATGAAATGTATAAACCATATACTTAGATGTTTATATATAGATTGTATAGATGCATATAGTCCTCTCAATGGTATTTGAGTTTGTATTTTCGTGTAAAGGAAATGATTAAGAAAATGAAAAAAAAAAACTAGTTGTGTAACTGTGTATGTTCTTCACATTTATCAGTGTTAGTTTTGATAGTTTATGGACTCGATAAATTTAATTGATGAGAATTAGTCGATTACTCGATAGTATCAAACTACATACCGATATTCTAAAGAAAAAAAGCACACTTGATGTTAAACCATTATGGGCTTATGGAGAGAATTTATTAATCACTGTTTTAAAATCAAACTTGAAATATTTATAACTATATAAATCATCGGTCATCCTATTATTCGCCAGTTCTATTAAAACCGTGGTGATAGAGAAGTACCGTCGAAATATAAAGATTGTATATTTACGAAGTTTGTAAATTGGATACGGAAGACGTATTTGTAAAACGATATTTTAAACTATCATTTTAAAGAGAAAATGATATATATATATATTTTTTATATACTTATTTATGATTATCTCAATTAGAAGTACTAATTATTATTTTTTTGAACAAAAAAATACTAGTTGTTGCCTTGGCAGAATTTATAGGCTTATCTCTTTGTGAAGCCCATGACTTGCTTTATATCCAACTTCTTTTTAAACGACGCAGTGGCCAGAGTATACGACTATTTATATGTGTAAACAACAAAAAGTATAAATTTATATAGACATTATATTATAAAAAACATTGAAAACCAATCTTCTTTGGAAACATCCTGAACAGATTAAAAGTTATGACAAGCATCAACTACATTGTGTAGATAAGAATTTCAATAATTGCTTGTAAAGCTTTAAATATAATATAGTATTATAATATTATATATACGAGGGCCATCTCACTAATTGATTGTGATTTTCTTCTTATTTTCCATAGTATTCTTTTGTATCATTAAATTCATATATAGCAAACAAATCCTCAACTTTGTAACTTGTAAGAATTTGGTTTGTTTTGTGAACCCATAATTTTAGAAGCAAGATCCTAACAAATTCGCAACTGGAATACCTAAAATAAATAAAAAAAGATTTTGATTGTTTGAAAAATAAAATATTGCGTTTGTTTTATTTTTACGATCTACTATATTGTAGTTAGTTATCAGTAAGCACACATTTTATTTTCTTATAGACTACTAAAGTTATATACATTTTATTTTAAGACAAACGCTTTCACAACGTCTTAAAATAAACTTAAACAAAGACAGTCAATAAACAAAGATAGCTAGCTGTTACATACTGCCAGTATTCATCTTACCTCAAACTGTAGTAATCTTTTACTTAATCATAATTACTAATATGATTTGAACAAACAACCCCTAGTTAAGATCAGGAGCGAAGCAAGAATTTTTTTTCCAATGGGTGCAAAATATTTAATAAAACAACAAATAAATATAAACAATGAAAAATAAGAAGATATGCTCAGGTGCGGGTGTCATTTTCTGGTCACAGCTTTTTTTTTTATTGTCAACCTGCTAAGAACTTAGATTTTGATTAGACATCGCCAAATATTTTCCATTAACCATAGGTCATATAATTCCAAGCATACCAAAATTTTTTTTACATTTTTAAGACGGAATATTTTCTTTTCTTTTCTTAACAGAGAAAACGGAAAAAAATTGTGATTGATGAAAGGTTGTGCTTTTAAAAGGCTAAATAGAGGCAGTGTCAAAGTTGCACAAGGTACATGTATAATGTCTTATAAAGATCTTTCGAGGCTCAAGGCACTCGGGAACTTCAGATATAAACAATATTATCTACGTTTTTTTTTTCCAATATTATCTAAGGTTATTTGTTTTGAAGGATCAAAACCCCTCTCATTTGAAGTTGAAATATCGAAATATACTTATAGAGTTAACTTCGTCAAGAACGTTGGATCCCGGAGGATCGAGTCCTAAGTTCAGGTTGCCACCTGAAAATTACGTAGAAGATGCGTTATGAGTGTGATTCTGACATAGCGAGCGAACCTAATGCATGTTATGTGGGCTGCTGCTGCATGCATCGTCTAGGTTCGACGAGTCAGAGCAATGGTGTCTTTCATAAAACTCAAGTTATGCGCCTTGTGTGGTCTAAAATTAAAGAGTTTGGTGGTTCCTGTGCCAAATGGGAGAAAGCATCTTCTGGGTGCTATTCAAACGGAAAGACCATCGGAAGGAGATACAGTCCAAATATGTTGCCTACACATACATGTCATAAGTTGAGTCGTCAATATCTAATGAACAAGATCCCTTGCAATAATTATGGTTCTAGTGAGGCTGACAATATTATAAAAAAATAATTAAACATATAATTTATTACTTGTACGATGAAAAAAATAGATTTAACAATAAAAATATACATGGGTTACATACATATTATAGGACTATTATAAAATATATTTTTGTTTTTAAAAATATACAAGGTTTCGTTATAAGATATATTTATGTTTGTAAAGAGGATGTGCCTACTTGACCAAATGGTTACTTCTGTGGCTTTCTCAATCAAAGGTCCGGACCTTACCGGCTCAAAAATTGTTTTTTAAAAAAAAATGTTTGTGTTCAAATAAAAATTTGTCTTCCAAATTTTCAGAATTTTAATTTTAAAAACAAGAAATTTGTGTGTTTAACGAAAAGATATTGGAAAAAGGCATACGATGTATGCATAAAAAAAGTACTAGAAAAAAATATGGCCAGCAATGGACCATAGCTTTCTACATCAGCAAAAGGAATCATTATCTTTAACCAAAAAATTAAAAACGCCTTTAATTACATTCTCTTCTGGATAATAGGTACAAACCACCTTTCAGATTTTTTTTGACATCATTAGAATTTAATTTTGGAAAACATATACTGTAGTAGTATTTATTTCAGGTTACACTTGCCCATATTTTTTCACACCCATTTATTTTACTATTTTATTTTTCTTTCAAGTATCTTGTTGTTTCGCATGAGATGTATTTTGACAGAAACACATTTACGAATAGAAGATTTGTAGAAAAAGGATTAGTAAACTAAATAACAAAAAAGTGATTTAAATAAAAAAAAAACAAAAAGATGGAAAAGTAAGAGGCAAGGAAAATGCACAATGAAGATCAACGACACAGCTATGTATAAAAAAGCAAAACAGCCGTTACATATGTGGAGAGATTAACCCAAAGCCAGTGGATACATTTTATTATAATGGGAACTATGAAGACACTAGAAGAAAACACAACTGAAACTACTTTAAAAACATTTGTAATCAACACGAACACACAAACAAAAGAGACTAGTTCAGTTGATTTGACTTGTAAACACAATTTATGTTATTTTATTACTGCTACACATAAAACGCATAGACATATACATGTGGATTATAAGTTTTCCCCGTGGATTAATCAGAGATTTGATTAATAAATTTAAAAATGCAAGGAGAAAATATTAATGAAGGTAAATAAGGGTTGGTTGGTGGAGAGGTAATGCAAGGATGAAATATGGACAGATCGGGGAATATGAACTAACGCTGTCTTCAACTCTATATTGGCTACATGACGATCTTTTGATTACGATAGGAGTGAATTTTTAGAAACCCTCCAAAATCTATTTAATAGAATCATTTATTATTGTAGGAGGATAATTTTGAACCCCAAAAATAAAATAAAGAAATTTGTAGGAGGATATATACGAGTCTTTCCCCCAAGAAAATGGGATTCATGGACGTCTTGCTCCAAAAAATAGAATCCAAAATTAATTTTCAAATATTTTAATATTTTTTTCTTCGTTTGTATTAAATTTAGCGTTCATCTAAATTTGCAAATAAGATTTATATAGTTTCATACTAACGCTGCCTTGGACGTACGAATTCATATTTTTATTGCTAGTTGGATAAAATTAAACCTTTTTATTCTATTTTGTCGCAAATACATTTAGGTTAACAGAAATTACAAGTGTACATTCCACTTTGGCAAAACTAATGACCCACAAAAATGGAAGAAAACAAAAAAAAAGTAGAGAGATCCAAAGATCCAAGTTGTGCATTGAGCCCATTTCGTATCCAATATAATAAAAATGACAATGCCAATTATTAAAACCTACATGGACCTCTTGTAGGAGTTTGGAAATTTTATGGACCTCACAATAATTCTAAAGTTTCTCAATATGGTCTAAAGTAGATTGGACCCAAAATTTAAATTGTAAAGCTTCGGCCTTTGTGTGAGTAAGTTAGAGTAAAAATAATTGAGTAAGTAGAATTTGGCATTTGCACCAAAACATAAAAAATAAGTAGAATCTGGCAAAAAGCATGTTTCATTGAATTTTCTCAATTTGTTCTTCAAAAGATTCGCTGTTGACTTGTTGGTGAATTGGATTTGGTCAAACACTCAAACTTTGACAAAACTGAGCATTCGGAATTTGAAAAGTAGACCAACCTCTCCATCACAGAAAGATGTAACCAAGTCAATGGTATGATCTCCAATTCCACATACAATGATATTGTAACAATATAAAGAGAGAAGAAACTCATTCACTCTCTCACAGCAAATTCATAAAAGAACCAAAATTTCTGCAAAATTCAAGTAAGAGAGATGCAGGTTGCGAGAAGGATCCCATCAGGAGAAGGCGTAGAGATGCGTGGAAGACCCGAGACGAATCGGGTCAGACGGAGGAGTCACGGGTCGGGTCTGAGAGTTCGAGTGGCTTGCACGTGTTCGGGACGGCCTGGTTCGACCAAGTGCGTACGGCACGGTTTCATGGTGCCAAGCGATGAGAAGCTTATCCGAAAGGCGAGTGACGGAAGCAGAGAAGTGTTACGGAGAGCTTTGACGCCTCCGATCCGGCGGATGAATCTCCGGTGGTTGAATTTCCGGCCAACACCTAGCAGACTCTGTAAAATGTCTTCCGTTTGATTATAAAATGTGGATAGTCAAAGCTGACGACTTTTTCTCTGTTTTGGATGTAAATAAAATTGAGATCTTTCTGTTATAGTGATGTTGGAAATCGAATAAGATTCAGACCCAATTGCAGATATATTGTAACGAACTCATACTCTGTTTTTGGGACAAGAAAGAAAGTGTTTAGAACAATTTGAGCAGGCAAAGGAGGAAGAAGAATCAAGTGGATGAGTCTACGTTTTTCTGAGCAGGCAAAATAAGGCGATCTTGGCCTTCAATTAGTTTTGCAGATCTGATGATATCTCCTGTCTTGATCTGCCCAAGAATCTCTCTTCCTGCTGTTGTGTATCTGCACAATTTTAAACATACAAAAAGCAATACCATTCACTCAAGATGCATCTCTTGCAAGTTATGAAACAATTACGAAAACGTTTAGAAAAATATGTACCCGAAGACCGAGAACTGCCCTTCGTCAAAGGATAAACCTCCTAAGCCAGACTGCAGAAGAAGGAAAAGAAACATAAACTCAAGATCGAAAGCAAGCTCCTTTAGTTCCAAAATGGGATCAAGCTAAAGGAAGTTTTTGGAGTGAGCTTTACGTTTCTTTTATCGTATAGGTAGAAGAAGAACTGGTAAGGAGAAGAGTATTCATCAGAGTTTGCGCTGTGTGCCATTGCAACAGCTCCATAAACCGATAGAGGAAGAACTGGCAACTCTCCATCCTTCAAATGTCAAAATGCAAAAAAAGAAGCAAAGTCAGCTTTTCTCCGGTTTTGATTTTGGGGAGTAGAAGCGGTTTTGATAATACCTGCACACTCAATGGAGTTCTGTAGAGAGGTTCGAATTGTCCAGAAGGCATTACTTCCAATGGAACACTAACACTTTCTACTTTACCACTCCCATCCTCTGTGATGACAGCTTGGTTCACCGTATTGAGTTTGGTTCCATCATATGCTCCGCTAGTTACCTGACAAAAACCCCAGAAGCAATCAGTTTATACCATATTTTTTTCAAGATTTAAGAGTACAGTCTCTTTGGTTCAAGATGTGTGTAGCCAACAAAGGTTGAAGTTAGAGCAAACTACCTTACCAGTTTTGCGAAATTCCCTGCTGTTAGTGGTGCTGAATATCCGTCGATAACCACCTGATGAATCCACATAATATAAGCAAAAGCAGCGTCTAGTGAATGAACAGCTCGAGAGATTTGAGGTGTGTGATATACAACAAGAACAGCAGTTTTTTTTCTTTGATACCTGGATTGTAGCACTCTTTCTTGAATCTCCCCCTGCTTGAGCTTGAAATGTGGAACCATCACCTTTCTCAATGGTGATTTCCACAGTTCCTCTTCCAGCTAACCTACAGTTCCACAACAATATATGTTCTATTTGCATCTCACAAGAGGGAATTTAAGCTCAGAGAGACAGTAAGATAGGACTCACCTGGGATAGTTTTTGTATTGCTCAGGAAGCAAAAATGACAATCCAGATGCCTGCAACAACACTTTTCAAACGTCAGGAACTAGATCTTTGTGCTAACGCGTTTCAGAGATGAGCTGGGGCAGAATGTACTTGTAATAACTCCAGCTCCGCAACAGTATCTAGTGATGAAGCCAGGCCAATGGATACTTTATCAGGATCTTGATTCTTAATTGATTTTAGAAGTGCTTGAAGTCCACCCTATCAAGCAAAGCAAGATAACAAAAACCAAATGAATCTAGAAACATAGAAACGGCTAGCGCAATAGATCATCTTTCACTTCACAAAACATTTATGAAACTATTAACAGGGATTACACAGTCCATCAACTTGAGAACAGAGTTGCGGTATAATTGGTTCGTACCTTGCCGTCAATCAGAGATGTATACAGTTCTGAGCCCTTGTCTTTCAAGTCTGCTGGTATACTAGCCAATATCGAATCCTTACCGTCCATAGCCACCTGAAACAATTTCGTGAATGAAGCTAATCTTCTACTTCCACTATTCTTGCAAACGACTAATCCCATAACTCCCGTGCAAACCATTCCAAGAATCTCTCAGAACATTTGAAACTAAGCGCCTGAAAACAAGAGCAACGAAGTTTACCTTTAGAGCTTTCTTTACATTGCTCTCCATGGTACCGTAAGGCTTTCTTTGGGGAATTCTCAGAAGATATGATATATCTTCCAATGAAGCCTAAGGAAGGACACATAAATAGTGAAACAAAATCAATAATTTCAGAAGAAAAAAAACAAATCCACCACACAATCAAACCAACTATCTAAAAGTTCAGCACAGTGACAAGCCTGTATAGTCTTCATGTTTGGATTAGCAGGAATAGCTCTTCTCAGAGCAAGTTCCCCACTTCTTGGAACTTTCGTGTCCGGAGAATAAAGAACAGCCTCTGCAGGTGAGATGTACGCAGAGTCTAGACCAAGAAACGGCAACGGAGACCAAACTTGAACAAATATCAGGATCGTCGTAATCAGTTTCTCGAGATTTTTCGATCCATCTTCGAAAGTGTTCAACTTCGAATCGATTGAAGAATTGCAGGAAGGTATAAGTTCCTGCACTGCTGAAAACAAGTTTTCAGAAGAAAAATTTGGAACTTTTTCACGAACCCAGAAACGCTAGACATAGATGAAGAAATAAATCCATGAAACCCAGATGTGATATCTGTCTAGAGCATTGCTCGCATTTGTGATATAGAAATTTAAACCCGACCTTAGCGCCAGAGTTCCTGGATGTAGAATGCAAACGCATGCGGAAATCTCCGGAAACAGTTCGACTGATGGGTAATTTGGGTTTTACGAAGAGTAATCTACGATTAAGAGGCGAAGGGTGGAGAGATAAAATCCGGTGAGAGGCGACGGTGGAAGAAGACAAAGGAGAAGCCATTGATGGAGACATACGAGTGACAGAGAGAAGGATAGGGAAGGAGAAAGATGGGCTTTCTTCTTCGCGCGTCTCATCTTCTAGACGCTTACGTGGATATATGTGAGTGGGTACACGTAAGAAGTTTAGGGAAACGGCGTGGTGTTCTCCTATGAAGAGTACAGACGGCATTGCTTCTTACATATTTGCTTTCCTCCTTGGTTAAACAACTCGACGTTTTGAGAGTGCATTCGATTATGAATGGCACGCTTTGCCGTAATTTTACGGAAAGAACAAAGCTTGGCCCAAAGATGGCCCAACTAGATTTGTTACAATTAATTTAAAATAATTTGTAGGGAACAGATATCACATGGACGTGAAATGACAAGGACAGGTCATTTATTGTCCAACGATTTTTACGAGACGACATACTTGAAATTCACTCAATATTTCAAACATATGGTCGACTTTTTTTTTTATTATCTTTTCTTATTTATAGTACACAAGTAGCTACTTTTCTCCGTTTGAAACGCTAACGCATTAATAAGAGACTAGTATCACACATTTTCATAAGATTTAGCATCATAATAGATGGTGATAAGTGATATAACACTATTGTTTAGATAAATACAAGAGCAAAACGCAAACGCAGCGTTTTGCCTTCCCAACAAGAATCTGGTTCCGCTTCGCCTCCCCAGACGCTATCATTTTGATTTTCTAGTATAGATTTCGTAATTAATATATCACATTTATCGTTTCGATCCTCGGACTTGGACTACGTGCCGTTTTCTATATAAACGAACCGACACACAACCGTTTTAAAAAAGCCACGTCAGCATCTCCAATCGAGGCGGACTTCACGGGGTCCGGCGACGAGTTCACTGGGTTTCCGGAAGGTCACGATGTGGCTGCCGGCCATAAACGCCGTGACTCGCTCGGAGACTCGGATATCCTCCATCTTCAGCTCATGAAGACGCCGCACGTACTCCGGCACGTGTAACAGATCCCAGACCACGCACAAACCTCCTGGCTTCACGACTCTGACTATCTCCCCGAGCACCCTCATCCTTTCCGCCGCCGCCTCCACCGACTTCTGACCGTGCTCTTTCCCGACCGTGTGGACGAACACCGACGAGACCACCACGTCGAAGTAGTTATCCCCGAACGGCAACGTCCTCACATCTCCTTCCCGGCAAGTCACATACTCCTGCACACCTGCACGATTGAATCACGAAAACGATGAACACCTTGATTCACGAGGAACGAGAGGAATTGAATCGAGAGAATTCGGGGAATTGTACCTTCGAGTTTGGCGGTGCGGAGAGTGGAGAGAGTGGTGCGTTTGGAGCGGTCTAACCCGACGACCCGACCCGAGCTACCAGTTTTCTTGAGCTGAGTGGCGACGGCATTGAGGAGGATGCCGCGGCCGCAGCCGAGATCGAGCGCCGTCTTGACACAGGACCAGTCGCCGACGGAGCTGACCATGCGCTGAGCCATCTCGTACTGTAGCGGAACGTCGGAGTAGACGAAATTAGCGGCGGCGAAGAGGAGACACACGGCGGAGAGAGCCGTAACGGCGCCGGTGAAACCCGCCACTAGCCTGGAGGCGCCGGAGAGAAAGAAGGAGTCGAGGAAGAGGCAAATCTGGTCGAAGTAGATAAGGAAGAGAAGTGAGAGGAGGGAGAAGAAGAAGGCATGGAAGAGAAGGAAGACGAGCGTCTGCCATTGTTCAATCCCGTATATCGCGTAGATCTGAGTCCAGTCTCTGTTCCCGGCGGTTTTACCCATTTGGTATGTTTCTCAATTTCCCAGATTCCGATCACACAATTCCGGCTAAATCTGAGACAAAAACGATCTATCAGCGCGTCACATTTGAAATTCGAATTTCAAACTCCCAATTAACAAACAAATAAAGTAAAAGCAAGTACCAGGAGTAGCAGAGGATCAAAAACGATGAAAACAAGCTGTTTTCTTCGAGAAACAAAACAGATCTAAGGAATTTTGATTCTGGTGAGTTTCAAATTCAAACGAAGGAATCTAACTATTCCTAAAACTGGATCAAGGGCGATGAAGAAGAAGGAGGAGATATGATGTAGGGTAAGTGGAAGAGAGCATGGTGAGAAGAGAGTGAACTTATGAAGAAGAAAAATGGCAAAAGGGAATTATGGAAAAAGGCTTTTTTTTCCAACTTTTGGTATTACCATTTTCACGCGCTTTCTTTTTCACTCTATGCTTTGTCGGTTTCTGCATTTTTCAAACCACTGATTTTACATTCTGAATAAAGAAACCCGTTAAGTCGCTAGATTTTTCATTTGGAGGTAGGTTGGTTCCCAACAGAAAGTCATTATTAGATTAATCCCTTTTCTAATCCTTTTATTTGTTAGATAATTTTTTAGTATTATATATATTTGTAGTATTGTAGATGTAGTTTAGGTATGTGCCATCCACAATGGTCAAATATAAATACATCTAGTGCGAGTTGGTTCATCATATTTCTCAATATAAAAGGTTTGTTAAAAACTTCCGAATCACATTAAATTTTACATTTACAAATACAGTGAACATTAGTAGTTCATCACCAACTGGTTTTGAAAATGACTGGATCTGTCTATTAGAGGGTTAGATATATAATTATTGAACAAAAACAAACAAACAAAAAGGAGGGTTAGATTATATTTGTAACCATATATATTTGTATGGAGTTAGTAGACTGTTATACCATGTAAACATCTATATAATAGAGTTTCAATCTATATATAAACTAAGGAAATTGGTTGATATAGCCATATCAAAGGCTATAATTCAGAAAATAACTATAATAAAGTAAGTGTTATTATATTTCTTATATATTTTACAATATATACTAAAAACTCCTTTGTTTAAAATGGAGTGAAAAATAATTGCTGACGTTAGCAGCAGAAAATAAAGATAAAAAATTAAAGGATAGATTGCATTTCAATATGTTATTGAAAAATAATAAACACAAACCATATTAGTTTATATTAAACACCACTAAAGTTACACTATATCGATTATTGTTTCTAATAACTTATTTTCCTATTTGAATATATAATATATCTCTAATAACATATGGTTTACTACTGGACTATACTATACTATATGTTCAGTATACAACAACACTACTATAATATAGTATGAGAGTTTCCGGTTATATATCATTTCGTCGATCATTATACTCTAAATTAAAAATAGTATAGTATGACAGTTACAATTATACTACTAAATTGCACATTTTCAAGTAGTATAGAACTAACTAGTTATAGTATAGATGTGATGGTATAAGTTTCTACTACTCTATACAGCAATGACGTCAAAAAATATATCGCAGTATATGTTTTGCTTAAAATTGAAGAAGTGTATTGTAATTTCTCTGTAGGTCATAGTTATTTATCTAATTTTTTGAATAACATAGCTATATTCTCCAATTCTTTCTCCAATATAGTTATTACACTAAAAAGCCCTATAAACTATCTAATGAATATTAATCACATGTATTTCTGATTTTTTTATACTGAGTGTACAATTGTAACTTTGTTAAGCGATGTACGTAAACTGATTCATATTTTGTTTGTTAATCATAGAATAAAGGAAAAGTATCACCAATTAAGTCAACCTTTCGGGTCTCTTGTTTTGTAGTTCCATTTGGTGTAGTAAGTAAGTAGTAACACATCACTAACTAGTGAATAAAGACTTAACTTATAAGTTGTTTATATAACTTTATTAGATCCTAACTTGGAACATCGAGACAGAACATTTAAAGTTTCTTAAAAAAGAATTAGAGACCATGTGTAAGTCTGTTCAAAGAAGAAGCGCGTTCGAGGGGGTTAAGATGAGAATTTAGAAAAGATACAAAATTTTAAAGTATTTATGCATCTTCAAGATAATGTTTTTTTTTCTATAAAAATATCTCACTCTTATAAAATTGTAAAAATTTCGACAGATATTTAAAAAATTAGTGGTAGCCAGTAGAGCTACCAATCATAAAATACGTGATATCGAAATCATAGTAAAATAGTAGATATGTTTCTTAACATGCATGCACTGTGTGTTCAAGATTCGAAATCGCTTGCAACATTTCTCCCAAAAGAGATTAGAGAGTCACATTATCTAGTTTATCAATAAAAATCGATTTTATTAAGTATTGTAAACTTTGTGAAGTAATGCGATAATTTTGTAAAATTATAAAATAAAAAGGATAATACGAGGAGGTGAGACTGTCACTTCTTAGGCTGTTGGCGATCTTATTATTACAAAGAAAAAAAAGAAGAGAACAATTCATTGAGTAAGACCATCTCCATCGGCAAAAATATATATCATCGTGTCTTATTATTATAATATTAATATAAGTTATTTATTTAATTAATATTTAAAATATAAAAGGAAAGAGCAAATAAGAGATAAACAAGTGTATACAAACCCTTCAGAATCGTGTCTGAAGTTTAAACAATTTATGTAATTTCTCTTTCTCTCTTTTCTATTTTTTTAATTTTTTTATTCTTTAGATACTTGTTAACAACCTTCTCATGGAATTGTTAGTGAATCACTAGCAAGTCCAATCACTAAATTTCAGCCGTACATCTGGCACTCTGAGCAGTTAACAGGTCGACACGTGTTATCTTTGTCAATATTTGTTCCTCCGCTAATCGTGGTAATTACGTGAAAAGACCCCCTTGTAGTAAATTAGTTATATCAGACATTTTCTGATTTTCCAATTATACTCCGAAATTACGGATCGAACCAATTCGGAACCGGATTATCAACAAAGCTAGCAAACCGAAACCGGCTTCATTTCTGTTTGTAGAACCAAGATTACCGAAACTTTATAGTATGCGCCTTCCTTTTGTGTTAATAACTCTCTCTTAAAGGGGATACAAATTAAAGATATAAATAATCATTGGTGAATATTTTTAAACATACTTCCCGCTGATTATTATTCACAATTAGAAAAGTATAGTATGAGAAAAGTAACAATCTTTAAAAATTGGGGTCCCAATGGTTTGACGAATAGTAAGCAAACGTAAAATGAGTATGGGAAACAGAAGGGAGGAGCATTACCCCACCGGCTTTATTAAATGCTCTTTTTTGAATAACAAAACACTAAAAATCTAAAGTCCACATTCCTACTTGCTAATATACCATTTTTCCTT